AGAACTATTAATCATATCTAATGTTTTTTTCATCATGCTTATAAGATATTGATTGATAATTGGTATAGTTTTATCATGACAAGTTACAGATCAGATTCAAATTTTTGTTTCAGTCTAATAATTTTGTGCAGAGTTATGGTCCTTGGACTTGAAAAATTCACTCATATAATCAGTTTTTCCACACTGTTTTTAGTCATGCTTGAAGATATTGACATAATATTTACTTTTTGTTTACACCATGACAAGTTATAGAACAAGTTAGCATTTTGTTCCAGTATAATGAATTTTTACCCGGTAGTGGACTATGTATTGCCATGCAATACTCTCAGAATGCTTGATTTTTTTCTTCTTGGAGTCTATTTCTGCGTATTTTGAGGGGCCTACAGAAGAGAGGGATTTACTAAAGTACCCTATGGGATTTTATTTTTTTTAATTTTTAAATGACTATAACTTGAGAACAGTAAGTGATAGACACACACGGTCTTCAGTAATGATCACAGGACAATAAAACAATAAAATATAGGTGAGTCCCTGGGGTCACCCCACCCCCCTTTCAATTTGAGAATGGGCTTTTATCTTGTAAACAGTCGAGATCCCCACCCCAAAACCATATATATTCTTGTATGGGACAATAAAACAAATCAAATAAAATATGAGGGGAGTCCCTGGGGGTCATTCCCCACCCCCTCCAGTTTGAGAACTTGTAAACGGTTGAGATCCCCACCCCTAAACCATAAATATTCGTGTATGGGACAATAAATAAATCAAATGAAATATAAGGGAAGTTAACAGGGGTCACCCCCTCCCCTCTTCTTTTTATACGACCGCAAAATATTTTTGCGTTCGTATATTGGTATGACATTGGCGTCGTCGTCTAAAGACGCATTGGTTTTCGCACTCTAACTTTAGTTTAAGTGAATGGATCTCTTTGAAATTTGACCATAAGGTTAAATACCACAAAAGGAAGGTTGGGATTGATTTTGGGGGTTATGGTACCAACAGTTAAGTAATTAGGGGCCAAAAAGGGGCCAAAATAAGCATTTTCTAGTTTCCAGACAATAACTGTGGAACGGTGTATGGATCTCTCTGAAGTTACACTACAAGTTTCCGTACCACAAAGGGATGGTTAGGATTTGCTTTGGGGGGTTATGGCTCAAACCGTTTAAGAATTAGGGGCAAAAAAGGGGGAAAAACAAGGTTGTCCTGGTTAATGGACAAATACTTTAGTACAAAACATAATTTAAAGCAGTGTAAGGGAGATAAATCAAATACATCATTGAAATTACCTCCCTTACACTGCTTTTAAATTATGTATAAAGTAATGGTTAATGAACAATTAAAACAGTGTAAGGGAGGTAATCCAAGTACAACGATTTGGTTACTTCCCTTACACTGCTTTTAAATTATGTTTAAAGAAATGCATATTTATAAAGGAAGACCAGTAAAAGTATCTGCAAATGTTGCATCTTTTTTTTTTACAAAAAAATCCATATGAAAGATTTGACACTATATTTTAAATTCTATTATAAAATAGATTAAGTTAGCACTATGGTAAATTTAAATGGGTAATTATGGTTGCAAACTCCATTGGGAAATTTGAATTGAGATTATGACCATATCTTGAGGGAAAGAATTTTTTTGGGGAAAAAAGGGAGGGGGTGTAAAAAGAAATTGTGGTGGGTAAATTTTTTCTCATTTCAGATTTCAGATATTAAAAAGAATTATTCTTCAAATATTTTTTTTTTTCAAATTTCAAATATTGAAAAATTTCAAGAAGTATGGCACATTAGATTTGTAAAATCTTTGACCACATTTATTTATTTGTTATGCCGAATCTAACCGTGTATTTAGATTTTTAATACTGGGTCCAGTTTTCAAATTGGTCTACATTAAGGTCCAAAGGGTCCAAAATTAAACTTTGTTTGATTTTAACAAAAATTGAATATATTGGGTTCTTTGATATGCTGAATCGAAACATGTATTTAGATTTTTAGATTTTTGGCCCAGTTTTCAGAGAAGTTGGTCCAAACTGGGGTCCAAAATTAAACTTTGTTTGATTTCAACCAAAATTGAATATATGGGGTTCTTTGATATGCTGAATCTAACCATGTATTTACATTTTTTATTTGTGGACCCAGCTATCAAATTGGTTCATATTGAGGTCAAAAGGGTCCAAAATTAAACTTCGTTTGATATCATCAAAAATTGAATTATTGGGGTTCTTTGATATGCCAAATCTAACCGTGTATTTAGATTTTTAATTTTGGGTCCTGTTTTTTAAATTGGTCTACATTAAGGTCCAAAGGGTCCAAAATTAAACTTAGTTTGATTTTAACAAAAATTGAATTGTTGGGGTTCTTTGATATGCTGGTCCAAGGACACAGTTATCGTCCTTTGGTTTTCGTTGTCTACGAATATAGTCCCTAGTGTGAACAGTGTATAACTTGCATTTTTTTTTGATACACTTTCCCAATTTATTTCTTGATATTTTATGCATGAAATATTAAGTAAGGGGATGAAATTACATGTTAAAAAAATTTGGGTGCTGAATCTTTATGTTAAGTAGTGATTTGGTCCAGTTAAAAAAGGTCAAAAATTAGAATGTCTGAAGCTGTCAAACTGAATTTTAGCCCCCCTTAACACAGAATTGTCAATATTTTGAGTTACGAGCTGGTAGAAGTTTCTATAATTTTGATATTATTTGTATCAATAGTAGTACACTACACTGTAAAAATCTTTTTGAGATAGAGCAGGTGCGATTTTTTTAATTTGAATTTATTGTCTAAAAGAAATGCACTATGAAATAACTGTGTTCTCGGGCCTGCTGAATCAGAACATGTGTTAAGATTTTTGATTATGGGCCCAGTTTTCAAGTTGGTCCAAGTTGGGGTCCAAAATTAAACTTTGTTTGATTTCAACAAAAATTGAATATATGGGGTTCTTTGATATGCTGAATCTAAACATGTATTTAGATTTTAGATTTTTGGCCCAGTTTTCAAGTTGTTCCAAATTGGGGTCCAAAATTAAACTTTGTTTGATTTCAACAAAAATTGAATATATGGGGTTCTTTGATATGCTGAATCTAACCATGTATTTACATTTTTTATTTGTGGGCCCCGCTATCAAATTGGTTCTTATTGAGGTCAAAAGGGTCCAAAATTAAACTTTGTTTGATTTCATCAAAAATTAAATTATTGGGGTTCTTTGATATGCCAAATCTAACCGTGTTTTTAGATTTTTAATTTTGGTCCCGTTTTTTAAATTGGTCTACATTAAGGTCCAAAGGGTCCAAAATTAAATAAATTTTGATTTTAACAAAAATTGAATTCTTTGGGTTCTTTGATATGCTGAATCAGAACATGTGTTTAGGTTTTTGATTATGGGCCCAGTTTTCAAGTTGGTCCAAGTTGGGGTCCAAAATTGAACTTTGTTTGATTTCAACAAAAATTGAATATATGGGGTTCTTTGATATGCTGAATCTAACCATGTATTTTGATTTTGGACATTGGACCATAATAGGTAAATTAAAAAAAATCAAGTTCTTAGACCACATTCTTTCTGTGTCAGAAACCTATGCTGTGTCAAATATTTAATCACAATCCAAATTCAGAGCTGTATCAAGCTTGAATGTTGTGTCCATACTTGCCCCAACTGTTCAGGGTTCGACCTCTGCGGTCGTATCAAGCTGCGCCCAGCGAAGCATTTTATTGAAAACTTGTAAACGGTCGAGATCCCCACCCCAAAACCATATATATTCTTGTACGAGACAATAAAACACATCAAATGAAATATAGGGGGAGTCCCTTGGGGTCACCCCCACCCCATCCTGTTTGAGAACTTGTAAACGGTCGAGATCCCCACCCCTAAACCATATATATTCTTGTATGGGACTACAAAACAAATCAAATGTAATATAGGGGGAGTCTCTGGGTGTCACCCCCATCCCATCCTGTTTGAGAACTTGTAAACGGTCGAGATCCCCACCCCAAAACCATATATATTCGTGTATTGGACAATAAAACTAATTAAATGAAATATAGGGGAAGTTAACGGGGGTCACCCCCACCCCCCCCTTCTTTTTGAAAACTTGTGAACGGTCTAGATCCCCACCCCAAAACCATATATATTCTTGTATGGGACAAAAAAACAAATCAAATGAAATATAAGGGAAGTTAACGGGGGTCACCCCCTCCCCCTTCTTTTTGAAAACTTGTAAACGGTCGAGATCCCCACCCCAAAACCATATATATTCTTGTACGGGACAATAAAACAAATCAAATGAAATATAGGGGGAGTCCCTTGGTGTCACCCCCACCCCATCCTGTTTGAGAACTTGTAAATGGTAGAGATCCCCACCCCTAAACCATATATATTCTTGTATGGGACAATAAAACAAATCAAATGAAATAAAGAGTCCCCTGAGAATCAACCCTGCCCCCTTTTTTGAGAACTTGTAAACGGTCGAGATCCACACCCCTAAACCATATATATTCCTGTTCGTGATTTCAAGAAGTTTTGAATGACATACAGGGTTAATCCTTAGGCGTCACTTATGCATATCGTTTTACTAGACCAAACCAATTTGTACTGGACTTTGCCCAATGTCAGGTGACCATGGGAATGACTAATTATGGGAGCTTTGTTTTGGAGACTTCGTAACAGCATCCTGTTACAATTATTTCATACAATTACATGGCTGACATGGCTAAAAATAGAACATAGGGGTAAAATGCAGTTTTTGGCTTATATCTCTGAAACTAAAGCAAAAGTATAATGGTTGCATTATTTCATGCATCAATTGTAAACAAAAATATCAGGTGAGTGACACAGGCTCCTTGGAGCCTCTAGTTCATTATCATTATTCTTATGCCAGTTGAGCAATACAGTCTCCTTTGAGCCTCTAGCTTAATTGCTGTTGAAGATAAGAACAGATTTGTTTTTATTTTATAATTTTGTATTAATCATGTAATTTATTAATGGTCCTAAAATTTTTCAAATAGGCTATTTTCTTGACAACCCTTTTCTACCTGCTGGCATCAAGTGGTGATCAGTATAAACCAGTAGAATGGTTTTCTAGTATCAGTGTAACACACCAAGGAAACAGTTTTGGACAAGCTGTACAAGAAGCAGTAGGGTTAGTTTTATTATAAGAATCTATAGATTATTTTCAAAGGGAGACAGGTGTTACTATTTTGACTATGTTTTAGTTAACACTTATTCTACCTAACTATTTTTATTTCACTTTCACTTGATATTTATAAAATAGTGAAGCCATAACAACAATTATTGTAACATGACTTCTTACAAAATACATAATCCACAATTATTGTACTTCACTGTCTATTTTCATATGTATACTTGTCCTGAAGATGCCATGCTTGATGGCAAAACATGTCAACCAATAAAGGCAATTATGTTTTATGCCCCATCTATGATAGTAGGGGCATACTGTTTCCACCTGTATGTGTCTATCTGTCAGTTCTTCTTTCCCATATCAGGTTCAAGTTTTATAACTTACCATGGAGCTGTGGTCACACCAACTCGAAACAAGGTTTCTGTTTGGTGAAAGAAAAATGAAAACCTATTTTATTGTGCTTTACTGATCAATTCTTATAAGTTGATCCTTTTTTTTTTCCATTTTAGACTCTTGCTCTTTCCACCAAATGAAACTTATATTACTAGATATTTTTATGCCCCTGCCGTAGTGGAGGAGGCATTAAGTTTTACCCTTGTCTGTCCGTACGTCCCAAAGTTGGTTTCCGTTCTCTAACTTTATTTTGCCTCAACCAAATGTTATGAAACTTATACACAATGCTTATTACCACAAAACACAGATCAAGTTTGATATTTGATGGCGTCACTTTAACCATTCAAGAGTTATACTCCTTTACAAATGAAAAAATTGCTGAATTTTCGTTTCTGTTTTTAAATGGAATTTCAAAGGAAAAATCGGTTATTGATTTGGGGATGTATGACCGGCGGGCAGGCGGGTGACTGCCAAACAGTGTCTGTTCATTTACATGAAAACCCTTTGACGACATTTTTTTCAAATGTAGATATGTTGTTTGCGGTGACTAAATGAAGGTCAAGTTCAATTTTCATGATTTTAGCTTTTCTCTTTGTTGAGTTATAGCCCTTTCCCAAGAATTAAATTTTTGATGAAATACTTAATAATTACTCCATTTCTGTTCAAAGGGAAATAATTCATTTTTTAAAAGATTTTTAAAAGACATGGTATTAATGATAAATGACATTTTGGATTTTTTTTTCTTTTCTTTGGTAAATTATTTGAAGAATCTTGTGGTAGGTTTGTTGGTTATTCTGTATAAACTAATTTTCTGAATGAATTCATTACATTACATTGTGAAGATAAAGTTGTTGACGTTCATAGACAAGTTGCAGATTTATATTAGTTTGTGACAAATGTAAGAAAAAATATTTGGAACTACATGTATTAATTATATTTGATTATAATTTGAAAATAGATATACATTGTGTAACATCATGTCAAATTTTAGAGTACTATTTTTTTGTGGTTAAATCATATCTTTGATTATAATTTGAAAATAGATATATTTAACATCATATCTAATTTTAGAGAACTATATTTTAGTGATTAAATCATATCTAATTTTAGAGAACTATGTGTTTAACATTTATTCAGTTTGAGTTATTTCCCTTTGAACAGAAAATTATATGGATAAAATTAAACTGTGTTTCATTTCAACATGAATTAAATATATATAGGGTTCTTTCAAATGCTAAATCTAAACCGTGTTTCTAAATATTAGATTTTTGGGCCCAGTTTTCAAGTTTTCAAGTTGGTCCAAATCAGGGTCCAAAATTAAACTTTGTTTGATTCATCAAAAATTGAATTATGGGGTTCTTTGAAATGCTGAATCTAACCATGTATTTAGAGATTTTGGATTGTGGGCTTCTTTATCAAATTGGTCCACATTGAGGTCCAAAGGGTCCTAAATTAAACTTTTTTTTTTATTTCATCAAAAATTAAATTATTGGGGTTCTTTGATATGCTGATTCTAACAATGTACTTAGATTTTGGATATTGGACTATAATAGGGAAAGGTCCAATTTCAAAGTTTTCAGTTCTTTGACCACATTCATTTTGTGTCACACACCTATGCTGTGTCAAATATTCAATCACAATCCAAATTCAGAGCTGTTTTAAACTAAATGTAGTGTCCATACTTGCTCAACTGCTCAGGGTTCGACCTCTGCAGGAAATCCAGTTTGCTGTCACTCTGACAGCCTCTTGTCTAACTTTAGTTTGCCTCAACCAAATGTTATGAAACTTATACACAATGCTTATTACCACAAAGCACAGATCAAGTATGAATTTTGGTGGTGTCACTTTAACCATTCTAGAGTTATGCCCATTACAAATGGAAAAATTGCTGAATTTTTCGTTTCTGTTCTCTAACTTAAGTTAGCCTCAACCAAATGTTATGAAACTTATACACAATGCTAATTACCACAAAACACAGATCAAGTTTGGATTTTGGTGGTATCAATTTTGCTTTTCTAGAGTTATGCCCCTTTACAAATGGAAAAATTGCTGATTTTTTTTTCGTTTCCGTTCTCTTAACTTAAGGCAGCCTCTACCAAATGTTATCAAACTTATACACAATGCTTATTACCACAAAATACAGATCAAGTTTGAATTTTGGTGGTGTCATTTTACTGCTCTAGAGTTATGCCCCTTAACAAATGGAAAAATTGCTGATTTTTCGTTTCCGTTCTCTAACTTAAGTTTGCCTCAACCAAATGTTATGAAACTTATACACAGTACTTGTTACCACAAAACTCAGATTAAGTACAAATTTGGGAAGCATCACTTTTACCGTTCTTCAGTTATGCCCTTTATAACTTTATATGATATGCAAACGGGGGTATCATCTGTGTCCCATGGACACATTCCCCATTTATTTGGCTAATAATGTGGTGAAAATAAATTTGATCCAGGGGATACCCTGTTCAAACTTATTTGTTTGTTGGTGTGGCATGGTGTCAATGGATACATATTCTTGTTATAACTTTATTTATAGATAGATATTTATGTGATTTTTTGCTTCTTTTTTAGTGGCGTGTTCATGGCTTCATTTTTTGCTTCTTTTTTAGTGGCGTGTTCATGGCTTCATTAAAAATGGCAGTGTTCTATGGTCTGTACACATGGTTAACACATTCAGTCTTTGGTGTGAATATTGTTTTCATACCATCAGGTAAGTTTATTTATTTTATTAAGTCTCCCAAACGAAGTTTGGGAAGACTTATTGTTTTTGCTCAGTTCTTATTATTCTTCTTCTTCTTCTTCTTCTTCTTCTGCCGCTTTTCAATTTGAACTTGTACGCACCCGTTCTCCAAAACCGCTTGTCAGATTAACTTAGGGTTTCACAATATGTAAGACTAACATGTCTAGTGGTGCAATCAGGGTTTTGTTTGTGCAATGGGGTTTATAAAGGGGTACTTTAAGGGGGCAAAAAGAAAAGAGGGTTTTTCTATAGAACCCTATGGGATTTTATTTTTTAAAATTTTCAAATGATTATAAATTGAAAACCGTTTGTGATAGACACAATCTTTTTAATTGAAAATGTTCTAAATGATAAAGCCCATTAAATGAAATACAGGGTTAGTCCCCAGGGGTCACCCCCACCCCCTGCCATTTAAGAAAGTTCTAATACCTTGTAAGTGGTCAAGATCCCCACCCTTTAAACCATATATATTTTGGTTTGTTATGCTAAGATGGTTTGAATGATATACAGAGTTAGTCCCCAGGGGTCATCCTGACCCCCTGCCATTTGAGAAAGTTCTAATATCTTGTAAATGGTTGAGATCCCCACCCCTAAACCATATATATTCTGGTTTGTCATGATAAAGCACATCAAATGAAATACAGGGTTAGTCCCCAGGGGTCACCCCCACCCCCTGTCATTTAAGAAAGTTCTAATATCTTGTAAGTGGTCAAGATCCCCACCCCCAAACCATATATATTCTGGTTTGTCGTGCTAAGATGGTTTGAATGATATACAGGGTTAGTCCCCAGGGGTAATCCCGACCCCCTGCAATTTGCGAAAGTTATAATATCTTGTAAATGGTCGAGATCCCCACCCCTAAACCATATATATTCTGGTTTATCATGATAAAGCACATCAAATGAAATACAGGGTTAGTCCCCAGGGGTCACCCCCACCCCCTGCCATTTAAGAAAGTTCTAATATCTTCTAAGTGGTCAAGATCCCCACCCCTAAACCATATATATTCTGGTTTGTCATGCTAAGATGGTTTGAATGATATACAGGGTTAGTCCCCAGGGCTCATCACGACCCCCTGCCATTTGAGAAAGTTCTAATATCTTGTAAATGGTCGAGATCCCCACCCCTAAACCATATATATTCCTATTTGTCATGTCTTGAACATTTGAATGACGTATACGGTCAGTCCCCAGGGGTTCCCCCCACCCTCAATGTTCTAATATCTTGTAAATGGTTGAGATCCCCACCCCTAAACCATATATATTCCTGTTCATCATGTAATGAACATTTGAATGACGTATAGGGCCAGTCCCCAGGGTTCCTCCCCACCCCCAATGTTCTAGTATCTTGTAAATGGTCGAGATCCCCACCCCTAAACCATATATATTCTGGTTTGTCATGCCAAGATGATTTGAATGATATGCAAGGTTAGTCCCCAGGCATCACTAATGCATATAACTTCACTGGACCAAACCAATTTTCACTGGACGTTGCCCAATGTCAGGCGACCCTGGGAATTATGAATTATGAATTATGGGAGCTTCGTTTGGGAGACTTCGTAACAGCATTCTGTTACAATCATTTCTTGTTTCAGTTAAATTCACCCTGAAATTTTGTATCAAGCTTCATGTGAGCATGCTATGCCGTATAATGCATTTTCTTTACAGTATACTGTGGATTCATTATTATTTGTGGGAAACCAATTTTCTTGGATAAAGTTGAACAACTGTTCAGCGAATTACAAATTTTCCATAGGCTTGTATGCAGACTTTGGCAGAACAAGGAAATTAAATATCCACGAATACAATATTTCCTCAATCCACAAAAATTTGTATCCACGAAAATAAATGAATCCACTGTACCTATAGAGGTTGTATTATTAGTGATCAATAGCTCACAGTTCAACAAGTTATATCTGTTGCCTAGGAATTTTTCAGTAGAATTTGAGACTTTGTTAAGAAATATTCTTTAGCTATGTTAGTGAAACAGACAGGGTAAAATAAAATTCAATTAAAATTGTGTGATTACTTTTCAAATCAGTCAGATTACTACTGTTTGTCAATACGTTCAATTTTAAACATGATCAAAGAACAACATTTTTCATCCCACATTTCTAACAAAACAACTTATTATTAGGTCAGAAGCCCTACAGTAAGACACCTACTTCCTGTTGTCTGATACTTTGAATTATGAATGTTGGTATGCTTAGCACGACGACATGTGGATTATTTACAAAGGACTTTATTTTTGATAAATAATTATTTGGATATTATCTATCTATGTTTATTTAAATACTCCTCAAGAAAGTCTTTTCAATGAGGTTTTAAAGTCTGACATCATCAGATCTGTAGTTTTTAACACAAAAAAGATCAATTCAACTTATTGAGCGGACTTATTTTTGAGTTTCAGGTGCTTTAAATTAGTGAAATTTTACTTTTATTCAATTCACTTTTTTATCCAAAAAAAAAACCCTACCAAAAACATATATTGTTCTGCATTTTGTATTTCCCTATTGTTTGTTTTCAGCTCTTGCAGCAGTATTTGCAGCGGTACCTTTTCTTGGAACATATTGGGCTGCAATTCCAGCTGTCCTTGAACTGTGGCTCGTAAAAGGTCAAGGAGTATTATCTATATTGCTGTTTGTACTTCATATGTTACCAACATATGTAGTAGATACTACAATACTCAGTGAAATTAAAGGGTAAGATCTCTTAGGAGGATTGAATACATTGGAAGTTATGCACCTTCCTCTGAATTAAATGGGTTTCAACATCCTACGTAAATACTATATTCATGTGAAAACCCTAGTTTTGCTTCATTTTTGTCTCGCCTACGACAAAAGTTGCAGTATGGGTGATTTAGGGATTACAATCCTGGTGGCGTCAAAGTCGTAAAAGATTTGTATAAAGCTTTATATTTTAGAATGTAGAAGACCTGGATGCTTCAAACCTTGTATGCAGACAGTTTATGTTAAGAAATTTCTATCTGTCATATGTCCATTGTCCTAGACCTCATTTTCATGGTTCAGTGACTGCTTTGAAAAAATTACAATTTTTTAGTTCCATCAAATTCTCACTTATTATGAGTAATAGGATAACTATATTTGGTATATGGGTTCCTTACAACTTCAACATGTCCGTCAGGTAGGGTCTACCTAACCTCAACCTCATTTCATGAATCAGTGATCAAGGTTATAGTTACGTGGTCAAGTCCATATCTCAATACTATAAGCAATAGGTCAACTATATTTGGTGTATTGAATGATTGTAAGGTGTACATGTCCACCTGTCGGGTTTCATCTGACCTTGACCTCAATTTCATGGTTCATTGGACAATGTTTAGTTTTTGTGGTTTGGTCTCTATCTCAGATACTATAAGTGATATGACCACTATAATTGGTGTATGAAACAGTTGTAAGGTGTACATGTCTGTCTGGCATTGTTCATCTGACCTTGACCTCATTTTCATTGTTCATTGGACAATGCTTAGTTATTGTGGCTTGGTCTATTTCTCAGATACTTTAAACAGTAGGTAAGTTATAGTGAGTGTATGGAATGATTGTAAGATGTACATGTCTTTCTGGCATGTTTCATATGACCTTGACCTCATTTTCATGGTTTATTGGTCAATGATAAGTTTTGTGGTTTTGTCAGTTTTTCAGATACTAAAGGCAATAGGTCAACTATATTTGGTGTATGGAATGATTGTACGGTGCTCATATTATTTTGACCTGATTTTCATGGTTCATTGGTTAATGTTAAGATTTTGTCGTTTTATCTTTTTCTTAGTTACTATAAGCGATAGGACCACTATATTTGGTGTATGGAATAATTGTAAGGTGAACATATCTGTCTGGCATGGTTCATCTGACTGTGACCTCATTTTTCTATAACATTGATTATGTTATGTTTATGTTATACTTTTAGTAAAACCTTCATATAACAGACTTTCATCATAAATTCAATCATAAGTATAGCAGGTGACACATTCAGCATGTGCACTCTTGTTATTTTTTATGTCTGAATATTTCATATACCTTTATTTTCAGCCATTATTGTCCGAACTATAAATAGATATGAGAAATAAACCTTTAAAAATTCATTGACTGAGGATGTTAAATACAATATTTCCAGCAGCTGGTTTGCAGTAGAAAAATCCCCAAATACTTTAGTCATTTCATTCATTGTTCAAATAAAAATCCATATCTGTTTTTATGTCATCATTTTAACAGATTATATTCTTGAATATAAAAATAAGGAGATGTGGTATGATTGCCAATGAGACAACTATCCACCTTAGTTCAAATGAAGTGGATGTAAGCAATTATAGGCAACCGTTTGGCCTTCAACAATGAGAAAAACTCATACACTATAGTCAGCTTTAAAAGGCCCTGACATGAAAAATATGAAACAATTCAATTGAGAAAACTATCTGCCTAATTTATAACAAAACAATTTACAAAAAACAAATATGACAGACATGAACCAATGACAACCACTGAACTACAGGCTCCTGACTTGGGACAGGCACATAAATAATGTGTAGAGGTTTAACATATTTGTGAGCATTCAACTCTCTCCCTAACCTGAGACAGTGGTGTTACTGCACAACATAAGAACAAACTATAAAAATCAGTTGAAAATGGCTTTACTCCTCAGATCGATACAAAGCAGATAAACATCTAACAAAAACACAGACCGGATGTGGCAGGGTATTTATACATCCCTAACAACAAAAGACACAAAGTACAGATCTGAGAGTACTCGCAGTTACTGACAGCTAGTTCAAAGCCAATAACAAATAATAAAAGAAATCTTGTATCTAAGACTAATATATCAATCAGTACACATCCAACATCCAATGAATTTAGTGTAAAGACATCATTAACAGTCAGAGAAAACATGACTTTGTGCAATGCCAAAATATAGGTATCGACAGATTGTTGTATCGTGAAAGTGCATATGTGTATAACAACACTATTTATTATGGTTTTAATTTATTGATAACAAAATCAATATTTATACCAATAAAAACAATATTCAAAGATCTAATAACACTGTTAATTGGTCACCTTTTAGAATGAGTTTATTTAAAGGATTGATAAGTTTACCTGGATTTTATATAAATTTCCGGGCTCTGTAAACAACATCACCGTAAAATTTAGGATGAGCTATTCCGTCTGAAATAATTTTTACAGGTACAGCCAAACTTGCAAACCAAATCTTTGTATCTATGGAAGAATTTAGTAAACGTTTTAAGAAATTTGTGGTAAAGAAAATCCCTGACTTAATAATTTACCAGTAATACATAGATTACGCTCATTGAAATCCAAAACATCACTACAAACATGGGCATAGCGAATGAGTTGGGATATATACACACCATAAGACGGTGCCAAAGGAACATCAATATCCAAAAAAAGGAAAATTAAAAATAGAGAAAGAAAACTCATCTCTTTTGTCGTATATTTCTCTATAGAGTTTCTGGTGTAAAACTGAAATGTCTAAATCTAGGAAAGGACACTTATTGCTGTTAATATTTGATTTATTTAAGGTAAGTTCCTTTGGGTAAATTTCCGCAGTATATTTAGAGAATTCTTGATTACTTAACGAAAAAATATCATCAAGATGATGGTAAGTGTTGTTGAATTTACTGGGCTTTGCCATAAACTGGGATTCATAACAGTACAGGAACAAGTCTGCTATTAAAGGGTCACAATTGGTGCCCATAGGAATACCTACAATCTGTCGATAAATTGTATTGCTGAAATGTTTGTTGTTATTTTTACTTAATTGAGGTTTGCATGCTTGAAACAAAAGGTTTTAATTTATATTACATGTACCAAATTGTTTAGCCAATATGTACATAAATGTTGTCAAGGAGAAAATTTATTGAAGTTCTTTTAACTCTTAAGTGAACACTACCTGGTATATGATTTATTTTGTTTTCAGTGGTCATCCATACATAACTGGTCTTGCCATTGCTGGTGGTATATTTTGGTTGGGACTGGAAGGTGCTATTATTGGTCCTATACTTCTTTGTTGCCTTATTGTAGCCATTAATGTATACAGCAACATGTTACAGCCTGACACCCCTACAGCTGGTAAGTAGGATGGAATGGGCCAGTAATTTGATAAGAATGGTGACAAGAAAATGCATGCCTTTTGACTTTAAAAACTTAATTCTATATTTGAGAATGCTTTGATAGTGAACATATTCTGGTTTTAGATAATTGTTTTGATACAATGAGTTTGCATTATTTAGATATGTAAAATAAGTCTGTTCTAAATCACTCATTATGATTTTTCCTGATTTGAATTTTGCATGAAGGATATTTTGCTATAAATATAATAGCTTTGCTTTATATGTTTGTTGTTATTTTTACTTAATTGAGGTTTGCATGCTTGAAACAAAAGGTTTTAATTTATATTACCAAATTGTTTAGCCAAGAATGTTATAATCTTTGAAAAAGATGTTAGACTTGATCTTCCTTAAAAAGAACGCACTTTTGCTAGAAATCACGCATTACCACAACAATGAAATAAAAAATTTAAGGAAACACTGGAAAAATTATGATTATTTTAATTTGCTTTGCTTAGAATTAATAATCAAATTAAGGACTCCTCAAAAACGTCCCTTTTAAAGCATACATTAGGTCTAATCAAAAGAAATAATTGTTTATGTATTTTAAAAAAAACTATTAAGTTTTGTAAAAAGAAGTGTAAGTACATAACCATGATAACTAATTGCTAAAAGCATGATAAAAAAACTTGTTTTGTTAACATAAACTGATGTGCTTGTCTACCACATCTTCTTATATCTATTGTGTTGAGATGAAACACTGAAATAGACAAAAGGCTTGTTCTGATTAATGAGTAGAGAGATCTCTCTGTGAAATACAATATCTGATGAAATAAGAATAACGCAGCTGTTGTTACTATAATTAGGCTATAACACACAAGAACCAAGAGTACACAGAGTAAGCCTTCCATCGTTGTTTCAGAGGTATGTTAAAAGTTATTTCCCTTGCAACTTAAATTATTCTATTTAGTACAACAAAAGACTACTTCAATTTTGACTTGGGTATGTGATTGCTGACCACCCCTGTGTTTATATTTAGATTACATAGATCAGAAACATGAACCTATAGGACAATATTTCACAGCTGTCACACAGGAATGTTAATGGTTTCCCAACTTAAAGATAAGTTTGTTTTTAGATATTATATAAGAAGTACATTTTTCTTTGCTTTTCTCAAAAGTGTCTTTAAGGTGAGGGTGTGATAAAGGCCTTATTTAAACTAAGTTTTTATAAAAATGTGAACTTTTAGTTTAAGATTTTAATTGTTATAAAGTTGAGGTAATGCAAAATTAAAAAGGAGTACATGTAGCTGTTTACCCATGACGTCACAAAAAAGGACTTTCTATGTGTTTTCCTGAAAAATACATAGATTTTTGTCATATTTATACACCTGTCAAAGAGGAAATGGTTAAATCTGTCTGTCCGTCCATCAACACTACAAATGATAACCAATTCCCATGAAATTTAACACAGCAGTACGATTGACATAAGAAAACTCCCTCTCCATTTTCATTTTTTTTTCCAGAGTAAGGGGACTTTAACTATTAAATTTAAGGCATTTTTTCACATATTGTGCACTTTTATCCATTATGCTTGTATATGATTTCCTCAAAACTTTACACTATTGTTGGGATTTATAAAAGAAATCTCCCCTTTAGATTTTTAAAATTTTCTGTTTGTCTTGCCAGAGTAACAGGACTTTAACTCTCAGAAAAAAATTAAATTTTTCCCATGTTGCACCAGGGATCTCCATGACATGTTTTATGATGGTGCACCTCCATCGTCAAATTATCCCCGCCTTCGTTAAATTAGCGTCCGCTATAATCAAATGGTCCCTGCCATTGTTAAATAACTGCACTAGGATTGAAAGGGGATTGAAAAATGTTTTGCGTTTCGCTATCTGCCGTCATATTTGTTAGCAATTATGATCAGTTGCGTGTAATTTGCATAATCCTTATTGTATTATACCGGTAATCCAAAGTTTTCCCCGGATTATTGTTTTAAAGCCCTGAGGGATATCCGGCAAGTGATCGCTAATCTCTTGTACAGGTAGATTGACACACCTGACAGGAGAACACTTTATCTAGAGAGACGATTAATTGCATTATTTAATTACTTTTCAGCAAATGCTGATGAAAATTTAGATTAGAAAATGAAATTTAAATTCAATTATGAAGAAAATAGTTAAATAAGTCTAACACGGGGTTGTATTGCAATATGCAATCAACATCCCTCTTTAAAAACTAGTACAAGGTTAGACTCTTAATCTTAAAACTGAACATAATTTTATGCCAAATAACAACAATTATCCTTCATGATGAATTGCTTTAGTAGATTAAAAGTAAATACTCGAATATTAACTGCAACTTGATAATCAGAAGAAATTTAGTATCGTAATTCCGAGCTCATTTCGTAGTTTACAATCAAATTATTACATCCGGTTTAAATTCAGAATAGAAAGGTCTATTACTGTGAAATTTCCATTTTTAAGTCATTAAAACCGTTTCAGTCTCAAACTTTTGCCTCCACAAATCTGTTTTCAACGTTATACAAAAATGGGTACGAAACTTCTTGTTGTTGATGCTGCAAATCATCGATTCTGAATTTAATTCAACACTTCTCGGCATGTATGGCGAGGTTTGACAGTGAGAAAAACGGTCCCCATTTTTAAGTCCTAACAAAATAGCAAGAAATCACTCTGGGAACCTTCTGATAGGAAAAAACATTGACGTTAACTAGGCTAACAGGACAGCTGATTTGTGGTTATCCTTGACTAAGAGGAGCCATGCAGGCTTGACATTGGAATTGTTACAAATGACAATTAATGAAAATATTGGTTAATCTACAATGAAATGAATAAAATAAACTACTGCTACTACAAGGGGGTGTTAAACAACCTTGACTACACATGAGGGTCTTGCACTGTCGAATAAAATATATCAGTCTATTCATTAGGTTCCTAACAATGAAATGTAGGAATGAAATATTTTCGATGACGGCACGTGGGGTTTTGTCCTGGTGAGAGTTCCTCCATCATAATTTTCATCCATGGAGATCCCTGTTGCACCTTAACTTAAGTATGCTTAGAATCATATACTGGAAACTTTACACAACTGTTGGAATTGGTGAAAGTAAGACAATATTTGTTTTTGAAAGTTTTCAGTATAATATCATTCCAGAGTTATTGAACTTTAACCGAAAGTGACCCTTAGCACACCTCCCCCTTTCTCCAATTATATCCCCCATTGCTATGCTTTAGCTATATTATACCCATTTGCTAAAACACATTGACTGAGGCTTCTTCCATTTTAGCCGATTTTTCAGATTTTGTCTCAAAAATTTTCCCGTTTAAATCTCTTAGATTATACTTTCTTCTTTCAGGTATAGGTGAGTAAACTACAAATCTTGTGTGGTGTTTAATTAAATAGGAATTGTATGCTAAAAAATATTGAAATTGCATGTAGGTAAATGGTGGAAATTGAATGTGTATTGTCTGAACTATTTTTCATTGGTAAAACATGGTGGAAATAATCTGTAATGTCATTTACAGTACAGTTGCATGTGTTTATTCACCACTTATCATAATCAGTTGAACAACTAAAACTAGTTCAAGCATAATTTAGTTGGTCTGTGAATTGTAAGTCATGTTCAGTACAATGCACACAGAATAATTTGAACAGTTATCAAATTGGATCCTCATTCAATCATTTAACAATTTTTCATCATAAAACATAAATATGGAATCCTTTTAACAAATTAGAATTTATACATTGTTACTTTTCTCTACTTATTATTGTTTAATACACTAAAAATTAAAAGGTAATTGGATAAGTTGTGCGATAAAGGAACTTGTGAAGTTAGAATGCTGCAATTGGGAGCATTTGTTGTATGGGGATGGGTCGTAAGAAAGAAATAGGCCCAAGGGCATGTTAAAACATTTTAGTGGAATTAACCTTAGAAAGGGACACAAATAATTTTGTTTCTAGTCATGATATTTAGTTTTCCAAACATTAATACTTAATCAAATCTGTTATAAAACAAACAGACTGTAATTTAATAAACATTTTTCAGTTATAGTTTGCACCTTGTAAAGTTTGATATAACAGCCTGAAAGGTTTGTTATGTAATATAGAAAGTGAAGTTCTGCAATGTTAATTCCTGTATTTATCATTTCAGGTCAGTTAGCAGTACAGATGTGACCAGGCGATGATTCAGTGCAATAGAATAATATACTCAAGTTAGCCATATTGGAGAGTTACTAGGCTTCATGATCTCAGTTTTAGGTTTTTAGTTGGTTTATGGCATGAAATGCTATTTGTATTGTCTTATTAGTCATCATTATGTGTGGAATTGGCATATTTTTGCTTAATTGTATGAAATGATGCAACAATGAATAACCTATGCAGTTTATGATGTGATAAACTATATACCGGTAGTAAGATTACTTGTAGTCATTATAATGTATAATAATGATAAATAGGAGACAACTGTGATGAAAGGGCACGTTGAGTCTTGGGATATGTTCAACTTTCAAGATTATTACTACTGTGACATGTTGAAAATGTTTATTTATACAGAACCTTTATCAGTAGAAGGCTTATTTTTACACCATTTGGTGTAACAAAACATTGACTAAAGTCAAGTCAAGTAATAATAAGAGTTAAAATATTTTATTTAGATCATGAATGGAGAAGGTTTATTTTGAAGGTGTTCAATTTTGCAATTTCGTTTTTGTCAGATTGTTTATGTACTGTTACATTATTATCACATGTTTATCTGATAATATATGCATTCATGGAAGGTACCATATAAAATAATGTGGACTTTAAATTTAATGATTTTCGCTCAGCTTTTGTAGTATGTCAAAATTTACATCTTCTAATAAACCTGCCATGCAGTATTGATAATAGGAAAAATATTTCGTCCATAGTATTATATGACAAAAACGTTTCACTAGGTAATTGATATCTCATGTGGACGGGTCTTGGTTTATTTGAAATTTTTTTACTTATGTATAAATTTAAATGTTAAGAAAGATATTTTTAAATTGGAAAAATAAAGTTGTCTCAACTAAATTAAAGTTCCCAAGCTTATTTGATGGTGAAATAGTTCATAGAATGCTTTATACCTAGGTTTAATAATTTGTTTCAGAAATATTTTTACAGAAACTAAAACAATTTCTTTTCAGTAATAAAAAGAACAATACATAAACTTTCAATACAAGTATATGACATGTGAGAGGATGTTGATAATAGGTTATGTTAAAAATGTGGTTTTGATTACTAAATAAAAACGTGTCATCTCTTCTATTGCTTCGTTGGTAAACATTGTAATTGTGTTAAAAATTGTGATTTGATCAGAAAATTATTGGTACATATTTTATACATTTATTCATTTGGTGACATTTTTTACTCTTGCTGTAAACTTGTTTATTTTTGCTGTGTTAAAATTTCACGATTTGTTGTGCCAAATCTGTTTGCAAGGTTTTATTTTCACTAATTTATTGTCCCTTATTTGGATTTTTCTTGAAAGTCTAATTAACATGAGGGTTTATTTTTGCAATTTCACTTAGAATATGCCAAAATTAACCCCATGTGAAAATTTTTAAAAATTAGTCTGTTAGATTACAAATTAGATCGGATTAAAATAGCAATGGTAGGGTCAACTCCTTTTTTTTTCCTTCTTCAATTCAAAGTGCAAATTTGGCAGACTTTGGAAGTCTGTGCACCAAAGGGGACAATGAAATATTATATTGTTCTTCATTTTAATAAGGAGAAAGCATACAAAAATCAAGAAAATTCCCGCAGACAGAATTTTTTGGAATAAATGAACAGGTAGTGCAAGTGGCTAGATTACACTTGCTGATGAAGAAGAAAAACTCATACCACTTATCTCAGTTTTTTGTTTCTGATTGATGTGTCTAATATTGGTATTTGGCATCCCCCTCTCCATGTTTTAAAGATTGTGGTATGAATACAAATACTTAAACCAATTATCGGTTCATAAAGGGCATGTTACATATAATGATAAAAAATAGACATAAGTAAAGAAACAATAAGGATAATGCTTATAATAATAACTTAGGATTTAACTAAAGCAGTTTCTTATTGTAAAGATTTGGTATAAAAGATTGTTATTGTGAAGGAAATATTATTTTTTAAATTTACTAATTATTGTATTTTAAGTTACTCGTTGTTACCAGTAGACTAAAAGTGCTTTCTTTATTATGTGCAATTCATAAATGTTGTCAGTCATTGCGTTGTAAGTGTTTTAATTTTTTTTAAACTGTTTTTGCAGTTCCTCTTACTGTATTTAAGCTTTGTCAACTGTTAATTGTGTCTTAAAGCTTTGTTAGGAAATAGAATTTGTCAAATAAAGATTGGAAAGACACAGAATATAAAGAAGTTCGAACACACATTGGGGATACAATGGTCACAAGTGTAGTTTTACTTACAATACAGAGCTGAACCAATAAAACAAAAAGATTTGCTATCATCAAATTTTAAACTGACAGTGATGTCCTATCATAACATGCAACATATTATTATTAAATATCTTGGAAACATAGTCTTGAGATTTCACAACAATGTGTGTATGACTCTGACTGTCTATCATAAAATTGATGGCAGATGCCATCCAATCGGAGAGGGCATTACATATGATATTGTTTTTTTAATTAATAATTGATATTGAGGCAAAGAATTTAATAATTTTTTATTGAGCTGCCTTCTCCAATTCACAATGGATGACCTAAACATACCTGTTTATATATGTGAGTTTGTTGTAGTATTAAACAAAGAAGTTTTTATAAGCAAATTCCAACGATTACGTTATTTAAATGTTTAGGGTAGATAGACATTGGTTAACATCTAATTGTACATGTTAAAGGTTGGCAACTGGCATTTATTTCTTATTTCATTAGTTGTTAATGTTTTAAAAAATGTCAAAATAAGAAATCATTGTTGCCTTAATAAAACATTTACTTTAAACTTCTAACTGTGTTATAGAAATTTAGACTGAAAATCAGATAGACTTCGAATCAAAGAATTTTTCTGATTTGGCCAAGAGATTTTACATTTGCAAAAATATCTTAATTCAGGGGAGATAATGTTTGCAATTTCTCAATTCAGGGGAGATAATTAAAAAAAGTTATTACTACAAATTTAAAGATTTTACATTAATTTAAAAAATGGAAAGAAAACAAAAACAGGTACTTTATTTTACCTGAAAGTAATTGATTTGAATGATGGGGTTACTGAAAATGATCAATTTCTTTCGATAAGTTATTCACCCAAAAATTTTACCTAACATAATCTCAATGAAATAATTAAATTAACCAAAATTTCTCAAAACAAGGTAAAGTGTCTATAATTGAATTTTTAGTATATTTACTTTTATCTTTCATTAAAATGTAAGAAAAAAATCAATCCTGGAAAATGAAGGAGCTATCGACTTCAACTTTTAATATGTAATTAAAATGTAAGAAAAAAATCTATCCTGGAAATTAAAGGAGCTATCGACTTCGACTTTAAATATGTTTTTCATATTACATAAAATGTTTTACTATTACTATGCTTGGATTGGTATGATTATTTTAAGCATCATATATATTACTTGTTATTTATATTTTATTTGCCTTTTATTTATTTTTACAATTTTAATAAAGACTCAATAAAAGAGATGTTTGTATATTTAATCTTCTGTAATCCCAGCTGTGAGAGCATGTTTAGACATTTTTAGTTATCGGAATTAGAGGGATATCACTTGGTGACTTGGTCAGTACCTCATACAAAAACAAACTGTCATAATTTTTTTCAGTTGACTATGCCATCTTAAGATTATGTAAAACCAACTAAGCCAAAGTAACAACTCATCTTATTGAAAAGTTCTTCTTGTCATAATTATTTAATTCCATTGAGAAGTTATCATGTTTTGATATAAGACATGTACATCTACTATTAATTTGAAATGAGTATTCTTACTATTGTAGACTTTTGTATCCTCTCCCATATAAGAATAAGGCGATGTAGTATGGTTGCCAATGAGAAAACTTTCAAACGTATCTAATGTAGCAGATTTAAGTTGTGAAAGGTCACTGTAGAGCCTTCAACAAAAAGCAAAATCCATACCGTGTAGTCAGCTATAAAAGGCCCTGACATGACAAAATCCATACCGTGTAGTCAGCTATAAAAGGCCCTGACATGACAAAATGTTCAACAATTCAAACAAAAACAAAAAAACGAGCAGCCTGATTTATGACAAAACAATAAATGAAAAACAGACAGCAACCAAAAATAAGCACTGATTTACAGACTCTTGACTTGGGGCAGGTGCATAAGAATGTGGTGGGGTCATACATGTTTGTGAGTGCTCAACCCCCCTTGTGCAATGCCAAAATATAAGTACATAATACCAACAGGATGTAGGACCAGGAGTTTTTATAAATGTTTAGCAATATACACTTAGTTACGTTTTAATTTATCAAAAACAAAATAAATGTTAGTAATGATAAAAACAGTGTGTGATGAGGGGGAGGGGGATGCTTTTGAGGAAAAGAGGGTACCTAATTTATCATCTTCAGTTCAACCTAGATCCCTGAAACTTAATTGGAAGATTGTTGAAGTTGTGCATCTGCTGTTATGGACCTGCTTGAGGAATTTTTACATTTCATCTTTCAATTATTCAAATGTTCAGTATTGAGCATTTCCATAGTTAAAGAAAGATGATTTTACGCAACCTGGCTATTTAAATATTTGATCTTTTATTCAATTATTATGTGTAATAGGTCAACTATATTTGGTATTAAGAATCATTAAAAGGTACTTATGCCCTTCAGACAGACCTAGGGTCACCAGACCATGACTTATTTGTTAGGTCGCTGTCTCATTGCTATATACCCCAATATCTAACCCTGACCTCATTTTCATTGGTTAATGTGATTTTGTCAGTTTCTCCATTATAAGTAATAGAATAAGTATTTTTGGTGTATAGAATAATTGTAGGTAAACTTGTCTGCATTTTCATCATTCAATGATCAGTGTCAAGTATTTAAGATGAGGTAAGTTTATCTGATACGTTAAGTAATTGGTTAAATATGTCTTAAAAGATAGATTGATTTTGATGTACACATGTCCTACTGGTGGGGTACATCTGACCACATTAATTTTATTGTTAATGTTTTGTGATTAGGTCATTTTCTCAGCTATCATTTATAACTTATTAAGGTTGGGTCAATATAGCAAGTGCAAAGTGTGTATGTCTTTCTGACAGGATTTATATAGTTCATTGATCAATGTCACGTTATTGTAATAAGGTCGGTTTCTTACCAATAAGTAATAGGTCAACTATTTGGTGTAAGTAAGTTATACATGTCTGTCTTACAGTTCATTTGACTTTTACTTCATTTTCATGATTGACATTAAGTTTTGTAATTAAGGTAAGTTTTTTAGGTAGTACATGTACTGTTGATTCATTAATTATTTGACACAGCAGAGGTTTCTGACACAGAATGAATGTGGTCTAAGAACTGAAAAATTTGAAATTGGACTTTTACCTATTATGGTCCAAGATATCCAAAATCTAAATACACAGTTAGATTCAGCATATCCAAGTACATCAAGAATTTAATTTATTTATTTATTAATAGACATTATTAGCTAAGATCTTAAAGGGGTTTGCATCATAAAAAAAATATATATATAAAAAATTATAGCATTCCGAAAATTATTTTAAACAGAATAAAAAAGCTACAAATTCAAAAGTTAACCGAAAAAATCGAATAAAACACTTTACAAAATATCATTCATCATTTATTATATGTCTTTAAAAAATCTATAAACATACCTTTAGTTATTTTTCAAAATATGAAATAATGAACAGTAAATTTCAATCTATATGTAACTTTATTTCTTCTCTAAAATTTGAATTTGATGCTGTATCTATTTTAAACTATGAATCTTCTTACAATTTCTATTAATTGTGCAATACAGCTCTGAATTTTGATTGTGATTAAATATTTGACATAGCAGAGGTTCCTCACACAGAATGAATGTGGTCCAAGAACTCAAAAAATTTAAATAAGACATTTACCTATTATGGTCACATATCCAAAATCTAAATACATGGTTAGATTCAGCATGTCAAAGAACCCCAGTAATTAATTTTAGGAGCCTTTGAACCTCAATGTGTACCAATTTGATTACAGGGCCCAAAGTTAAAAATCTAATTATGCACGGTTAGATTCATCATATCAAAGAACCCATTATGTAATTTTTTTGTTGAAATTAAAACAAAGTTTAATTATGGACCCCAACTTGGACCAACTTGAAAACTGGGCCCATAATGAAAAATCTAAACACATGTTTAGATTCAGCATATCAAAGAACCCCAAGAATTCAATTTTTGTTAAAATCAAACTAATTTAAATTTTGGACCCTTTGGACCTTAATGTAGACCAATTTAAAAAACAGGACCCAAAATTAAAAATCTAAAAACACGGTTAGATTTGGCATATCAATTAACCCCAATAATTCAATTTTTGATGAAATCAAACAAAGTTTAATTTTTTACCCTTTTGACCTCAATATGAACCAATTTGATAGCGGGGCCAACAAATAAAAAATCTAAATACATGGTTAGATTCAGCATATCAAAGAACCCCATATATTCAATTTTTGTTGAAATCAAACAAAGTTTAATTTTGGACCCCAATTAGGACCAACTTGAAAACTGGGCAAAAAATCAAAAATCTAAATACATGTTTAGATTCAGCATATCAAAGAACCCCATATATTCAATTTTTGTTAAAATCAAACAAAGTTTAATTTTGGACCCTTTGGACCTTAATGTAGACCAATTTGAAAACTGGACCCAAAATTAAAAATCTAAATACACGGTTAGATTCGGCATAACAAATAAATAAATGTGGTCACAGATTTTACAAATCTAATGCACCATACTGTGCAATTAAAGATTACTTCTTGAAATTTTTCAATATTTGAAATTTGAATAAAACATAATATTTGAAGAATAATTCTTTTTAATTTCTGAAATCTGAAATGAGAAAAAATTGACCCCCCACAATTTCTTTTTACCCAACCCCCCCCCCCCCCTTTTTTCCCCAAAAAAACTCTTTCCTTCAAGATATGGTCATAATTTCAATTCAAATTTACCATAGTGCTAACTTAATCTATTTTATAATAGAATTTAAAATATAGTGTCAAATCTTCCATATGGATTTTTTTGTAAAAAAAAAAGATGCAACATTTGCAGATATTTTTACTGGTCTTCCTTTATAAATATGCATTTCTTTAAACATAATTTAAAAGCAGTGTAAGGGAAGTAACCAAAACGTTGTATTTGGATTACCTCCCTTACACTGTTTTAATTATCTTAATTGTTCATTAACCATTACTTTATACATAATTTAAAAGCAGTGTAAGGGAGGTAATTACAATGATTTATTTGATTTATCTCCCTTACACTGCTTTAAATTATGTTTTGTACTACAGTATTTGTCCATTAACCAGGACAACCTTGTTTTTCCCCCTTTTTTGCCCCTTATTCCTAAACGGTTTGAGCCATAACCCCCAAAGCAAATCCTAACCATCCCTTTGTGGTATGGAAACTTGTAGTATAATTTCAGAGAGATCCATACACCATTCCACAGTTATTGTCTGGAAACTAGAAAATGCTTATTTTTGGCCCCTAATTCCTTAACTGTTGGTACCATAACCCCCAAAATCAATCCCAACCTTCCTTTTGTGGTATTCAACCTTATGGTAAAATTTCAAAGAGATCAATTCACTTTAACTAAAGTTAGAGTGCGAAAACCAATGTGTCTTCGGACGACGACGACAACGCCAACGTCATACCAATATACGAATTTTTTGTGGTCGTATAAAAACTAGGACAAAAATGCAAAATGTAAATACACAGTTAGATTCATCATATTAAAGAACCACAAGAAATCAAAATTTTGAATAAAACCCCATTGAAATTGGTCAATAATATAAGCAATTTATATAAAGTGTAAGAAAAGTATTGTTTTTGGCCCCTTTTACCTAAACGGTTGGGGCCATAACCCCCAAAAATAATCCCAATCTTCTTTTTTTTGTATGGAACCTTGTGGTATAATTTCATAGAGATCCATAGTTTTATACTTGAGTTATTGTCCAGAAACCATAAAATCCTAGTTTTTTTGCCCACCAATTCCTAAACTGTTTGGGCTATAACCCCCAAAATCAATTCCATCCTTCCTTTTGAGGTATGGAACCTTGTGGTACAATTTCATAGAGATCCATACATTCATACACAAGTTTTTGTCCTGAAACAAGAAAAATGCTTGTTGTTTGCCGCTTTTTGGCCACTAATTCCTAAACAGTTAGGACAATAATCCCCAAAATCAATCCCAACCTTCCTTTTATGGTATGGAACCTTGTGGTACAATTTCATAGAGATCCATACACTTATACTCGGTTATTGTCTGGAAACCAAATGTCTTCAGAAGACGACAAGGTCATACATGTACCATTATACGACTGCAAAATTTTTGCTGTTGTATAAAGATTAATTCAGTTTATTTAACCTACATCTTTCCTGTATTTGATTTTTTCAGTGATCATATGTCTCAATAGGATTACCTATTGCAACCATACACTACTATCAATGTTTTTTAATAGTGCAAATGTATCTTTTGAGGTTCACAGAAACAGCAACCTATAGTGAATGGACTTCCCTGATTTCTTACAGTATTTTTTTAATAAGTTAAAGATAAATCTGTAAACAAATTGTATATTTATTCATAGTTTAAAAGTAACACATTTTATAAAATATTCAACAATATTCATCTCTACATTTTTAAAAAATTATTTACATACATTAAATAACTTACCACAAAAATATATATGATTTTTATTAACTTTTTTGTAGTAGTTGCTCAGTAAAGTTACAGTGGCTTTGTAAAATCAGTTACTGTTTGTTTTTGTTCTTCCAAAATTTGACAGACATTTATGACATCTTTCACATTGTATTTTAAAGACTGAAAAATTACAATTAATGGGCAAGATAAACACTAAGCTCTATGAAACACAGATATACTATAGATTCCAAAAATCATGCATTTTAGACGGTAATGACAACAAAATTCTCCAGTTAAATATTTAGATGGCCTTATTTAAATATTTGATGTGTCATAAGCAAAAACTTTGGAAATCAATGAGTGTGTTTATCATTGTGAAATGTCAAAGACTGACTGAAATGCAAATCTTCATTTAAATATGCACTTATACACTTATAGAATAATAATGTGATTGTTACAAATAGTGTGATCTGTTCTCATTCACTTTTTTTTTGCATGAATAGAAATTATTCAATTAATTGCTGAGTTTTCTGAAATAGCAGTTGGTAAAACTTTCTCTTGTCAACAAAACTGTCAACAAGCAGATTACTAGTATGTTAAACAAATCTAGCAAGTCTGATATTCCAGTACCAATTCTATTCTTTTTGCAACCAAAAGCAGAATCCATAAAATAGAGAAATGTTGTGAATAAAACTTACATAATATAATCTTAACTGCCTTAAGAACAAATAAGGTATATGAAGTGTGATGAATCTGTCTACCATGACATCCCATCTTGAACTACTATTTATAGAGGTTCCATGTTTATATAAAATTTTTGTCCAAATAAGTACATTTAACTTAAAGCTAGATATTTGTAAATGACACTTAAACAATATATATCACAGGCAAGGCATAGAATACATTTTTTAAAAAGGATTCATCAGTAGACAATTGTTGTAATAAATCTTTAGAGTTATCTACATTTGTTAATCAGTTGAGTTTAAGAATATGAAATATAATTATATTTCCCATCACTGCCTTCACTTGTACGACCATGATTATATAGAGTTTCATAATCCTAAAATAATTCCATCAGTCAATCACATACAGTTAATCCTGTCAAAATGCCATGACTTATTGAAGTTTTAATGAAACCATACATTTTATCAGTCATGACCAAAGCTGATAATTTTCTGACTTTTAACCCTTAAAAAACCACTGACTGATGAAAGGTAAAAAATACAATTTATTTTTTATTTTGACCATTTTATTGCTCCATCTCCAATATTAAAGTATGTCTTTAGAATATGTCTAGCTGACTGTCCAATTCCAATAGCAGCAAAACTCATTACAATTGTTCCTTGAACAGCTAAACGTGTGTGAATTAAATACATAGGAAGGTCCAGTTTTCTTCTCCTTAGTCCCCACATAGCATATATAAATAAACAACCTGCTACAGGAAGTCCTGAAATAAAATAAAAGTCAAATTGAGGAATGTTGAAATATTCCATGATTGCATTACCATGATTACATACTAAATATATAAGATGAAGAAAAAGACTTTTTAATTTCCAAATAAGGTCTCATGGGGAATATACACATATCAAATATAATCCTTCACAACATACAATATTGGAGAGAAAAAAAAATATAACGGTTGCTAATCCAGGGATACTGCATGTCCCCTCACTTGATTTTATCAGCAATTTTTTTTTGAGAGAATGTCTCACATGTGTGTAATTTCAATGGTGTAGTCCAAATGTTGACATTGTTGCCCCTACAGTTTACACAGAGAGAGAAGATTCACGAACTTTTTCCACCAATTTCGGTGTATAGCAGTGTCACACCCTGAATCATGGATTTGACTCCCAAATTCCTCCAAAAGTTTCTCCTAACAACGTGTGGGTGATAATTGATTTATTGCTCATCTGATATAATAATAAAATGCTCCGCAGGGCGCAGCTTGATACGACCGCAGAGGTCGAACCCTGAACAGTTGGGGCAAGTATGGACACAACATTCAAGCTTGATACAGCTTTGCATTTGGATTGTGATTAAATATTTGACACAGCATAGGTTTCTGACACAGAATGAATGTGGTCTAAGAACTTAAAAATTTTAAATTGGACATTCACCTATTATGGTCTAATATCCAAAATCTAAATACATGGTTAGATTCAGCATATCAAAGAACCCCAAGAATTCAATTTTTGATGAAATCAAACAAAGTTTAATTTTGGACCCTTTTGACCTCAATGTGGACAAAGTTGATAACGGGGCCCAAAAATCAAAAATCTAAATACATGGTTAGATTCAGCATATCAAAGAACCCCATATATTCAATTTTTGTTGAAATCAAACAAAGTTTAATTTTGGACCCCGATTTGGACCAACTTGAAAACTGGGCCAAAAATCAAAAATCTAAATACATGTTTAGATTCAGCATATCAAAGAACCCCATATATTCAATTTTTGTTAAAATCAAACAAAAAGTTTTATTTTGAACCCTTTGGACCTTAATGTAGACCAATTTGAAAACTGGACCCAAAATTAAAAATCTAAATACACGGTTAGATTCGGCATATCAAAGAACCCAAATAATTCAATTTTTGATGAAATCAAACAAAGTTTAATTTTGGACCCTTTGGACCTCAATGTGGACCAATTTAAAAACAGGGCCCAAAATCCAAAAACTAAATACACGGTTAGATTCAGCATATTAAAGAACCCCAAGAATTCAAGAATAAAACCCCATTGAAATTGGTCAAGAAATAAGCAATTTATACGAAGTATCTTCTTTTGCACAATACTGTGCAATTAAATATTTCTTGCTATTGCGCAATACTGTACAATTGACAATTTCTTGCTATTGCGCAATATTGTGCTATTGGATATTTCTTACTATTGCGCAATACTGTGCAATTGAAGATTTCTTGCTATTGCGCAATACTGTGCAATTGAAGATTTCTTGCTATTGTGCAATACTGTGCAATTGAAAATTTCTTGCTATTGCACAATACTTATTATATAATAATTTACACATCCTGTTTGGTGTGTATCTCCTACCATATCATTATTATTTGCTTTTAAATATAAATCAGAAATAACCAACTTAAAATGGAAAATTTTAAAAGAAAACCCCCCCCCCCAAAAAAATTTTTTGAACCCCCTTATGATTCATCACCCCCAAACTTAATCCTCACCTTCCCTTTGTGGTATGGTACCTTGCAGTACAATTTCAGAGAGATCCATACACTTGAACACAAGTTATTGTCTGGAAACTAGAAAAATGTGTTTTTTTGCCCCTTTTTGGCCCCAAATTCCTAAACGTTTAGGGCAATTACCCCCAAACTCAAACCCAGCTTTCCCTTTGTGATATGGAACCTTGCAGTACAATTTCAGAAAGATCCATACACTTACACACAAGTTATTGTCATGAAACTAGAAAAATGCTTGTTTTTTGCCCCTTTTTTTGCCCCTAATTCCTAAAATTTTGAGGCAATTACCCCCAAAATCAATCCCAGCATTCCTTTTGTGATATGGAACCTTGTGGTACAATGTCAGAGAGATCCATACACTAACACACAAGTTATGTCTGGAAGTTACAAAAATGCTTATTTTTGGCCCCTAATTCCTTTACTGTTGGTACCATAACCCCCAAAATCAATCCCAACCTTCCTTTTGTGGTATTGAACCTTGTGGTAAAATTTCATAGAGATCCATTCACTTAAACTAAAGTTAGAGTGCGAAAACCAATGTGTCGTATAAAAATCTACAACGTGTAACATGTCAAATATGCACTAGTTTTTCAGTCAAAGGACCAATGTCCATGACTGAGGGGGCAGGGCCCAATAATCTTCATTAAAGTGAAATTTGCAAAAGCAAATACATTTACCGGCTACTGTCTATCAAATATCATTAAGTTACCATTAGTTGTTCCCCTTTAACTGACCTTGTCACAAATGTTACATGTAAACTATGCAAAAGTTTTAAAGTCAATGAACCACTAGTAGTCTACAAAGGGGATGAGACCAAATAATCTCCATGGAAATGAAATGAGCCGATACAAATTCAACTGTCTACCAAATATCATTCAGTTACCATTAGTGATTCCTATTAAGGTGTAATACCCCCAAATCATAGTACGTCGCATCCGGTTACATACGAAAAAGGGTAGAAAAAAATATTCCCTTGAATTTGACAGTTGTAGGTAATTAATCCTACATTTCATCGCAGTAAAAAAAATCTGTGTCATAAACATATATCTTGGGTATTTCAAATCACCATTATCTTTTTAATTGGTGTTTCTATAGAATATTTCGGAAACTTGAGGTTTCATGGTTACTAAAGTTTGTACACAGATAAAAAAAGAGGTGAAAATTTAATTGGTTAACTTCCAGTGATGGTTATTTTCTTATATGCAATGAAATGTTATGTGAAATTTTGTCTACAGTACTGGACAGGATAAAACTTTACTCATGCCAAGTATTTCTTTATTTGAAACAAAGATAAATTCTGTACAATTTTTTGAAAAGTGCAAATTTAACAAAGACTAATAGGGGAAAATCAATGGTGGTATTACACCTAATAAACTGACAACAGACCTAATCACAAACTTTAACATGTTACTTAATATTGTTAAGAATACAAAATTTGCTCAGTCAATGAACCATGACTGACGGAGCAGGGCCAAATAATCTCAATGGAAATGAGATGTGCCAACAATAATAAAACTGTCTACCATATATAATTGACTTACCATTAGTTTTCACCCCTTTAACTGACCTAATAACTTGAAAACTTTCAAAAACAATGGACCACACTACAAAGGGGACAGGACTAAATAACAACCATGGAAATAAAACAATGGACCACACTACAAAGGGGACAGGACTAAATAACAACCATGGAAATGAGATTACCTTGAACCTTGAATGGTAGGGTAAGTTAATAACTTAAAATTAATGCATTCCTCGTTCTAATACGACTGCAAAAATTTTGCGGTCGTATATTGGTATCACGTCGTCGTCGTCCGAAGACACATTAGTTTCCGGACAATAACTTTTGTTAAGTGTATGGATTTCTATGAAATTTTACCATAAGGTTTATGACCACAAAAGGAAGGTTGTGATTGATTTTGGGGGTTATGGTCCTAACAGTTCAGAAATTAGGGGCCAAAATAAGCATTTTTGTAGTTTCCAGACAATAACTTGTGAAATGGTGTATGGATCTCTCTGAAATTATACCACAAGTTACCACACCACAAAGGGATGGTAAGAATTTGCTTTGGGGGGTTATGGCTCAAACTGTTCAGGAATTAGGGGCAAAAAAGGGGGGAAAACAAGGGTTTCCAGGTTAATGGACAATTACTTAAGTACAAAACATAATTTTAAAGCAGTGTAAGGGAGGTAATTCAAACACATATTGTCAAATTACCTCCCTTATACTGCTTGTAAATTATTCATAAAGAAATGTATTGTCTTTAGGTGATTAGCTGTCAATTTATTTTCAGAAGTTACTATTTAAAAAATGTTTAATAAAGGTAATTTAATTATAGCCATGATTATGTATGTAAAGGAATTTTATTTTTAGATATTACTTTTTAATGTTGCTGATGGAGGCTTTTTAATTTTAGACATGATTATGATGTCATTTTCTATTTTAAAAATTATTTAATTTTAGCCATGATTATGTATGTGAAGGAATTTTATTTTTAGATATTACTTTTTTTAATGTTGCTGATGAAAGTGTTTTAATTTTATTTTTAGGCATGATTATGATGTCATTTTCTATTTTAATATTTTTATGATGTATTTAAATGGGTTTTTATGGTTGCAAAGTCCTAGCTGTCAATTTATTTTTAGAAGTTACTTTTAATGCTGATGAAGGAATTTTATTTTTAGATATTATTATTAAAAGTTGCTGATGTAGGTTTTTTAATTTTAGCCATGACTATGATGTCATTTTCTATTCTAATACTTTTATGATGTATCTAAATGGACTTTTATGGTTAAAAAAAGCATTTTTCTATAGTTTCCAGACAGTAACTAGTGATTAAGTGTATGGATCTCTCTAAAATTTTACTACAAGGTTCCATACTACAAAGGAAAGACTGCAATTGAGTTTGATGGTTAATGCTAAAAAGGGGATTCAAAAAGTTTGGGGGGAAGGGGGGGGGTTTCCAATTTTTTTTAAAAGGGTTCATATTTTTATTTCAAAATTTTCAAAGTTTCAAATTTTGAAAAGTTTCAAGAAGAAATCTTCAATTGCACAGTATTGCGCATTAGATTTGTAAGATCTTTGACCACATTTATTTTGTGTCAGAAACCTATATTATGTCAAAAATTTGATCACAATCCAAATTCAGATAGTATCAAGCTTGAATATTGTGTCCAAATTTGCCCCGACTGTTCATGGTTACGACCACTGCGGTCGTATCAGACTGCGCTCAGCAAAGCATTTTATTTATATAGATTAGATCGTTGGTTTTCCTGTTTGAATGGTTTTACACTAGTAATTTTTAGGGCCCTTTATAGCTTGCTGTTCGGTGTGAGCCAAGGCTCCGTGTTGAAGACGTACTTTGACCTATAATGGTTTACTTTTATAAATTTTGACTTGGATGGAGAGTTGTCTCATTGGCACTCATACCACATCTTCTTATATCTATGATTTTGAATGAATTCTTATTGGGAATATGTCCCTTTACAACCATCTAGGAATGCCAGAAGCTAGGCATACAAAAACATGGATTTCACCAGTAATTGATTCAGTATGGTAATCAAAGTCAACAAACAACTGACTCACAAGAAAAATTACTTTTCTATTGTTACAGTTATTGATGAAGAATAAAGAACACCCTGATGCTGTGTAAACAAGATGTCTTTTGGGTTGTTACTATGTAAACAAGATGTCTTATGGATTGTTCGGTAACGGTTACTGTATTGTTGATGTTAACCTTCTCTAACATGTCTAACATCTTTTTCTTTATAAAAATCACAGAAAGAAATTTATAAATAGCCTTTTCCACTGATTTTGCATTCTCATTATCCACCTGTCTATTTAGAAGCCATGTAACATTCTCATTATCCACCAGTCTATTTAGAAACCAGGTAACATTCTCATTATCCACCAGTCTATTTAGAAACCAGGTAACATTCTCATTATCCACCAGTCTATTTAGAAACCAGGTAATATTCTCATTATCCACCAGTCTATTTAGAAACCAGGTAACATTCTCATTATCCACCAGTCTATTTAGAAACCAGGTAACATTCTCATTATCCACCAGTCTATTTAGAAACCAGGTAATATTCTCATTATCCACCAGTCTATTTCATGTATGTAGAAGCCAGGTAATATTCTCATTATCCACCAGTCTATTTAGAAACCAGGTAACATTCTCATTATCCACCAGCCTATTTAGAAGCCAGGTAATATTCTCATTATCCACCAGTCTATTTCATGTATGTAGAAGCCAGGTAACATTCTCATTATCAAACCAGTCTATTTAGAAACCAGGTAACATTCTCATTATCCACCAGTCTATTTAGAAGCCAGGTAATATTCTCATTATCCACCAGCCTATTTAGAAGCCAGGTAACATTCTCATTATCCACCAGTCTAATTAGAAGCCAGGTAATATTCTCATTATCCACCAGTCTATTTAGAAACCAGGTAATATTCTCATTATCCACCAGTCTATTAAGAAACCAGGTAACATTCGCATTATCCACTAGTGTATTTAGAAACCAGGTAACATTCTCATTATCCACCAGTCTATTTAGAAACCAGGTAACATTCGCATTATCCACCAGTCTATTTAGAAACCAGGTAACATTCTCATTATCCACCAGTCTATTTAGAAGCCAGGTATCATTTTCATTATCCACCAGTCTATTTAGAAACCAGGTAACATTCTCATTATCCACCAGTCTATTTAGAAGCCAGGTAACATTCTCATTATCCACCAGTCTATTTAGAAACCAGGTAACATTCTCATTATCCACCAGTCTATTTAGAAGCCAGGTAAATAAGGTACTTCCAAATCAATGTTCATCTCATAGATCTTACCTACATAAAAAATCATTAACTCAACATACAAAGATCTTACCTACATAAGGAACCATTAACTCAACATACAAAGATCTTACCTACATAAGGAACCATAAACTCAACATACAAAGATCTTACCTACATAGGGAACCATTAACTCAACATACAAAGATCTTACCTACATAAGGAACCATAAACTCAACATACAAAGATCTTACCTACATAAGGAACCATAAACTCAACATACAAAGATCTTACCTACATAAGGAACCATAAACTCAATTGGTCTACTTTTTGGCTTGGTCAACTCAGGAAACTCTTTCTTTGCTTCCTGATATTCCAGCCAAGCGTTTTCACGTTCTTCAGCCATCCATTGCTCTATAGGTGGGCGATCAAGATAAACTGGTTCATACCTGGGTTCTAAAATGGAGCAATATATTTTGTTGTTTACATATAATCATGTTATGCCAACTCAGCATGAGAATAGCTAGGGGAACTGATGAAATGCAATCAGTTAGTATTCTGACTTTAAAAATTGAGGTCAGTTAATATATAATTCAGTTCTCATTTGAACTATGGTCTTAAAGGGAATAAAATGCTTCGCTGAGCGCAGCTGGATAAGACCGCAGAGGTCCAACCCTGAACAGTGGCAAAAATGGACACAATATTCGCACTTGATACAGGTCTGATTTTGGTTTGTAATTAAATATTTGACACATAATAGGTTTCTGACACAGAATAACTGTAGTCAAAGAACTTAGAATTGGTTATATGATTTGAATTTATATTCAATTTTTTGCTTTTGTGCAATACACCATGCTGTTGCTTATTGACCCCCCCCCCCCTTTATTTTGCCAAAAAAAAATTTCTTTTTAATTTCTGAAATCTGAAATGAGAAAAAATTGCCACCCCCCCCCCCCCCCCCTTTTTTTCCAAAAAAATAAATTCTTTCCCTCAAGATATGGTCATAATCTCAATTCAAATTTCCAATGGAGTTTACATTCTTTACAACCATAATTACCAATTTAAATACATCATAAAAGTCTTGAAATAGAAAATGACATACATAAGCATGGCTAAAATTAATATTCCTTTAATAGTAACTTCTAAAAATTAATTGACAGCTAATCACCTCAAGACAATACAACATCTTTATATCCAATTATTTAAAAGCAATGTAAGGGAGGTAATCCAAATTCTTTTTTTTAATACTTTAAATGCATTTGGATTACCTCCCTTACACTGCTTTTAAATTGTACATTAACCAGGAAACCCTTGTTTTTCCCCCTTTTTTGCCCCTAATTCCTAAACGGTTTGAGCCATAACCCCCAAAGTCAATCCTAACCATCCCTTTGTGGTATGGAAACTTGTGCTATAATTTCAGAGAGATTCATACACCGTTCCACAAGTCAAATAAGCATTTTTCTAGTTTCCAGACAATAACTTGTGGGAACTAGAAAAATGCTTATTTGGGCCCTTTTTTGGCCCCTTATTCCTTATCTGTTGGTACCATAATCCATAAAATCAATCCCAACTTCCTTTTGTGGAATTGGACCTTATGGTAAAATTTCATAGAGATGATCCATTCACTTAAACTAAAGTTATTGTGTGAAAACCAATGTGTCTTCCGACAACGACGACGACGCCAACGTCATACCAATATACGACCACTTTGCCGTTGTATAAAAATGAGGCCATTTATATGAATATTAAATATTCATTATTTGTGCCATGACAGCTATCAAATTGAAATATTTGACAGATTTTTCATATATTTTAAATTTAATGAACAAATCAGTTCAAATCTTTAACATTAACTAATTGAATCGACTGAAGAAGACACTTGAGTGTTTAAAAAATTTCAAAAAACTCTTTCATCAGATGTACCTCGAATATTAGGCCAAAATCAGTCCTTATCGGACCTTCTCCTTTCAGGTTCATGTGGACCCTTTGACTGAAATGACTGCGTTTTCACCTCAAAATTTACACGGAGTACAGGCAAACCTGTGCATCTGGAAAAGTTTCAAGGCAAAGCATGCTCTAGATAAATAAAATTCTAATGCATTGTACTTAAAATTTTTAAACTTAACTGGATTGTGCAGTGCACTTTTTTTTGTCCCTGTAGAAGATGAAAAAATTAACAAACAGTTGAGTTTCACTTGATATGGTCCACTTAGATACACAGTTTAAATCACCAATTATTGTCAGGTATCTATTGTCCATGTCAATCAATACAGTTCACTTTAATTATTAGCTGTGGGAAAGTTCTCAAACCTCTTTCCTAACTTAGTTTATTTTGGCACCTTCTGGAGAAATAACAAAAAGTGCACTGCAAAATCCTGTTAAGTTTTTAATTTTCTAAAACATAAACTAAATTTGAATTTTATTTATCTAGGGCATGCTTTAATTTTGCCTTAAAACTTTACCAGATACACAGGTTTGTCTGTGCTGAGAGTAAATTTGAGGTGAAAATGCAACCATTTTAGCCAAATGGTCCACATGAACCTAAATATTATCACTGGTTATACACCTTATCGCTATTTGAAAATCTGCGCCACTTGATCCGAGAATCTGCGCCGATTGAACTATTGACGTCATACAACAATCACTTTTCCATTGTGGCGTCAGTTATTTTCTGTTGTGACATCAAAATTTTACAGGAACCTTTGTGATGTCCAGTTATGCCGGACAAATAGCGATAAGGTGTATTATAGATAGTTCAAGCTGACTCTAGAGACAGTTTGAGTTGTATCATTAGTCAGTGTTACAGAAAAATGATGTATCCTAAACCTGTATCAATATTCACCTTTAATCATATGTGTTAGCTTGTATGCATTCCTTTTTAATGTATAAGTTTTAATGTGTTTGAATTGTTAAAATATGTTATAATATTAACACACTGTGTATTATAAACATAGTCATAGGCTAAAATAAACTTTTCAGCCCACATTATACCTCATGAAAGTTTTAAATCTGCTTTTCATTGTAAATTGTAATTACCTGGCTTCGTGTTATTGTCCGCCATCTCTGTATCCACTATATAGTTTTTTTTGACAAAATGAGACTGTGATTACGAAATCATCAACAAAATACGAAATGACCTTGACCCTGAAAAGGGGTCTCACTAATTAGCGACAACAAGCGTCAAGAAGCGACAACAAGCGTCAACAAGCGACAAGAAGCGACAACAAGAATTATTTTAGCGACAAGAAGCGACAAGAAGACTATTTAGCGACAAGAAAACATTTTTTTTTATTAGATATAAAGAAATTTGTATTTAATGTTTTTTTTTAAATATACGAGCAGATATGTCTAATTAAAATGTTTTATTATATAGATAGACGAAGAAATGAAACCGTGATTTGTGAGGAAGAAAGAGATTGTGAAGTTTATATTAGTATATTGGTAGATGAAGAAATTAAACATTTGTGAAGAAGAAAGAGATTGAGCTTCTTTTTTTAATTTTTAAATATGAAGAATATGTATAAGATAATGTATGTATCTGTTTTCATCAAAGTCAAAGTATGAATAAACGAATGGAGATATATATGGAGCGGGCATAATGGAATATAATATTTTGATTCATTTGCTTAATACTATGCTCTAAGTGTACTCTTGTTATGTCAATTCGATGCTTTATTTGTAGAACTCTCAGCCATCTTTATTATTTAAGCGTGTTTCCAGACCCAACGACGAGGACGTGGTTCTACCTTGGGGTCCATATAATTTTTTTTTTTTTTTTTTTAATTATTTTTAGTCATTATATAGTAATATGTACATTCCTATCTAACATAATATTTATACATTTTGTACATGGTGGTCCCATTTTGATAAGCCGTAGATTTTTACCACTAAGGTTCACTGTATTTTTGCCCTTTTTGAAGTTGTAGTTTTAGCATTTTTAATACGTTTCCGTTGGCAAGGTTTACGTGCACATGCACTTGTTTTGGGGATTGTCAGCCCACCATCTGTTGAAGTGGTGGACTCTGGGATTGCGTTTAACTTTCTCCCATGAGTCAAGAATTTTTGCAATGCAAAAGCCTTTTCTTTCTCCGATCATTAATCTGCCATAGAGCTTTTGTGCATTGAAAATGGCTTACTGAGGAGCTTAGCTCAAAGTCTCCATGTCCATAAAGTGCGCCATTGACAAGACTTTCTTGCAACTTTATTTCTTTGTGAATTTTATTAATTAACTCTGGAAGTTTCTCAGGCTTCCAATCTTGATTTAGTTTCAAGATGTGATTGATTGATTCACAATTATTGTTTTTCCATTGCAATGGAATTCTCGACTCTGTTTTTCGAGCATTGTACACGTAATCCCTTATAGTAGGAATAACTTTTTGCGTAAGATATGGACCAACGAGGTCTTCATATTTTCTTTCAATATCAGTAACCTCAGTGGAAAAATCTACCGTCGTATCTGCTTCTATCAGACCGTTATCCCCAAATAAGTCTGATAAAATTTGTTTTGCGTTCTTGTCATTTACGCCAACCTTTGTTCTCAAATGCCTTGTAACATTTTCACTCAAGTGCCTTGTGCACAATGTGAGTTCAGATGTTGGAAAACTGTCTTTGATAGCTTTTACTAAAGCCTTTTCCTCATCTGAACCAATCACAAGATTGCTATAACTAAGCAAGGTATCACTTATTGTTGTATCAAGCACTGAGGCAATTTTCTTTTCCTCTTGTTTGATTTCAGTTCTTTGTATTTCACAATTTGTGTCAATATTTTCAGGACAATGATGCACAAATAATTCATTTTGCGAGCTTAATATATATTGCACGAAAAGAGTTTTAAAAAACAAATTATAAGATAAATAATATGTTCTAAAACACAAGGAAAAGTAATCTCATAATACAATAATTAAACGTAATACTGGCTGTTATACATAATAGATGATAAAATATTATGTAAATAATGTTTCATTTTTTTCTATCAATTTTAACTTTCTTGTCGCTAAAATTATTTTCTTTTGCATATTCTTTTAATATTTATTGCAATAATTAATTTTAATTAAAAAAAATATGTTTTCTTGTCGCTAAATAGTTTCTTGTCGCTTCTTGTCGCTAAAATAATTCTTGTTGTCGCTTCTTGTCGCTTGTTGACGCTTCTTGTCGCTAAAATTCTTGTTGTCGCTAATTAGTGAGACCGCTGAAAAGGTTTTTTAAAACATCGAAGAGATCCACAAAAATCAGAATCGAAAAACGCTTCAAAATAAATGCAAAACTCAGCTGTCACATGCCCTCAGAAGCTGGATATTTAAATAGCTATACATCTACATATCACACTCAATCATTTTATTCAACAAAAAACTTATTTTAAATTACAAAAACATAATAGTACCAGAGTTAACTAGAAGAATAACCACCTGACAGGATATTAAGTTGTCGTTGCGGTTACACTGTAGACAAACTGACAAATGTACATTTCCTGAGTTATATCTACATATACACAATTCTCCATATTACGCAGGATTAAACTCGAGATCAAATGTGCATGTATTTCCCCTGAAGAGATGCAAGGGAAAGCATATGAGTTAGTCAATCAACTGGCTTTACTTCTCAGAAAAAATGGTAATGGTGTTTATTATTTTTGTTTCTATACTTACATTAGTTGATGAAGTTCTATTAGATTGATTAAATAAATTTTATTTTACAAAACATATAATTGTACAGAAGAGCTGGATTCTTATTAGAAAATCACATCGTCTCCCCTGGACCTCTGTGTTTCTAGTTGGCACACTAACCTAATGAGCTAAAAAAGTACTTTCCTTGCTAAGCTGCTTATGACTGGCTAAGTATCTGCTACTAAAGAGAAGCAATCCCGTCACACTTCCCCAACCTCTAGAGTCATCATACCACTATGACCCTCACAACACAAACCGTTTCTAGAAATCCTCACTAACCAACATGGATTTTTTTATCATGTTTAAGTTGAGCCCCAAATGTAACTGGAGAGCAAGATTCTTATTAATAAATCACATTGTCCATTAATTTCTCAAACCTTGGACATTTGTGTTTCAAGGCAACTCTTGGACAGACTTAATTAAAAATACTTTCCAAGCTCAATCGCTTACGGCTGACTAAGTATGTCTATTAAAAGCTCAATAAAGCTTATTTTATGTCCTAGTTTGTATACTGTGGGACTCTAAATAAAGCTAATTTATTATTTATTACTACTAAAGGGAAGCAATCCCATCACATAATACTACAGATTGAGAACTAGGTCTTGTGAATTCTTTGAAAATGTTAAAATACAAAATAATATAAAACTAGTGAATAATACCTGGAATACCTTATTAAAGGGTAAGGATCCGGAAATTTTTCCACACAATTTCAGTCATTTTGAGATGATTGAAAAGTTGGTGTCCCTTTCCAAATTGTCGATGTCAACTTGACTAGATTCATAGCATCAACGATCTTGTATTGCTGTTTCATCACATTTACTAAGTAAATGTTTACCATTACCATGAAGAACAGTTTAGGGAAGGCAATAGGTGTAAAATTGAAATGATTTTAATGACTCAAAATGGTAAATCTCTCAGACATTGCTTACGTTTCTTTCGATTTGACAAAAGTTAAAACTGGAAGTTTGCGATAAAGTTAAAGTAATAATAATTCCGGATTCATTTCCATGATTTGTTTTGTTTATCAAATTGACAGTAAATCACCGGCTTTTTATGGCTTTTTTATTTTATTACCTTTAAAAGTGTTTGAATGTAACAGACAATAGTTGCACTTATTGACTTGCAAGCCAATGATACATTTTTGTACATCAGTGTATATTCCACTTTTATCAATGCTTAAAGGGGCACTAGCTGTCAAATTCATGTTCACCGATTTGACTCAAATTCTCATATTTGATTAATAACAATGTAAAACATTTATTCAAATTATAAAAAGTCTAAAATAAACAATATTCTGGGCATGGGCTCGATAATATGTAGCTTCGTTTCGTGTGTATTTTAGTCTAGACGCCATCTAATTAACTGATGAGTTGACCCCAAGGACCCCTGATTGCCATATAAGCGATATAAACATAAATAAAGATATAAATAGATAGCAGAATCGTGCATTTGGTTTTTTCTAGGTCTGTTTAATTTCATATTATAGATTAAAAATATATGGTAATCATCGTTTTTACCTGTATAAGAATGATTTTTTGTGGATCGAATCAGTCAATCAAATGATTTACCTTTGTTTCATTTTCAATGTTGACATTCTTTTCCTTTAAATAATTGAACACACACAATGCATGCGGTATCCATCTCTAGCCAAGGGGTTAAATTGAAGTTCACATGAATACGGATTCAATGAGGTCGAATTATTCACTTGCAAGTGAATAATTCATCCTCAATGTTTCTTAGCTTATTTTGACAAATTGAACCATACTGGTTGCTAAAATCGATATACTATTTCACTATTTCACTTTCATTAATGATTGAACAAAAAAAAATCATATTTAATATTTTTAAATTTTTATATATCTTGTAGCTAGTGCCCCTTTAAAACAAAACAAAAAAATCCTATTTTAATTTTTGTCCAATTCATGGCTAATGCCCCTTAAAGAAGTTATTTAGATTTCCATGTTTTAAAACATCATAGTGGAATTTCTAGAAAAAAAGACAAAAGAATCAATCATACCAAGATCACCCCTCTTTCTGTGATTTTTTTTTAATTCTCAAAATATGTATGTCATATGTCAACATTTTACTTATTTTTTCATAAAACATCAAGGCCATGACATGAACAATGTGAAGCAATCCAAACCCCCCACCCCACCCCAAAAAAATCAAATGGTCCATGCCTAACTTTAAGAGTGTTTGGGGGTGGGAGTGAGGTTAAACATGTTTTTGAGTGATCAACCCATTCCTTGTTCTGGGACAGTGGTGTAACAATTGGATATGGCTGGACTCATCAGATTGGCACAAAGCACAAAAACAATTAACATATAGACATAAGACAATTACATTGTGTAGTATTGATTAAAGAGTTCTCACATAAACTTAAAACTAGTTCTAAGCCAATTACAAATAAAATGGGTAAATAATTATGTTCTCCCAGACTAAAATGACCATAGTCATTTGTTGTGTTCATGTTTCTATATACAAAAGGCATTCAATGAACAATAGCATAATTGCATTTATGAAAATGCCTAAATATCTTAAATATAAAACTTATGCATTGATTAAGTACACCTACATGTAAATAATTAACGAAGAAAAGTATTGTCATTCCTCTTATGATAAAATATTTTATCAAACCTTTTATGTAATTAGACTTTTTAAGAAATGATTTATGACAGCCTGTGGTTTTTAGAAGATATGACAACAGGTAGGCCTTGTTTTGTTTTTTTTATTTCCAAAAAAAGGCTTACCTGTTGTAAAATAGTATGATAGGGAAAGGAGGTTTAAAAAAAAGACTAAATACTTGCTGCAGTGGACAACCCAATTTCTGAAAATATGATGTTTCCATCCACAATACATATTGTGATATCAATTTGTAGGGGTGGTTGATAGGAGTATTTTACCATAATTATGCCCCCGCCATAGGGGTGGGGGCATTAAGTTTTACCCTTGTCTGTCTGTCCGTCCGTACTTCCCAAAATTGGTTTCCGTTCTCTGTTTGCCTCAACCAAATGTTATGAAACTTATACACAATGCTTATTACCACAAAACACAGATCAAGTTTGAATTTTTGTGGCGTCACTTTAACCGTTCTAGAGTTATGCCCCTTTATAAATGGAAAAATTGCAAAATTTTTATTTTCTTCTAAATGTCAAGTAATTTTTAAAATTGGAGTTATCTTCCTTTGTCAATGATTATAGTTGAATCAACTACAATCAATGCTTTATACAATGCAATGTTTAATTTTGACTTCCACTGATAAAACACAGATCAAGTTGAATTTGGGTAGTGTCACTTTAACCATTATTGAGTTATGCCCCTTTATAAATCGAACGATTGCAAAATTTTTAGTTTCCATTCTGTAACTTAAGTTTGCCCAAACCAAACATTATGAAACCTATACACAATATTCATTACCACAAAACTAAGATCAAGTACAAATTTTTTGTTTACGTTTTCTAACTTTAGTTTGCCTCAACCAAATGTTATGAAACTTATACACAATGCTTATTACTACATAATACAGATTAAGTACGAAATTTGGTGGCGACACTTTTACCATTCTTGAGTTATGTCCCTTTATAAGGCCAAGTAAATTTAATTAGTAGATTTTCATCCAAATTTTTGAAAAAAATGGGGTGGGTGGGAGGATTTTATATTTTATTTTTTATTAGATATGAAACGCTCTTGTGACGTGTTCTTCATATATGCAAGTGTAATAATAAGGTTCTATCATGTATATACATGTATAACGAATCAAACATACAAAGAAATGCAAAAACCAAAATTTAAAACAGGATGTTATTAATGAAACGAAATTATCGACAGTTACCGGTAACGAAAATGAACAAAATCCGGAAATCGTAAATTTTTCAAAATAAAAAAAATTGGGGCGGAACGATTTCAGAGGGGCGGGCGGGGATGAAAATCTATCAATTAATTTTAATTGGCCTAAATATAAACATGATAAAAATTGCTGAATTTTTTAGTTTGTCTCAACCAAATGTTATAAAACTTATACACAACTGTTCTAGAGTTATGCGTGTTTACAAATAGAAAAATTGCTGAATTTTTAGTTTCTGTTCTCTACTTAAGTTAGCCTCAACCAAATGTTATGAGACTTACACACAATGCTAATTACAACAAAATCAGATCAAGTTCAAATTTGGGTAGCATCACTTTTACTGTTCTTCAGTTATGTCCCTTTATACTTATATATAGTCTAGTCAATTTAGTGAACAACCTGCAACTAATTGCAACACAGAGTTTTTCTCTGAAAAACAAGTCAGTTACTATCTATGAACAACATACTAAAACTATACAAAAATATATTTTGCGGAAAGTGGTGTAATTTATAAAAATGTTTAGTAGTAAAAGTAAGGTTATTTGAGTTGCTTCCCCTTATTTCCCAAAGTTGAAAAAAATAAAATTATACAAAAAATGTTCTGTATTTTTTAAAACAGTTGAAATAATACAATACAATACATAATTATTTCAATTTAAAAGAATAATATTACAAATGAATCACTTTCCTGTCTCAAAATTTGTATAATTGAATAAAGATATAGACCGAGATTGTGTTCTGCTATTTTACAATCTAAGAATCTAATTCCCCAAAGTAGTGTTGGTAAGTAACCTATAATTGGAAAACTGTACTGAATTTAAGTTACCAACTTAGTCACATTCTTACTTGGTATTTGAAAGAATTCTGCCCCTGTGTTAAAGGCACAGACAGTTAATTTTTTGTTGGGGGAGGCATTCCAGAAACACATGTTTTGTTCTTTATAAAAAAAAATGTTATTGCAAGATTCAAAGTCTTTAATGTATTTTCCCCACAACTTTAGAAAGAAAACAATATATTTTTTTCATTTACCTTCTGGAATAAACATGTTAAGATTTAGAATCCAACAATGTTTCATAAAAAAATAAGAATGATGAGTGCTAAATGATTTTATGTTAAATATTTTTTCACAAATGAAAATTTCAGGCTCCTCGAAGCAAATAGCTACTTATTTATATTTTAGTCAGTGCCAACAGTATTTATTCATCAACTGTAATTACTAAGCTTTGAACTAGCTATGAGAACTCAGTGTCTTTTTGTTAATTGGTCATATACTCCGTGCTGATCTTTTTGAGTTGAGTACTTTCCAACTGGTTTTTACAATTTGTTCTTACGTTGTTTGCTATTTAAATAAAATTGAGAATGGAAATGGGGAATACTGTATGTCAAAGAGACAACAACCCGACCAGATCAAGAGCAGATAACAGCTGAAGGCCACCAAGGCCACCAATGGGTCTTCAACACAACGAGAAAATCCCGCACCAGGAGGTGGTCCTCAGCCGGCCCCTTAATAAAAACTGTTCCTGATTATTGGAGGGTTGAGTTTTAACATTAATCAGGCCTTTGAGTTTCTCGTTTGACTTGTTTTATATTTTGATGATGAGCTATAGTTGTTTACATCCACACCCACATCATTGATATCTCTTGTGGAAAGTTTTCTCATTGGCAATCATACAACATCTTCTTATGTTTTTAAAGTGGGGAGATTTTATAATAAGTGATGGTTTCATTGGCAAGCAATCAAACTTACTGCCAAGAGATCACTGATAGAGTTTAGTGGACCTTAAAATTTAAACATTTATATTCTTTTGGCATGAGGTGTATTTTTTTAAATATTTTTATAGTTTCGTTCAAATGAGTTGAATACAGGTCAGCATTCCGGAAGCAGAAAACAGTGTCTTTAACATTGATATATCTGTAATAGAGTATACTTATGAATAAAGAGAGATTTGAGGTTTTTAAAGTCAATGAGAAAGCAACCCAAACGATTAACAAAAACCAACAGACATACTTTCAGATAAGACATGACTATCTAAACGCTATCTCTGGCCATCAAAGTCGCCCACAGACACTACAAATTTTGATTCATACACAGATGATGCATGATAATTTTTTTACAGTTCTTAGCCTAAGCTGATTATCTTTTATTAAATTAATTCAATGAGATATATTAAATAAAGAACTTGGTAATGTTTTTTCTTTATATACTAGTAAGTATATATATACATGTATCTTTGACCATAATATTTTCATATAGCAGACAACCCATGTTAGTTCTTTGTCATTACCATTTGGTTGATGTTTTAGACCACCACATACATTCAGGTTTATAGGGTACACACATAAGGCGCTGTTCCTATTAACACTTCCTCCAGGAAGTGATCCCATTAATTCATTCAACAGTGCTTATCTCATTTTCAACATCCAAAATTGGACCACTTTAGTACAATTACTATTTAAATTCAAGCTCTTGAGGTAAACTTATAATCCTATTGACAAAGCTGCTCTTGAAATTGCCTTTAACAATATAAGATCTACATTTAACTTTTGATCTATGAGTTTGACTGTCCCTCTGGTATCTTTTGCCCCTCTTTTAATGCTAATTCTGTGAACTAGTATATGTTCCTAAATTTTAAAAGCTTATATATATGAAATTAAACGTGGATATTGATAGAGCTTGCTAAATAAAATTAGCAACACATTAAGAGAAATCTGCAATCACATCGTCTGTGTTTAACTGTGACTTTATGCAATTCATATATTGTAAAAGTAGCTAATGAAAAAATACACAAAAAGGACTACAGTCAATAACGATGCAAGGACACTAGAAAAATGAATTTTCCAGCAATTAAAAATCAAAGTCAGTAACCAAACTGATTTACAGTTATTTTTTAACACAATCATTTTTTGTTTATTATACCTACACGTATGATTACTATAAATACATATCCGAATCATAAGATAAAATTTCAAACTTCCACAAAATGCACATATTTAAAACTGAGTTTTACTGTGTGTTTGTTTATTCTATATTGTCTAGAGAAACTAGGGGAGGGTTGAGTTCTCAAACAACATGTTTTACCCCTGCTACATTATTGCACCTATCCCAAGTCAGGAACCTCTAGCCTTTTTTGTCGAGCCTTCGACTTAAGTTGAAAAAGCGAGACATAGCGATCCTACATTCCGTCGGCGGCGTCCACAAATATTCACTCTGTGGTTAAAGTTTTTGAAATTTTAATAACTTTCTTAAACTATACTGGATTTCTACCAAACTTGGACAGAAGCTTGTTTATGATCATAAGATAGTATCCAGAAGTAAATATTGTAAAAATAAAATTCCATTTTTTCCGTATTTTACTTATAAATGGACTTAGTTTTTCTGCCGGGAAATATTACATTCACTCTGTGGTTAAAGTTTTTAAAATTTTAATAACTTTCTTATACTATTTTGGATTTGTACCAAACTTGGACAGAAGCTTGTTTATGATCAAAAGCTAGTATCTAGAAGAAAATTTTGTAAAAAAATAAATCTATTTGTTCCATATTTTACTTTTAAATGGACTTAGATTTTCTGCCAGGAAACAACACATTCACTCTGTGGTTAAAGTTTTTAAAATTTTAATAACTTTCTTATACTATTTTGGATTTGTATCAAACTTGGACAGAAGCTTCTTTATGATCAAATGCTAGTATCTAGAAGGAAATTTTGTTTTCTTCCAGATAAAATTACATTCAGTCTGCAGTTAAAGTTTTTAAACATTTATTAGATTCATAAACTATCCTGGATTTTTACCAAACTTGGGCTGAAGCTTCTTACAATCAAAAGATAGTATCAAGTGGAATATTTTTATTGATTTACTTTCTCGTTTTTGTAGAGCCTGCGTTAACAGAAAAAGTAGGCGAGACACTGGGTTCCGCGGAACCCTTACGAATTTTTTGTCTTGAGTGTGTTTTATTTTTGTGATAATTTTGGTTCATTTGTATGTACAGGGGTTTAGGGTGCTGAACTAGTGTACAAAATAATTAAGGGGTCAGCTGAAGCCCACCTCCGTGTGCTGGATTTACTTGCTATGTTAAAGACTCATTAGTGGCCTTGTTTTCTCTTTGACACATTCCCTGTTTCCATTCTCCATTTTTTTGTTTTTAAAAATCAAACTAGAAATAACCAAGGTTTTAAAATTTTCATTTTATATGCCCCTCACTTTTTCTGTCTGTGCGTCTGTTTGTTCGTCCGTCTGTCCTGCTTCAGATTAAAGTTTTTTGTTAAAGTTTTGGTCAAGGTATTTTTTGATGTATTGAAGTCCATTCATATTGAAACTTAGTACAAATGTTCCCTATGATAAGATCTTTCTAATTTAAATGCCAAATTAGAGTTTTGACCCAATTTCACAGTCCACTGAACATAGAAAATGATAGTGCGGGTGGGGCATCCGTGTTCTATGGATATATTCTTGTTTTGTAGTTACAAAACATGTAGAGTGTAAAACAAAATATTTCACACAACAAATTGATTATTATTGATATCGATAACAAGAGGAATACATATGCGATAAACATAAGATAATATAGTCTGTCTATAAAGATCCTATGTTAAAAGTTTTAACCATGAAGAATCGAGTTTTTTATTTCCATTTTTCACAATTTTTCTCTCCAAATCACATTTTACACAAGAATTACAATTTTTTAAATACTAATAACTATAGGACTTCTTAAGATAAACATCAGATAGTATTCTCTATTTTCTGTTAAGATTCCAATTTGAAAGTTTTAACCATCAATAACCGAGATATCTTCATTTCCAGTTTTCCGGGGTTTCGGTCTTAAAACATATATTCAACCAAATTTACCCAAATATTAATATTGATAACTAAAGGACTTCACAAATAAAACATAAAATAGTATGTTTTTTTTCTATATAGATCAAATATCAAAAATATTAACCATTAACAACGGAGATTTTCTACGTTTCCAGTTTTCAGCGTTTTTTCACTAAAAATCACTCATTTCACCTCAAAATTACTTCAATATGAATAATAATAAGTAGAGGACTACATAATACTCTATTAAGATAAGGTTTCCTGTCTTCAACAAGCTTTAGGTCTAAAAATGTAACCATAAATAACAATTTTTCTTCTTTTCCCGTTTTCAGCATTTTTTCTCTAAAAACCACATATTTCACCCCGAAATAACCTTTTCCGCAAATTATATCAATGTATAGTTTTAGTATGTTGTTAGTACAAGTCTATATTATAATTTGCACTAAAAAAACCTTGTGTTGCAATTAGTTGCAGTTTGAGCGATTTTAGAGCTAAATTGACTAGGCTACTATATGATATTGAAGCGTGAGCATCATCTGTGTCCACATGTGGACACTATCCACATTTATTCTAAAATAAATTCTACCGTAGAAAGAATTTCTAGTAAACAAGGTAAATGAAGCCAACTGCACTACATAAGATGGCATTTTGATTTAAAGCATGTGATGAACTTATCAGTTTAGTTTTAAGGTTATTCCTCTATGATGAATTATATTAGGATATATAAATTCATGAAATGTAGCTTGAAGTTAAAGTAGAATATGAATAAAACATGTAATGCATTTCCAAGGTTTCAGTTTTCTTGAAATACATATGTATCAATGATAATTAATTCAGATAAAAAATTGGCAAAACTATGTTTATTGCACTTACATATACTTTTGTAATCCTAATTTCAGGTGACAGAATTTTAAATGGTGAAAGTAAATTAAGCCTTACAACACAGTCCTTGTCTTTACTAAATGTTTCATTCAGAAGATACAGTGATGCCAAAAATAATGAACCAAGTCGTAATAGGTCACACAGAGACCAGATGGAGAAATGGAAGTTTAATGTTCAGTACCTTCATGATTTTATTACAAAGACTATTTCACTTAAGGTAATATGTATATAAGAGTAGAGCTTTGCATACAATAGGTTCATTATATGTATTTTGCATGACAAATTTCATCTGAATCGATTTATATATATGTGCCTCTATCATATATACATGTTTGACATCTGTACACTCCAAACTGAATCTCGCTGTTGGTAAAATGGGAAAGTGAAATGGGCTTGAGACATTTAAGAAATAAGCTTCAGAATTTTCTTAAAATAATGATTTCAAGCTTATGCTTTAGATAAACAAGATGGAGACTTTCCTAAAATGAGATTACTCTAAGCTTTTTCTATTTTTTTAAGCACTAACCTACACAGTTTATTCTACTTACTTGAGATGTTAAACATAGTATTGTAGATCAACTCTGAAATAAATTTTATTTACTTTTTCTTGTAGTTTTTATCAAGTTATAAAATCAAAGCCTCCAATAAGTATGGTGAACAAATTTTGCTCACTCTGTTTGCATTCAGCATTGTAAATATTGTGGCATGTGTCTTAAGCTTCCTATAAATATGTATCTTTTAACAATTTAACATTTTTCTTCTGAAAGAAAGTTATGAATTTTAGCATAAGAAGAGGGTTCATGTAAAAAGTCTTGTTGTTACACCACCAATTCAAAATCCTTATATATTAAACCAAATTTGTGAATTTCACAGCTCTCTTTTAACTTCAAGAGAACCATGCATAATTATGAATTGTACATTTATATCAACTTTTCAAGTAAACGGCTTGTAGCAACACATAACTTTCCGGTAGTCACCTACTATTAAATAGCACTCTGGTTTCCTAAAAAAAAAACTCCATAAACATACTATGTTCCTTATCTACCCTTAAATACATGCACAAATAAATTTGGGCTCAAAATGGTCAAAATATATTTCTCTTTCAGCAAAAGATCTGATCATGTAAATTCATTTGCTAGTATGATTTACATCAAAGCTCTATTTTCTGTCAGAGTAGGGCTACTATTACATATGTTCTAAATGTGATTATGTGACAGCTACATGTACATAAGCATGAACAAGTTTTTTTTATGCCCCCGTCATAGCGGTGGGGGCATTAAGTTTTACCCTTGTCCGTCTGTACATACGTACGTACATCCCAAAATTGGTTTCCGTTCTCTAACTTGAGTTTGCCTCAACCAAATGTTATGTGAAACTTATACACAATGCTTATTACCACAAAACACAGATCAAGTTTGAATTTTGGTGGCATCACTTTAACCGTTCTAGAGTTATGCCCCTTTATAAATCGAAAAATTGCAAAATTTTTAGTTTCCGTTCTCTAACTTTAGTTTGCCTCAACCAAATGTAATGAAACTTATACACAATGCTTATTGCCACAAAACACAGATCAAGTTTGAATTTTAAGTGGCGTCACTTTAACCGTTCTAGAGTTATGCCCCTTTATAAATGGAAAAATTGCAAAATTTTTAGTTTCCGTTCCCTAACTTTAGTTTGCCTCAACCAAATGTTATGACACTTATACACAATGCTTATTGCCACAAAACACAGATCAAGTTTGAATTTTTAGTCGCGTCACTTTAACCGTTCTAGAGTTATGCCCCTTTATAAATGGAAAAATTGCAAAAACAAAAATTTATTTTCTTTTAAGTATTAAGTAATTTTAAAATTGGAGTTATCTTCCTTTGTCCATGATTATAGTTGAATCAACTACACAATGCAATGTTTAATTTTGACTTCCACTGATAAAACACTGATCAAGTTGAATTTGGGTAGTGTCACTTTAACCATTATTGAGTTATGCCCCTTTATAAATCAAACGATTGCAAAATTTTATTTTCCATTCTGTAACTTAAGTTTGCCCAAACCAAACATTATGAAACCTATACATAATATTCATTACCACAAAACTAAGATTAAGTACAATTTTTTTGTTTCCATTTTCTAACTTTAGTTTGCCTCAACCAAATGTTATGAAACTTTTACACACTGCTTATTATTACATAATACAGATTAAGTACGAAATTTGGTGGCGACACTTTTACCATTCTTGAGTTATGTTCCTTTATAAACATAAAATTGCTGAATTTTTCGTTTCCGTTCTCTAACTTTAGTTTGTCTCAACCAAATGTTATAAACTTGTACACAACCGTTCTAGAGTTATGCATATTTACAAAAGAAAAATTGCTGAATTTTTAGTTTCTGTTCTCTACTTAAGTTAGCCTCAACCAAATGTTATGAGACTTACACACAATGCTTAATACCACAAAACTCAGATCAAATTCACGTCACGCTTACCGTTCTTCAGTTATGTCCCTTTATAACTATACAGTGATATTGTTGTCTCTTTTCAAAACTACCTCTACCGTTTTTTTTGGGGAAAAATGCATAATTTTTATTGAAATTGGGAAGTTTTTTTTTTTTTTTTTAAACACATCCCCGTTTTTTGCTGAATTAGGCTGTCATTTTTGCACATTTATTTCACGTATATTTTGATTGTCAGACATTTTCAACCTAGGTACTTTTTGGGGAGGGGAAAGAAACGGAAACAATGATGGTACTTAATTCATTGAAAACCACATGTGTTACAAACACTGTGATGATTCTGATCAGAAACCCAGATCTCAAAAGCGCTTTCATAATATCAAAATAATTTCATGAATACGAATTTTAGGCTGTGTTTGGATATACACCAGAGGTGGCCTTTGGTTATCCATAGGTACCTTTGGTTTGATATTCTATATATCAAAATATCAAACCATTGGTATCCAAAGATACCTATGGGTAACCATAGGCTGCTTTAGGCGTATATCCAAACACAGTCAGGCATACATTACTACAAATGCCATCACTGTTTGGGAAAAATGTTAAACTTTTGGAGGAATTTTATGCCATTTTTTATACTAATTGGGAATTTTCTCTAGGGGAAAAAGCGGAATTTCGGATGTAATTTGAGGCAAACAATATCACTGCTATATGATATGCAAGCGGGGGCATCATCTGTGTCCACATGTGGACACTATCCACATTTATCTGTATTTGTCGTAACTTTTTTAAAACAAGGGCAAAAATATTTCAACATTTTATTTACACACTATAGTCAAAGAACCATGACTTGTAATAACGATAATAAAGATGTAATTTCCTTTACAGATAACACACAGTACAGCAACTATGCAAGGTCCAATATTGATATCCAGGTTCCGCAGTGTTGAAATTCTGGAACTAAAGAAAGTTCCAATTCATATGTTAGAAGGACTGCACAGGCTTCGGGGACAAATAAAAATTATTATTGTTTCAAGATGTCTTAATTCTTTACAAGTAAATATATTGTACATAATAAAGCTAAACAATAATTCTATGTTAAACAAATTTTCATAATCATATTTTTAGAAAAATTGTAAACAATGAATTTTATGTTTGATTGAAGTTATTTTTACATCATGCATAATTGTTTACATGCCAATTAGGAAGATAAATTTGATAGAATTTAACAATTGTTGATTCATTTTGATATAATTCAGATCAATAAAATAGGATAAATTTGAATCCTGTGAAAATATCTTGTACTGAATGTCACAAAAATAATTGTAAAATAATTTTTCAGGATCTTCTGGAAGCCTGTGGGGGAGATCAAAGTTCACCTATGTCCTGGCCATGTTTAAAATCTATGTTTTTAAGTTATAATGGACTGAAGAAATTAGACTCATCTTTGGTAAGTTGGTTAACTTGAATTTCTGAAATTATTTTGTATCTATGACGAAAATGCAGATGTTGGGTATATGTCAATGAGACAGCAACATAACAATACAAATTAGAAAAAAAATATATGTCTAAGGGTCAACAATAGACAAATTGCTATTGTCATGAATTCTAATTTCATATTTTGTCCTCTCTCTTAAAGCCCCCCTTTAGCACAGGCCTTTCTGTTAATTTGTTTTGAAATATCCAAGCAAACAAAACTGAAAGACTCTGCTTAATGTCTTTTTAAAACAAGGTTGAACATTGATGACATTGAGAATCATTATGATGATGGCTATGACAACTTACAAAGCAGAACTGTGCTGAAAAAAAATAAACATTAAACTCTTCAGGCCATATGAGAGATTATTTCCTTGGTTTATTAACATGAAAATAATGAAGATTATGAAAATGCAACATACAATTTTAAGGTAACCAGATTGAAAAACAAATTCTGTGCACATGCTCACTTTGAAGGATCTGACAACCCTACACCTATTTGTTTTAATAATCCTTTAGTCAACTAATGAAATTACCACCTCAAAATTTTTGAAGGACTTTTCACTTTAAGACTTATCTCAAAAATATAGAAAGGTCTTAAGAACTGTACTAAAAAAGAGCATGGTCTGATCCTTATAAGCAAAACCTGGAAACAGGATTTGTATTTCAGTCTAATTGCAGGGAAGTAAATTGACAATAATATATTTTATGAAATTTTGCAAGCAACTAGAGCATGTGGAACTGCATATATGAATTGAAAACAATTGTTAAATGACTTCTTTTATTCATTTCAATATAAAGAAGATAAGAAATCATTCAGATGGATGTACAAATGTATAGAATGCATGCAGTTATGGCAAAAAATAATGACTTGAAATTGCTATTTCTCTATTGTGTCCAAACAACTAGAAAAACATTTATATGTTATTCTAAGTGAAATTTTTGGTCTAGTGATGTAAAAGTTATAGAAATCAAAACAGTTCGACCTATTTTTTTGTCCCCTACGCAATGTGTTTATATCAGCATTGTCTTAGACAAGATTGAAAATAAGTGCTGATCAAATATTTTCCAAAGAGTTATGCCCCTTGGAAATATTAATTATATGGTTAATTGCATTGTCAGTGCTCTCATATGTACAATTCTTGCCAGATTTTTATGAAACTTATATGATAGGTTTATATCCAAATGTCTCAGACAAGTTGGAAAATCAGTGCCAATCAAATATTTTTAAAAGGGCCATACTCATTGGAAATATTATGTGGAAAATTGCATTGTTAGCACTCTCAATTGAACAATTTTTGCCAGATTTTTATGAAACTTATATCATAGGTTTATATCAGCAATGTCTCAGACAAGTTCTAAAAGCAGTGCTGATCAATTATTTTTAAAAGAGTAGTGCTCTTTGGAAAAATTAATTATGTGGAAAATTGCATTTTAAGCGCTCTCGTGTACAATTTTTGCCAGCTTTTATCAATTTTATATCAAAGGTTTATATCAGCAATGTATCGTACAATTTTGAAAATCAGTTTTGATCAAATATTTTTATAAGAGTTATGCCCATTGGAAATATTAATTTTATTGAAAATTGCATTGCATTTGCTTTGAAGCCTTCATTTCTCTAAGATATTTATAACATATTTAAAATTTAAAGAACTAAAAAATTGTTTTTAAGTTATTGTCCTTGGACAGGAAAAATATGTGGAATGCGGGGGACATAGGAACTCTGTTGTTTTATTTCTGTTTCATATTGTGTTGTTGTAGTTATTCTAGATACAATGTAATTGTATATGATATAATATATTATGTTGGATTTCTTTGATTAAGTTTAATTTACTGTAAAGGTAAATACAGAAATTTCCAAGTGACTTAAATGGGAAAAATGTGACAAGATGTGAGTTGCAATAACATATTTTTTTAACTCATTTATTTTCAGAGACTGCTACCTGTATTAGAAATAATAGACCTAAGTCATAATGATTTGGAAAGAACAGAGAATTATTTAGAGGTAATTCACAACTAAGATATAACAGAATTTTTTAAAGCTCACCAGCCCCTTCTAATGTCATTGCAGATGTGATCCAAACAATCTGATTAAAATACAGATGTGTGTCCATGCTTTGCTTACAAGGATCTGAAAACACTCCATTTTACTTTCTGTTCTGGTAATTACAGTCGAACCTTGTTGTGTCGAACTCGGTTGTGTCGAAAACTCAGATGAGTCGAAGTAATTTCTCAGTGACTGACCTTTGTAAATATTTGTGTATACTATTGATTTTATTTGTGCATGATTTGTATCTGTACTTGTGTGTTTAATTATTATGAAGAACCAAAAAATATGGAGTTTGAATACACAACCATAAAGTGTCATATCGAAAAAAGGCACACTGTTCAAAGTATCTAGTTTACACAAATTTATGATGACACACTCGACCTCGGATGAGTCGAACCTTGGAAAATTAAAATACTTTGGTCCGGTCCCTTCGACATCGACATAACGAGGTTCGACTGTATTACATCAGCCAATGAAATTTCAGCCTTCACATTTTTTAAGGTGCTTTTCAGATCCTTGTTAGCAAAGCTTGGACACAGGATCTGTATTTTAATGAGATTGTGAAGGCAAATGTATGAATGAACTTTATTTGTAATCATAGATCATAGGATGAAATTAATTAACTATATCTTCACATATTTTATATATTGACTATTGATTTGTGTGAACTGTTCAAATAATTCAATTATAATTTCATTGATGTTATTAAAACATCTAACTTTAAGCTGCAGTTCATTTTGTGATGTTGAGCAACATTCACTTTCTGACCTCATAGTTTTGTGAAGTTGGACAGCATTTACTCTCTGACTCAGTTTTTGATGTTGATCAACATTCAATCTCTGAATCATAGTTTTGTTATGTGGAGCAACATTTATTTTCTGAGAAGCTTTGACTATCTGACTCATTGTTTTCTGCTTCTACTTTTAAGTAAGAGAATGCATGTTTGGAGTGTCTGTCATGCATGATATATCCTATATTTTTTTGTTCCCCGCGTAACGCGTGGCGGGGACATGGAAATACTGGGCGTGTGTCCGTCCAGTCTTGTTAGCGCTCTCACAGGTACAATTCTTGCCGATTTTTATAAAACTTGTACAATAGGTTAATATCAGCAATATCTCGGACAAGTTTTATAATGGTGGGCGATCGAATTTTTTAAAAAGAGTTATGCCCTTGGAAATATTAAATTTATGGAAAATGGCCTCGTTAGTGCACTCACGGTTACAATTCTTGCCAGATTTTATAAATCTTATACTATAGATTAATATCAGCAATATCTCAGACAATTTTTATAATGGTGGACGTTAGACTTTTTTTTTAAAGAGTTATGCCCCTTGGAAATATTTAATTTATGGAAAATGGCCTCGTTAGCGTTCTCACGGGTACAATTCTTGCCAGATTTTTATAAAACTTATACTATAGGTTAATATCAGGAATATCTTGGACAAGCTCTATAATGGTGGACGATTGACTTTTCTTTAAAGAGTTATGCCCTTGGAAATATTAAATTTATGGAAAATGGCCTTGTAAGCACTCTCACAGTACAATTCTTGCCAGATTTTTATAAAACTTATACTATAGGTTGATATCAGCAATATCTCGGACAAGTTCTATAATGGTGGACAATCGAATTTTTTTAAAAGAGTTATGCCCCTTGGAAATATAAAATATGTGCAACGCGGGGGACATTGGAACTCCGTTCTTTTATTCAAAATTATTAAAGAAAACAGAAATATTGTTTATATCAAGTAGTTTTTATCATGTATTTTTAACAGCACTTGACAGACATCACAAGAGTAAATTTAGGATTTAACAGATTAGATAGCATTCCATCTTTTTCACTGACAACCAAGTCAAGAATAAAGACATTAGTTCTTCGGAATAACAACTTGGATAATATAGAAGGTATTGTATCTAGTCAAAACTTATTTGTAATAAATGCAATAGAGGTAGTAATCGCTCTTTAGTCATAAATACTTAAGTTTTACGATTGTTTTGTGATTTAGCCAGCTACAAATCATGGCTTTCCGAAATTTGTAATCAAGCTTCATGTGAGCATGCTTTACCGTTTGATTTTTTTCACATCCATCACTCATCAACTTTTTGTTAACTGAATCCTTATGGTGGGGATATCCTTAGTGTGCAATAACTCACAGTTCAATTTGTAAATCAAAGTGGTTGCCCCATACAACATTGATAAAAGAAGTTAACCAAAATTTAACAGAAGACACATTCATCAGAAAAAAAAAATTATTTTCATTTTTTATCACCCTGGAAACCAATCAAAAGTTTTATCTGATAAATCATCCTAGATAAAAGTATGAAATTATACAAAACATATTTTTTTCTTGGATTTATGCTGAACCAAAAACATAACATATTCACACAATCTAAATTTATTATTTGAGGTAAATCTTTAAAAAAAATGTTTTATAGCATTTATATTTATATACAAATGAGTGTGAATATATTGCAGGTATAGATGATTTAAATAGCTTAGAAGAACTGGACCTATCTGAGAACTGTCTGTGTGACCATTCATGTTTGGTTGGCCTGGCAGAGCTTAACAAGCTGACAATGGTAAGACCTATCTTAGAACTGTCTGTGTGATCATTCATGTTTGGTTGGCCTGGCAGAGCTTAACAAGCTGACAATGGTAAGACCTATCTGAGAAATGTCTGTGTGATCATTCATGTTTGGTTGGCCTGCCAGAGCTTAACAAGCTGACAATGGTAAGACCTATCTGAGAACTGTCTGTGTGATCATTCATGTTTGGTTGGCCTGGCAGAGCTTAACAAGCTGACAATGGTAAGACCTATCTTAGAACTGTCTCTGTGATCATTCATGTTTGGTTGGCTTGGAAGAGCTTAACAAGCTGACAATGGTAAGACCTATCTGAGAACTGTCTGTGATCATTCATGTTTGGTTGGCCTGGAAGAGCTTAACAAGCTGACAATGGTAAGACCTATCTGAGAACTGTCTGTGATCATTCATATTTGGTTGGCCTGGAAGAGCTTAACAAGCTGACAATGGTAAGACCTATCTGAGAACTGTCTCTGTGATCATTCATGTTTGGTTGGCTTGGCAGAGCTTAACAAGCTGACAATGGTAAGACCTATCTGAGAACTGCCTGTGTGATCATTCATGTTAGGTTGGCCTGGCAGAGCTTAACAAGCTGACAATGGTAAGACCTATCAGAGAACTGTCTGTGATCATTCATGTTTGGTTGGCCTGCCAGAGCTTTACAAGCTGACAACGGTAAGACCTATCTGAGAACTGTCTGTGTGATCATTCATGTTTGGTTGGCCTGGCAGAGCTAAATAAGCTGACAATGGTAAGACCTATCTGAGAACTGTCTGTATGATCATTCATGTTTGGTTGGCCTGGCAGATCTTGCTGACAATGGTAAGACCTCTCTGAGAACTGTCTGTGATCATTCATGTTTGGTTGGCCTGGCAGAGCTTAACAAGCTGACAATGGTAAGACCTATCTGAGAACTGTCTGTCTGATCATTCATGTTTGGTTGGCCTGGCAGAGCTTAACAAGCTGACAATGGTAAGACCTATCTGAGAACTGCCTGTGTGATCATTCATGTTTGATTGGCCTGGCAGAGCTTAACAAGCTGACAATGGTAAGACCTATCTGAGAACTGTCTGTGATCATTGGTTGGCCTGACAGAGCTTAACAAGCTGACAATGGTGAGACCTATCTGAGAACTGTCTGTCTGATCATTCATGTTTGGTTGGCCTGGCAGAGCTTAACAAGCTGACAATGGTAAGACCTATCTGAGAACTGTCTGTCTGATCATTCATATTTGGTTGGCCTGGCAGAGCTTAACAAGCTGACAATGGTAAGACCTATCTGAGAACTGTCTGTCTGATCATTCATATTTGGTTGGCCTGGCAGAGCTTAACAAGCTGACAATGGTAAGACCTATCTGAGAACTGTCTGTCTGATCATTCATATTTGGTTGGCCTGGAAGAGCTTAACAAGCTGACAATGGTAAGACCTATCTGAGAACTGTCTGTGTGATCATTCATGTTTGGTTGGCCTGGCAGAGCTTAACAAGCTGACTATGGTAAGACCTATCTGAGAACTGTCTGTGATCATTCATGTTTGGTTGGCCTGGCAGAGCTTTACAAGCTGACAATGGTGAGACCTATCTGAGAACTGTCTGTCTGATCATTCATGTTTGGTTGGCCTGGCAGAGCTTAACAAGCTGACAATGGTAAGACCTATCTGAGAACTGTCTGTCTGATCATTCATATTTGGTTGGCCTGGCAGAGCTTAACAAGCTGACAATGGTAAGACCTATCTGAGAACTGTCTGTGTGATCATTCATGTGTGGTTGGCCTGGCAGAGCTTAACAAGCTGACAATGGTAAGACCTATCTGAGAACTGTCTGTGTGATAGAGCCTATATGAAGAGCTAGTGAAATTCAGATGTTTCCTACAATAAAGTAAAAATTTATCATAATTTACTTAAAAAACTAAATAGCAAATATAGAATTTCCCAAGAAAGTATTTAGTTTTCTCTTGCATTTTTTTTACATGTTTGCAGACAAAAGTGGGAGCATTAATTCTTAGATAATCTATGTAATTTTCATGGACATTACTATGCAAAATTCAGACAAACTTTACATGTATTCATTTGTATGTTAGTATTGGGCTTTTGTGGTTAAATTTGTTTTTAAAAAGGACTAGTTTTGAAAGTGGAAAAAATATCACATATAAAAGTTTCTTGTTTTATTTAGTCATGAAAAGAATATTCCTAATTGTCCTTACAAATAGCTGTATTCCTTTTACATTATGACATAGTATGACTGACATATAATTGCTGGTTTACAGTTAAGTTTACAGGGAAATCCATTGTCCTTCCATGATAGTCACAGACCACTAACAGTACAGTATATTTCCATAGCTTCTGGAAATAATTTAGCAGTAAGTTTTATAATTATATACTATTGTTACTGTAATTAGGCTTGTATAGTTCGTACTGGTACATTGTCCGCACCCCCCTTCTTGCCACGAAATTTTAGGTAAAAAAAACTTTTTGTAACTGATAGAAAATGTCTAATGAAACTCTGATAATTTCAAATTGTGTGTGGTCCATTTGCGTTATTTTCATGGAAAAACCCGTTTTGCATCATCAAATAGAAGTTGAAACTGCTTTTAAATGATTCTACAACACTTCATGAGTGTTGAAATAAGTCAAAATCACACAAAAATAATTTGGAAACTTGTGTATGTTTAAACCGGAAGTCTCTACAAGCCTTTATTTGGTACACTGGTTCAAGGGTAAAAAAACATTCATATTTGACAGTCACATACGCTTTTTAGTTTAAAATTGCATTTTTTAGTTATCAGCTTCTACATCTTGATTGCAATGCTTTTCTGTAAGAAAAAAAAAAAGGCACATTACATTTGCAGATTAAAAAGTTTTACATATGGGCGAAGCTTTTGATTACATTTGCACGCATTCATTTTACAGGTAACACAGGTAAAATCAAAAATAATTCATAAAATATATGACTATAGTTACTATTTATTTTGAACATATTTGTAAATTTGAATAATATATTTTTCATATTGAATTCTGAAAAAAATTTCGGTTATTATGAGAAATCACGTAATAGCTTAATCAAAAGATGCGCGCAAATATAATGCACTGAAAAAAAAACTGCCATTCATTATTGTATGATAATCCATGTTTACCTGTGTGACACCTGACTGGACAATATATTGAGAAAGTTCAGATGTTATAATTCATTAATTACTTTTCAGTGAAATCAGTAATTAAGATTTTAAAATTAAGCCTGTTTATTTAGTTTAATAGAAAAAAGAACTATTGTGCTTTTATTTGCGATTCAATATTCATACATGCTAGTGTCCCTGTCTATTTAACAAGTACAAGATTAGACAATCATAAAATACCTAATCATTCGTTGCTAAAATACAAGATTAGACAATCATAAAATACCTTATCAATCCTTGCTAAAATACAAGATAAGACAATCATAAAATACCTGATCATTTCTTGCTAAAATACAAGATTAGATAATTATAAAATACCTAATCCTCACTAAAATACAAGATTAGACAATCATAAAATACCTAATCCTCGCTAAAATACAAGATTAGACAATCATAGATTACCTAATCCTCACTAAAATACAAGATTAGACAATCATAAAATACCTAATCCTTGCTAAAATACAAGATTAGACAATCATAAAATACCTAATCCTCTCTAAAATACAAGATTCGACAAGCATAAAATACCTAATCCTCGCTAAAATACAAGATTAGACAATCATAAAATACCTAATTATTCCTCTCTAAAATACAAGATTAGATAATCATAAAATACCTAATCATTCCTCGCTAAAATACAAGATCAGACAATAATAAAATACCTAATCATTCCTCTCAAAAATACAAGATTAAACAATCATAAAATACTGAATCATTCCTCACTAAAATACAAGATTAGACAATTTTAAAATACCTAATCATTCTCCAAGATACAAGATTAGAAATCATAAAATACCTAATCATTCCTCACTAAAATACAAAATTAGACAATTATAAAATACCTTATCCTCGATAAAATACAAGATTACACAATCATAAAATACCGAATCCTTGCTAAAATATAAGATTAGCCAATTATAAAATACCTAATCTTTCCTCGCTGAAATACAAGATTAGACAATCTTTAAAATACCTAATCATTCCTTGCTAAAATACAAGATTAGACAATCATAAAATACCTAATCATTCCTCGCTAAAATACAAGATTAGACAATCAGAAAATAACTAATCATTCTCTAAGATACAAGATTAGAAATCATAAAATATCTAATCATTCTGCGCTAAAATACAAGATTAGACAATCATAAAATACCTAATCCTTGCTAAAATATAAGATTACTCAATCATAAAATACTGAATCCTTGCTTAAATATAAGATTAGCCAATCATAAAATACCTAATTGTTCCTTGCTAAAATACAAGATTAGACAATCATAACATACCTAATCCTTGATTAAATACAAGATTAGACCATCATGAAATACCCAATCATTCCTCGCTAATATACAAGATTAGACTATCATAAAATACCTAATCATTCTCTAAGATACAAGATTAGAAATCATAAAATACCTAATTCTCTAAGATACAAGATTAGAAATCATAAAATACTTAATCATACCTCACTAAAATACAAGGTTAGACAATCATAAAATACCTAATTATTCCTCGCTAATATACAAGATTACACAATCATAAAATACCTAATTCTCGCTAAAATACAAGATAAGACAATCATAAAATATCTAATCATTCCTCGCTAAAATACAAGATTAGACGATCATAAAATATCTAATCATTCCTCGCTAGAATACAAGATTCGACAATCATAAAATACCTAATCATATCTCACTAAAATACCTAATCATTCCTCACTAAAATACAAGATTAGACAATCATAAAATACCTAATCATACCTTGCTAAAATACAAGATTAGAATGATTATCAGTTATATTGAAACACTTTTAAAAGTTTAAATTACCATTTAATAATAAGAAGAAACCTTTTATTGTGAATCTGGACCCTTTAACATTGAAATAAAAGACTCTATAATTTTGAAAGCAGGGTCAAAATGTTCTCACTATTATAGGATGCTAACTGAAAAATTCTTTGACCAATTTCAACTTGTACTGATTATTTGAGTTGGTGAGAAAAAAAAATCTTTCTTTAATTTTTGAAATTTTTTTGTTTGTCATTCGAGAGTCATTGGTCTTTAAACCGTTCCATTTTATTCTTGTAACAATTTCAATATAAATACCATGGGAATATCACATGCTCTTCGTGTAGTTGTTTATGAGCAGTGTGGTGTTTTAATATCTAAACAAGCAGATTAAATATTTCATGAATATGCAAGAGAAAAACACAATGATAAAAATAGCATAGTTGCAATGTGGTGAATCAAATGAAACTTAAGTTTGTAATTTATCAGCATGAAATTAAAAGGACAGGTATGAAATGGTAGAATCAAGCTAGGGTTTGCTCCGTGTTGAAGGCCTCACTGTGACCGAGATGAAGAGCAGCAATAAAAGAGCTGTTCCTTTAATTTTTGTGTGTGTTTTTGCTGTGCATGTACTGGTTTTGTGTCATGGATGGATAACCCATATTCTTTGTTTTTCTCTTAGAGAGAAATTGTAAAATAACAAACCATATGAGAATCAAACTTATCTTATTTCAGTTTACTTTAGATGGGAAGAAAATTACAGCAACAGAAAGATTAGTAAGTATTGTGTTAGCATTCTAAGGAATTCTCTACAAATCTCATAGAATGCATAAGGAAATTGTTACGATTCAGTAAATCTCAAAGCATGAATGAAGAAATATGTTCGGCCTCCAGTAAATCTTTTAGAATGAATAAGGAAACCCATTAGGCCTCCAGTAAATCTCATAGAATAAATAAGGAAACTTATTCGGCCTCCAGTAAATCTCATAGAATGGATAAGAAAATTGGAAAGAGTCGGTAAATCTCATAGCATGAGTAAAGAAATATGTTAGGCCTCCAGTAAGTCTTTTAGAATGAATAATGAAACCAATTAGGCCTCCAGTAAGTCTCATAGAAAGAAAATATCATCCATCAGTCTGTTGAATAATTGAATGTTTGATTTGTTTTCATTTTTACTGTTCCAGTTATTGTACTTGATTGTAGGAACAATTCTAAATTTTTTGGTTTTTAGAAAATAAACAGAGGACCCCTTTTTGATTGATTTACATTATTTTTTATACATTTAGCTTACCCAAAGAAGTGTGTTGAACCTTTCAAGACGACCATCATGGGAATCACAAAGCTCTACAATAAATGGCACAAGACAAAGGGAAGTTATCTCGTCATCTTACACATTTGATGAGTCTGATGATATAGCCACAAACTTAAGAATAGGATCACCTGGAAGATCAAGAAAAAAGAGAAAGGCTCGTCCTAAAACAGCCCTTATTTCTGATGAAGAAGTGATAGAATCCTCAATGAATGAATATTCTTCAAGGGAAAGTTCAAGAGGTGAGCTATTTGAAAAATACATTTTTAATGTGAAGAATTGCTTGTTAGTCATGATCCATTCAGTATAGCTCTCCATCAATTTTTGCCTTATTTTTTTTTGGGGGGGGGGGGGGGGGGTAAAAAGAAGGTTACCAATCTGCAAGTGCTTAGAATACTTGGAATATATATATATATCCTGTTTTATATATATTAATAGTCTAAAACAAAGGAATTCATCATGTTTTCTAATATATTAATAGTCTAAAACAAAAGAATTCATCATGTTTTCTATATGTTAATAATCTAAGATACAGGAATTGTATTTATGATATTAATGTATATTTAAGCCCCTTCCCCAGAAAAAGAAGATGAACCTGATACAGCTCAATCAACTAAGGAAGAAATCCAAATGATCAGGGATCATTATGGTGTCAACTGGTTACAAGTTATAGCAGCCAAAAAGGAAGACACACTTGCTTCTTCATCCAGTAGTAGAGAAGTTGACAAAACGGAGGATGACATCTACTTAAATGAAAGTGTAGCAAATCTGACTGTTTCCAGTTCACATAAAGAGACACAGGATTACACAGAGGTCACAAACAAGGACACAGAGGATGATATTGAAGTATTACCTGAACCAACAGGTAAAATGTTAATATCTTTTAAAGATTATGAAATTAGAAATTGAGAAATTTACTTGCATTTACTGCAATGAGAAGGGATGCTATTTTTTCTCAAAAGGGCCAATTCTACCCGCTTTCCATTTAAACCAAAACTGTCACAGGACTTTTAATAGCAGTTATTTATACAAACAAAATTGTCTTTGTAGTTGTGTATGGTGTAAATTTTGTGCTGTGTTAATTATTGTCCCATAATGTAAACATACTTTTGAAGTTTTTATAGGTGTAGTTTTATTATCTGTAATTGTCTCTTGGTATGTAAATATGCATAAAGTTTTCTGTTTGTATGGTAATGAATCAAATCCTTGTAGATCCAATATTTTGTAGTTCTGATGTAACTCTCTTGATAGCCAAACTCAAATTCAATATCACAATCTACAAAGTCCCTAATGGTGAGTTTTAAGTCAAAAGTAAATTGTAACAAGTAAAAATTTTATAAACTTATCATCAGTGAAATTGAGCATTGTAGATCTAAACCAACTCCCAAATGATTTAATGTTAGCATAAGTGATAAAGGGGTAACTGTGTGTAAACCAAAACATAGTCTCAATAAATCATCTGTGTGTAAACCAAAACATAGTCTCAATAAATCATCTGTGTGTAAACCAAAACATAGTCTCAATAAATCATCTGTGTGTAAACCAAAACATAGTCTCAATAAATCATCTGTGTGTAAACCAAAACATAGTCTCAATAAATCATCTGTGTGTTAACCAAAACATAGTCTCAATAAATCATACTGGCTCAAAGCAGACAGAATCTTTGAATGAATAATATTTATTAATACAATAAGTTCAGTAACAAAATATTTTGGCCCTGGAGAAACACTCAGCATAATAAAGAATTTAGGAGTTCCTGCCGAGCAAGTCAAATTGCAACCTGTAGTGTGAGGAAGAACCTGCCTGCCCGACAATATGCCAGCCAGGAATGTGAAGCAAGGGTTCTCCACCAAGGGGATGAGACTAGGCATCTCATCTGCAGCCAGGGTGTGCAAGGTCTGCATGAGGGATAGCCCATGTGGTGCTATTACAAGTAGTAAGTAGCAGGGTCTATCAATCTGGCGCTGGTATAAATTTGATAAAATTTGTCTCTGAAATGCTTGGGGATGAATGAAATTTTAGAAATGGCCAGTGATAAAATTTCATCAAGGTCCAAAAACTCAGATGGTTATTTTGATAATTATCATTGATAAACAAAGATTTTAATTATGATAGAAAAACAAAGGATATGGGGTATCCAATAGGATGTGATGCTTTGCTGAGCATTTCTATACTGTTTTGAGCCAAGTCCAAATAAATTGATATATGTAGACAATGTATGGTTGTTCTCTTTATACTGGAATGTTTAAAACTGTTCAAAATAATGTATTTTTAGTAGAAATCAACAATTTTGTGATTTTTGAAATCTTCAGAAACTCATTATCAAGGTCATAAGCAAGGAATTATACAGTCACTGATTGTATAAAACAATGGTTCATATGGTAAATGCATTTTGACTGCAAAAATAACAGAGTTGTAGTATAAACAGCAAAAATGATCTGCAATAAAAGACCTACAAAAATGCAATATTACTTAGACCATCAAACAACTTATTGTACTTAATATGATTATTTCTTATAAACAAATTTAGCATCTTAGAAACTGAAAACAGGGATACAAGATATTCTTGGAGTTTATTGGAGTCATTGCCCGTTTATGACTACTGTAAATTCAGAAATTATCATGTGCATTTATTATTGCGATTTTGAAGACTGAACGAAAGATTAATTATTGAAATTTCAGGGTAAGACTTATACGGATAAATGTATCAGATATCAAAATGCTAATTCTTCTTATTGTGATATAACCTAGTTGCATTTATAAAAACCTCACAATAATTTCTGAATTTACAGTATTTTTATCCATTTTTAGCTCACCGGCTAAATTTAACCAAACTTGGCCACAATCATCATTGGGGTATCTAGTTTAAAAAATGTGTCCGATGACTTGGGCCGCCAACCAAGATGACCGCCATGGCTAAAAATAGAACATAGGGGTAAAATGTAGATTTTGGCTTATATCTCTGAAATTAAAGCATTTAGAGCAAATCTGACTGGGTAAAAATGTTCATCAGGTTAAGATCTATCTGCCCTGAAATTTTCAGACAAATTAGACAACCCGTAGTTGGGTTGCTGCCCCTGAATTGGTAATTTTAAGGAAAGTTTGCAGTTTTTGGTTATTATCTTGAATATTATTATAGATAGAGATAAACTGTAAACAGCAATAATGTTCAGCAAAGTAAGATCTACAAATAAGTTACCATGACCAAAATGATCAATTGACCCCTTAAGGAGTTATTGCCCTTTATAGTCAATTTTTAACCATTTTTTGTAAATTTTTGTAATCTTAAACAAAAATCTTCTTCTCTGAAACTACTGAGACAAATTTAACCAAACTTGGCCACAATCATCATTAGGGTATTTAGTTTAAAAAATGTGTCCTATGACCCCGCCTGCCAACCAACATGGCCGACATGGCTAAAAATAGAACATAGGGGTAAAATGCATTTTTTGTCTATTATTTTTTGAACCGTTATAAATAGAGAAAATCCGAAAGGAGCAAAAATGTTCAGAATAATGAGCTCTACCAATTGTCCATATACGTCAAAACTGTTAGACAAATTCTTTTAGGAGTTATTGCCCATAAATGACAAATTTTACCATTTTTTTTCATTTTTGCCTTTTATCATGAAAACTATGATATTTAGAGAGAACATTTTGTTTCCGTTATGCCTTATATGATTTAAATTATAATAGATAAATAAACACTTTAAATAAGAAAAATTATCAGCAAGGCAAGATCTATTATAAAGTCAAATTTTGCCGATATAGTTAGTAGACTGTCACTCTTCATAGGAGTTATTGCCCTTAAATGAGGATTTTTTTTTACCCTCTTTTGTGTTTTGAGCAAAAACTTAAGATAGAGAGAAACTAAACAGACTAAAAGATCAGTAATACAAGATCAACAAAATAGAGATTTTTGTCATGAAGTCTATTCTCGTCTACAATGTTGGAGAGTGTCCCTTGTTTGATATGCACATAGACCAAGGTGAGCGACACAGGCTCTTTAAAGCCTCTAGTTTGTATTTCTTTTAAAGATCATCTATCACCTCTGAAACTACTGAACCAATTTAAACTGAACAGGACATGACTGATCTTTTGTGTGTTTAGATTTTTGTTTGTAAATTATATAATGGTCTATTTACCAACATGAACGCAATGACTAAAAATAGGACATAGGCTTAAAATAGGACATAGGCTTAAAATAAAAACAGAAGACGATAAGGAAAATCTGACGTTAGTACATTGATTTTAAGTTCATGTTTTATGTTATGCTATATATTTAACTACCCATTTGTCGTTTAGTTTTCAAGGTTTTGATAATAAAATTACTTATAAAATTATTGACCTAAACATAACAGCAAAATGTTCATCTGTCGATTAAAACGTTATGTGATTTCTTATAATCATGACTTGGAAATAAATATTCTTTAAGTCTAAGTATGTATGGGTTTCACATCAGTTGGAAATTAATTCTGATATCCAGTTTCAGCATTACTGAAAATAACTTACAAAAATCAAATAACTTGAAAGCAGAGATTGAAATGAATGCAAATTATTAAAATTTAAAAACATAACAAGTCATGATTTTATTTGAAAACAGTTTTTGGTAAAGTTTGTCTCAAGGCGAGACATAGTGATCCTGCATTCTATTAGCAGCATCATCCTATACTTAACATTAAGATTCAGTCTATTGATAAAGTTTTTTTTACACATCATTAACTTTGTCAAACCTTTATAGAATTATACCAACTTTTATTACAGTTAATGAAGAAGACACTGTGCAGATGAGACATAAAGCCAAAGTACATAGTTTTTATAGTATCTATAGAGATACAAGTCTTCAAGGATCAGAATGGAATAGAATTTCTGAGGCAGAAGAGCCAGAATATTATGGTAATATCGTAATTTGCACATGTTCCTTTATTAAGTTAAACTATACTGATATTATGGCCAATGACAAAAATTATCTGTGTTTCTGTGTGTCAGTAAATACATATTTTAATTGTTTGAGCTGAAAGTGAACCATTTATTGTAATGTTACCCTCAGAAAAGTTACACATTGTTTATTTAACAGGAGCTGAGAGTGAACCATTTATTGTAATGTTACCATCAGAAAAGTTACACATTGTTTATTTAACAGAAGCTGTGAGTGAACCATTTATTGTAATGTTACCATCAGAAAAGTTACACATTGTTTATTTAACAGAAGCTGTGAGTGAACCATTTATTGTAATGTTACCCTCAGAAAAGTTACACATTGTTTATTTAACAGAAGCTGTGAGTGAACCATTTATTGTAATGTTACCATCAGAAAAGTTACACATTGTTTATTTAACAGAAGCTGTGAGTGAACCACTTTTTGTAATTTTACCCTCAGAAAAGTTACACATTGTTTATTTAATAGGAGCTGAAAGTGAACCATTTATTGTAATGTTACCCTCAGAAAAGTTACAACAGCTTATCATCAGTGTTAACAACAGATATCTGATAGAGAAAGATCTAAATGGTCAAATTGTGGAACTTTTAGACTTAAAGTGTATTGTATCATTCTTAATCTCCATGGAAACAGTTGATCATGAGAATATATCCGGAGAGATTTCACTTCCAGTTTGTAAGATAAAGTTTGACTATACAAGGAAAGATAGAAGAGATAGAAAATATGTAATGGAGGATGCTGATATAGCTAAGGTAACTCATTGAAACATATGTAATGAAGGATGCTGATATACATGATATAGCTAAGGTAAGTCATTACACTATATGTAATGGAGGATGCTGATAGAGCTAAGGTAAGTCATTACAACATATGTAATGGAGGATGCTGATATAGCTAAGGTAAGTCATTGAAACATATTTAATGGAGGATGCTAAGGTAAGTCATTGAAACATATGTAGTGGAGGATGCTGATATAGCTAAGGTAAGTCATTACAACATATGTAATGGAGGATGCTGATATACATGATATAGCTATGGTAAGTCATCAGAACATATGTGATTGAGGATGCTGAAATATCTAAGGTACCCGGTAAGTCATTACAACATGTGTAATGGAGGATGCTGAAATATGAATTTGACATCACCTAGCATTAACAAGTTATGAGAAACAACCACTGTAGCTTTTCGGATATATAAACCAAATATTCTGTAAGTAATATAAACAAGACAATGAGACTCAAGATATAAAAGATAATAAAATTTATGGTTGCTAAAGATGTTGACTGGTGAATCCAGTCCAGAATGTTTGTATTTGTACTTTATGTGATTTTTGGTTTATTTTCTCAGGCCTTATACATCACCTGAAGTTGCTTAAAATTATGGATACTGTCCTTCCTCAGGTTATAGTCAAAAACTATGGATATTGTTCTTCCTCAGGTTATAGCCAAACCTATGGATATTGTTCTTCCTCAGGTTATAGCCAAAAACTATGGATATTGTTCTTCCTCAGGTTATAGCCAAAACTATGGATATTGTCCTTCCTCAGGTTAAAGCCAAACCTATGGATATTGTTCTATGGATATTTTTCTTCCTCAGGTTATAGCCAAAACTATGGATATTGTTCTTCCTCAGGTTATAGCCAAACCAATGGATATTGTTCTTCCTCAGGTTATAGCCAAACCTATGGATATTGTCCTTCCTCAGGATATAGTCAAAAAACCATGGATATTGTCCTTCCTCAGATTATAGCCAAAAAACTATGGATATTGTCCTTCCTCATGTTATAGCCAAAAACTATTGATATTGCCTTCAGGTTATACCCAAAACTAGTAATTTTTACCAAGAAGACATTTTTTTACCAATTATATATAATTTAAGAAATAGTCATTTAGTGAATAACATCATGATTTTTAATATTTTTTTTTTAGGAATTTCAAAATTTACTTCAGCCTTTTATTGATGCCAAAGATGTAAAGAGACAGATGAAAGATTTGCTGCAGTGTTTGAAATGCTCCAATCAGTTTGATAAATCTGATGCAGAGATAAAAATTCATGTTCCTGATAAAAAACATTTTAATTCCTTTTCTAATGTCAGTAAAGGTAAGCAAATATTAAGAATAATGTCAAGTGATAGATTTGATCATCTGAAGACACATCATATAGTGTTATGATATAGCACAAAATGTCCCCATCAGTGCCAACACAAGATAACTCAAAAGCTTTCTCCATAAAACCCTAATTCCTTCACTGGTTTTATATATATGTTGTTCGCAATATAAGAATGCCAAAGAGATCCAGTAAAGCAACGGTGCTGAGGTAACTATATAGTTCTATTTTTATGTCCCTGTCATAACCGGAGGGGGCATTAAGTGTTACCTTTGTCCATCTGTACATCCGTCTGTACGTCCCAAAATTGGTTTCCGTTCTCTAACTTTAGTTTGCCTCAATCAAATGTTATGAAACTTATATACAATGCTTATTACCACAAAGCACAGGTTAACTTCGAATTTGGGTAGCGTCACTTTTCCCGTTCTTGAGTAATGTCCCTTTATAACATTATATGCAAGCGGGGGCATCATCTGTGTTCAATGGACACCTTCTCCATTTATTTTTAAATGAAGTAGTATTATTAATCTACAGCCTGAAACCAATATATTTAATAAAGACTACTTCATAGTCAAAAGATAAAACGTTTAAAAAAAAATATTTTGATTACTCATTTCAAAAGTGTTTTCAGAAAAAATGGATTAAACAATGTAATAGTCAAATGAAGAAATAGTATTAAAACATTAATATTGTAAAAAAAATTAACATTTTTAAAATTTCTACTATAATAATTCACACGTACATGGACCACTGTCTCAGTCTTTTATTATACTTTTACAATTTGATTTAAAAAGTAACAATGGTTTTTGAAATGCATTTCCAATCCAGAAATATTTGATAACAAAAACAAATAATGTGCATACCCACTTTAAAATATACAACTTTTATGAGTATTTTGGTTGATTTTATTATGGCCTAATAGATTTTTTGGGCTTTTTGAATTGTTTGGTTTTAATGCCCCCGCCGTCATAGGAGGGGGCATGAAGTTTTCCCCTTGTTCATCCGTACGTATGTTGGTTTCCGTTCTCTAACTTTAGTTTGCCTCAACCAAATATTATGAAACTTATATATAATGCTTAATACCACAAAACACAGATCAAGTTCGAATTTGGGTGGCGTCACTTTCTCGAGTTATGCCCCTTTATAACGCTATATGCAAGCGAGGGCATCATCTGCGTCCATGGGACACATTATCTATTTATTTCGGCCACAATCGTCATTGGGGTATCTAGTTTAAAGATTGTGTCCAATGATCCCACTTGCCAACCAGCATGGCCTACATGGCTAAAAATAGAACATTCTTGCAAAATGCAAGTTTTGTCTATTATTTAAAAATACAACATTAGACAGTGAAAATCAGAAGGGACAGAAATGTTCAGAATGATGAGATCTACATAAAGTCATTTACATCAAAACTGTCAGACCACTTCTTACAGGAGTTATTGCCCTTAAATGACTAATTTTACCATTTTTTTTTCATTTTTGCTTGCCCATTATCTTGAAAACAATAAAAGATTTAGAGAAACTTTAAAAGTAAAAATGATCAACTAGACAAGATTTACTAATAAGTCAACATGGTTGAATTCGTCAGTCGACTCTTTATTGGAGTTGTTTCCCTCTAATGATGATTATTACCCTTTTTTGTGTTTTTGCCTGATGTCTTGAAAACTATAATAGATTGATAAAAACTTTAAATAGAGAAAATGATCAGCAAGACAAGATCTGCAAATAAGTCAAAATGCTGAAATCGTTAGTTGACTCTCTAAAGAAGTTATAGGCCTTTAATGACGATTTTTATCAATTTTTTGTGTTAATGTCAATTGTTTTGAAAACTATAATAGATAGAGAGAAACTTTTAATACTAAAATGATTCACAAGACAAGATCTATAAAAAAATCTATTTTGTCGAAATCCTTGGTCGGCTCTTCATAGGGGTAATTTCCCTAAAATGACAATTTTTCCAAAATTTTGCAGTTTTGCCTATTATTTTTACAATAGAAAGATAGAAATTTTTATAACAAAATGATCAGCAAGACAAGATCTACATGGGTCAACATGGCCCAAATCCTCAGTCAAGTCCTTAGAGGAGTTATTTCCCTTAATTGACAAATTTCGCTAATTTTTGTCTTGCCTGGTGAGTCATGGGTGTTGCTTTCCCAGTCCAGCGGTCACGTCATCGTTGTTGGCAGCATCAACAATTGTTAAGTTTCTGCTTTACTCAGTTTGATAGGAACTACTGTAAACCAACTTATTTTTGCGACCTTCACAAGAAGAAAAATAACGGGAATATGTAAAACTTGGATCTTTCCTTATCAAACTACATCAATTTAATTAGAAAATCGTGAAATTAAATAGCCGCGAAGTGGACTAGAAAGTGTTAAAAGCGAAATAAAGTATCCGCGAAATAAGTTGGTTTATAGTACTTGTGATAGATCAATTATATTTCCTATAAAGTTGCATTACTGTCAGAACAAATCAGTTTGACAACTATTTCAAGGCCCTACTCCCTCGTTCATGGTCCAGTGACTTAAAAATTAATTAGCAATTTTTAATGTTGAGTTTTCTGTTTAACTTGTCAGTCAACTCATTATATGAGTTATTGCTTTTTGATGATGATTTTTTTTCATTTTTGGATGAGTAAAGAAAAACTGCTAACAGCTAAAATGATCAGCACGACAAAATCAACAAAAAAGTGGTTTTAGTCATGAATAATATTCTTGGCTACAATGTTTGAGAGTGGCCATAGTTGAACATGCACATATATCTAGGTGAAAGACACAGGATCTTTAGAACCTCTAGTTTATTTTTTTACCAGTTCCATGCTAAAAAATGCAATTTCTCAGTCCATCAAAATACTGTCTTCTATTTTTCAGCTAAACAAGCAAATAAAAATATCTTTATTCTGCAATTTTATAAATACAGGAGATTCGATGAAGTACATATGCCCAAAATGTAAAAGTGAAATGGTGGTGGAACTTGACACCAAAGAATTACCAACATCTTTACAGAACACACCAGTGGGATCACTGATATCTGGTGACAATTTCATAGGGACGCCCAGCAAAGGCGTTATAAATGGGTAAGTTTACTATTTTACATTAGAACATCATATAACAATATAAGCACTTCTGTGGTCTTGTGATAGCATGCGTGCCGCAAATGCAGTAGGTTTGAACCCTGGCCTGGTCAAACCAAGGACTTAAAATTAGTATTTGCTGCTTCTTGCTAAGCAAGTTGCATTAAGGAGTAAGCACAAAAACTGGTCAGCTCAGAGTCAGAATAATGTGTCTGTGTAGGGTGACAATTCTTCCTGCGAACTATTACTTTGTGAACTAGTACGTTAAAAATCTGGCTCAGCTTGTCGGTTACGTACAAAGCAAGGTTCATATTCATATTGCACTAACATATTATCATCCTGGATATGCATTTAGTTTGCCCCTGGATGTTAATCAGCCATCCATCCATTCATTATATTACCATACCTTAGAATAACTGGGATGAAATAAATTTAGAATTAATGATCATATCACCATATATTAGGGTAACTGGGCTGAAATAAACCTTGGATTGTTAATCATATCACCTTATCAAAAAAGACTGAAATTTCCATTAAGTCCTGTATAACATGTTCAGGAGGTTGTTATACATTTTAGAATGTAATTATACTTAATATAGATTTTAACATTCCTCATATAAATATGTTATTTTTTTATAATAAATTTTCTGTTATTATTGTCCCTTGATTTATATGATTTTTGTTTTGTCAACTTTTTTTTTATTTACTAATACTTGTGAGAGATTTTACATTAATGACCTGAAATTTTAGCCATGTGTTAAGAGTTGAAAGTTACCCTTACATTAACCAATAAAAAACTGGCATTTTGAAATAAAGTCTAATAAAACATCATAAATAGTTTATAATTAACATTGTATGAATGTTGTTTTTCAGTAGTATAATATCAGGATCTCCTGTAGCTAAATCTTCACCAAAAAAGGAAAAAGAAAATAAAACTATTGGTTTTGATGATTTGGATGGAACTACAAGTATGTTTTAAATTTATTTTTTACTCTCTCTGCTTAAGTTGAAGACTAAACTTTCTTCCCAGGGTGTGAGACTGGACTGTACTTTAGGGTGTGAGATTGGACTTCTTTATGGTATGAGACTCATCTTCCTCCTTGTGAATGTGACTTGACTTCTTACTGGAGTGGTGGAATGGATTTTTTTACTTCAATCTGTGAGATTCAACTCTCTAAGGGTTTAAACATTTGGCTTTCTCTTTTCAAGTTTTCATTGTCGGATTCAACTTTCACCTTAAAGGGTTGGACATCTCCTTAGAATTAAACTAGTTTCTTCTAAGGGTGAAGGACTGTTTTTTTCATTACTGTGGGACACTCAATTTCTCCTTGGGATGTGAAACTTGAAATTTTTCTTAGGATGTGTGACTCAACTTTCTCTTAAAGATGTTTAACTTGACTTCCTTTTATGGGAGTAGCAGACTTAATTTCTTCCTTTAATTGGTGATTTTATGTTTTTCTTTTAGATATGAGACTTGACTTGCTCCTTTTGAATGTGAGACTTAATTTCTCCTCTTTGGATGTGAGACTTGACCTTCTTATTTTGGGTGAGAGATTTTATTTTCTCCTTTTGGATGATAGACTTGACGTTCTCCTTTTGGCTGTGAGACTTGACTTGCTCCATTTGGGTATGAGACTTTTGGGTTTGAGATTTGATAATCTCCTTTTAGATGTGACTTGACTTCTTCCTTTTGGATGTGACTTGACTTCTTCCTTTTGGATGTGACTTGACTTCCTCCTTTTGGATGTGATACAAATTTTCCTGTTGGCTGTGAGACTTGACTTTTTCCTTTTGGCTGTGAGGCTTGACTCTCCTTATGGTTGTGAGATTTTACTCTCCTTTTGGATGTGAGACTTGACTTTCACCTTTTGGCTTTAAGACTCGACTTTCTCCATTTTGGCTGTGAGACTTGACATTCTCCTTTTGGATGTGAGACTAGACTTTTTCCTTTTCCTTTTGGCTGTGAGACTTGACTCTCTTCTTTTCTGTGGGAGACCTGACTATATATCACCTTTTGAATGTGAGACTTGGACTCTCTCCTTTTTGATGTGAGAATTGACTCTCCTTTTGGGCGCAAGACTTGACTCTCTTTTGTGTGTTATACTTGACTTTCTTCTTTTGGGTTTGAGATATTACTTTTTAGTCCCCTACCGACGAAGTCGAAGGAGATTTTAGGTTTTCACTCCGTCCGTCTGTCTGTCCATCCGTCAGTCCGGCAAATCAGTTTTCCACACTTTTTTCTTCGTGCTTGAAGATATTGATTTGAAATTTCTATATAGTTTTATCATGACAAGTTACAGATCAAGTTCAAATTATGTTCCGGTCTGATGATTTTGTACAGAATTATGGTCCTTGGACTTAGAAAATTCACTCAAATAATCAGTTTTCCGCACTTTTTTTTGTCATGCTTGAAGATATTGATTTAATAATTTGTATATAGTTTTATCATGACAAGTTACAGATCAAGTTCGAATTTTGTTCCGGTCTGATGATTTTGTGCAGAGTTATGGTCCTTGGACTTTGAAAATTCACTCAAATAATCAGTTTTCCAAACTTTTTTTCGTCATGCTTGAAGATATTGACTTGATATTTGTTATATAGTTTACACCGTGACAAGTTATAGATCAAGTTAGCTTCTTGTTCCAGTACAATGAATTCTTAACCGGTAGGGGACTATGTATTGCCATGCAGTACTCTCAGAATGCTTGTTCATTTTGGTTGTGAGACTTGACTTTTCATTTTGGTTGTGAGACTTGACTCTCTCCTTTTGGTTTTGAGATTTGATTTTCTCCCTTTGGAAGTGAGACTTGACTTTTTCATTTTGGGTGTGGTACTTGACTTTCTCCTTTTGGGTATGAGACTTGACTCTCTCCTTTTAGATGTTAATTTTGGCTCTCTCCTTTTGGATATGATACTTGTCTTTCTCCTTTTGCATGTGAGACAGTACTGTCTCTTTTTTGGCTGTAAGACTTGACTCTCTAATTTTTGGGTTTGAGACTTAGCTTTCTCATTTTGGCTGTAAGAATCTGCTTTCTACTTTTTGATTTGAGACTTGACTTTCTTCTTTTGGGTATGAGATTTGACTTTATCATTTTGGGTGTGAGACTGTAGGGTGACATACTGGACCTTGTCTTTACAGGGTTATCCTGTTTGGTAATGTTATAATATTTGATATTAAATTGTAAAATGAGTATTACTGTATGATTTATGTGTTTTATCTAGGTTGACCTATTTTAAACATTTTTAAATCTTTTGATTTAATATTGGAGGGGAGTCATTATAAAGATCCAACAATTTTACTATTTTTTTTTTAATATATGATCAGATTTATAATTGAAATTTTTAAAATTGTAAAGGTTTGTTCTCCTCAAAAGGCATTGGTTAAAGGCATTTTCAACTAACAATATGTAAAAATATCAGGTAAATACAAAATTTAGTTCTGACAAAATCTTTTAGTATTAATGTCATCATGATGTTACAATCATTCTGTTGATGAAGAGCATAATTTTGACCATATTTTTTTTCTTTTTTGTTTTTAAATTACTGCTGAAGACAGCTTTGGTGATAGATATTTTATGTCCTGCCTATAATGGTAGGAAGTATTATGTTTTCTTGTCAGTAATTCTGTCCAATATTCTGCCAGTCCGTTATTCTGTCAGTTCATTTTTCTGTCTGTCTGTATGCCATTTTGTTTTTCTTTGACATGGTTTTTTGTTTTATAGTGATTAAGATTATAACACAATGTTGACTGCTGTACCCCAATTTTTGACATTTTACCTATTACAAACATCTAGAATGTATTTTTAGTAACATGCGGTATGCTCTGTGCAATATGCTGTTTTTGAACTATGAAAAGCTTAACACAACAGTATTGGTGTGCAAACTGAGCAAATACAAATGTACATGTGATCAAGTTTTAACAAATCACAAATCCTTAAAAATATTCGATTAATGATATATAATTATATTAATATGTGGGTATGGGGTATGTGATATAAAAATGAGGAGATGTGGCATGATTGCCAATGAGAAAACTATTTACCAGAGTTAAAATGAAGTGGAAGTAAGCAATTATAGGCTACCGTATGGCCTTTAACAATGAGAAAAACCCATACTGTATAGTCAGTTATAAATGCCCCCATCATGAAAAATGTGAAACAATTCAAACAAGAAAACTAACGGCCTATTTTATAACAAAACAATTTACAAAAAACAAGTATGGCAGACCAAGGACAACCACATAAAGAATGTGGAGGGGTTAAACATGTTGTGAGTGCTTAATCCTAGACCTTACCTTGGACACTGGTGTAACACCAAAACACAAAAAAAGAAAATATAAATGAAATATATATTCAAGCTTACTTACTTATGGTTCTATATTTTTTCAAGTACATGCCATTAAGATAACATGTGTTGATCCCCCAGATCTAAAAGTAGTCATTCTATATTTAAAGTAACAGAAAGAAACACAGTACAGCTGAGAACAAAAACAAAGGAACAAAGTTTTCATAATGTCAAGAGGAATAGAAGTTTCCAGCTTCCAGAATGGCAGGGAATTTCTGATGCTGAGGAGAATGTACAATTGAGACCAAAAACTGAAGGACATGATTTATATAGGAACAACAGAGAGAAAATTTTCCAAGATTTCGAACAGAAAGGAATATCTGATACCGATGAATCAGAATATAATGGTAATAGTCCCATTTCCCAACACCACTGAGAGATTAGGTTTACCTTAAGGAAAGCAACAATCATGATAGTTGTCTACTCTTTGGTCGGGTTGTTGTCTCTTAGACTCATTCCCCGTTTCCATTCTCAATTCTATTATTGTCTGGCAGTTTATATTGAAAATAATATTTCTATATGTGTGAAATAATCTGTTCATCAAATGGGATTGCTGTGAATATTGTCAAAATCATAAACAGCATGACTTGGATTATGTATTGTATTATTTAGAATAAAATTCCATAATATGCCATGGTGTTCTATATTGGGTTTTTTTCATCAGTATGTATGTACATAACACCACCTAGTTATTTTGATAGTAGGTAAATTGCTAAATTTGGTTTACATTAATCCTTTATCCTTCTATTTTGGCATAATTTTCTTCATCTAAATATAATTCTCACAAAGAATATTCCTGCATCGTATTTGCCTGTTTCATCAAAAATTTAAAACAATCATTTGCTGTATTTGTCATTTTAGATGATAAAAGACAACCATATTTTCTTGATCTATTATACAATTGTGTAAAATAATTTGTAATTGCATTCAAAATGTAATCATCTTATTGTGTTTTGATGATATATTGCATTATGTATTTGATCATTGTTATGTGACTTTTATTGAGTTATATTATACTAGTATATAAATGTTGAATATGTAGATAAAGAAAAAAATTAACACATGTGGTTGGCAAAACACATGTGAAACTTTCAAATGAAAGAAGCACTTGAATGCTTATTTATATATAAAAATAAGGAGCTGTGGTATGATTGCTAATGAGACAACTATCCATCAAAGTTCAAATGAAGTGGATGTAAGCAATTATTGGCAACCGTTTGGCCTTCAACAATGAGAAAAACCCATACCGTATAGTTGGCTATAAAAGGCCCCGACATGAAAAATATGAAACAATTCAATTGAGAAAACTACTGGCCTAATTTATAACAAAACAATTTACAAAAAACTAATATGACAGACATAAACCAACGAAAACCACTGAACTACAGGCTCCTGGGAGAGGCACATAAATAATGTGGCAGGGTTAAACATGTTTGTGAGCAATCTAATACTATTTCCAAAGCAGAGTTAGATATTCACTTGATGCATAGAACATTTTACAATTTGATAATTGTAAAAATGACTTAAAATAGATACCATTGATTTTCTAGGGAACAAAGACCCATCTGCAGTGATGTCAAACTCAGCTATGATCAGTCGAACACAGAAAGAAACAGTTATTCAGAAATCTTACTCTACTGGAACAACAATGTGTGATATGGACAAACTACAGGCTGATGAAAATCCAGAATATATAAAAAATAGTTCATGGTTAGGAGTTACAAAGTCTAACTCTCGTCAGGTTGGAAAAAGATCTTCCATAGATAGTGATATAACAATTCTGACAAATGACAGTAGTAGCATAGCCGTCATCTCTGAGTCGACAAATGAAAGTAGTAGCATAGCCATCATTTCTGAGTCAAGTAATGACATGATAGCTGATAGAACACATGATGGGTTCAGTGATAATAGTGAAGCTAAGACTGTTCATAATTTGACACTTCCAGTCAGAAAAGCTGGTTTGAACTCTAGTCAAAATTGTGAAATAGATATTGTCTCACGGAAACTAACTGGGATATCTGAGGAAGCAGCAGTGGTAACACCTATGGGGTCACCTCTGTCAAGTAGTATATGTTCTAGCATGGTTTCAAGTGTTTATGAAAATACTGTGACATCTCCAAGTACTGAAAATTTACACCAAGAGACTGTGGACTCATATAAAAATTGTGATAATGGTTTCCATGACAACCATAATGGAAACGAGGAAAGTATTTATGATGTTTTTGTAACAAATGATAATAAGGAATTTAATTCAATGCACACAAATGGAGAAATTGACAACAGAGAAAGTTCATTGACTGTAGAAGTATTGAATTCAAGTGAGACAACAACAGTGGATAACTCAAATTTAGACTATGATTCTGGTGATGTTTCCATGGATGCTGACAGTGTATTAAAGAGTTTCTGTGATACAGATTTTACTAACATTGATCACAGATTAAAGCTGTTTTTAACCATGACCTATCTAGAAGAAAATGAAACAGAAAAGGTTCAGTGTGCTCTTAAGGTAAAGAAGTAACTTTTTACTATACATCCAATGCACATTAAATAACTGAACTCATGAGTGAGATTTCTTGGATCAGTTTTGTATGGTTATTTAGAAATACACAGATGAGAATGTATTACCAATCAATAAATCTACATGATCTATATATGAGTCCTATTGTAAATTTTAATTATTTCTTCTTGTCCAGTTCATGATCATGGTCTAGCAATCATTGTCCTACATGCATAGTCAGATCATGATCCTTAATAAACTTTAAAAGTCTCTTGTTAATTATTATTTCCTTATTATTTATATCTTGTTATACTTTTTATTTATCCATCTATTTTCTATCAGCTGAATACATTTTTTTCCACCACATGTAATATAAACATGATAAATATAAATTATGTACAAAATTTCCTTGTAACTTCAAATTTTCATCATCATAATAGTTCCAAAGCTTGATTTTGGTAAACTATGCTTGATATTATCTGAAACATGACCAATTCTACTTGATATTTTCTGGATAAATCTATATTTTTTTTTTATTTATCATTATTAGTGATTATATATGTATTTGTGGCAGTAGCTTACAGAGCTTCTTTTTCTTAGAATTTCATGTTTTATTAGTACTCATTGTACTCTGCTTCCATATCATCAACATATACGGTATAAATGATAAGGTTTTGATATTCCTGTTACAGGTAGATATAGTACGGTATACATGATAAGGATTTGATATTCCTGTTACAGGTAGATATAGTACGGTATAAATGATAAGGATTTGATATTCCTGTTACAGGTAGATATAGTAAGGTATAAATGATAAGGATTTGATATTCCTGTTACAGGTAGATATAGTACGGTATAAATGATAAGGATTTGATATTCCTGTTACAGGTAGATATAGTACAGTATATGGAGACCGAGGAGTTCACAGGTTACGTGGTTGTGTCTACTGATAGAATTTTTATCTTCAAGTTCATTGATAAAGAAGACAGGTGAGTTACTCATGTTTATTCATACATGTAAAGTTATTATGATTTAGATTGGGCGCTAAAGTTAAGTCTTGACTGGCATGATCGTATATTGGTATGACGTTGGCGTCGGTCGTCCGAAGACACATTGGTTTTCGCACTCTAACTTTAGTTTAAGTGAATGGATCTCTATGAAATTTTACCATAAGGTTCAATACCACAAAAGGAAGGTTGGGATTGATTTTGGGGGTTATGGTACCAACAGTTAAGGAATAAGGGGCCAAAAAGGGGCAAAAATAAGCATTTTTGTAACTTCCAGACATAACTTGTGTGTTAGTGTATGGATCTCTCTGACATTGTACCACAAGGTTCCATATCACACAGGGAATGCTTGGATTGGTTTTGGGGTAATTGCCTCAAAATATTAGGAATAAGGGGCCAAAAAAGGGGCAAAAAACAAGCATTTTTCTAGTTTCATGACAATAACTTGTGTGTAAGTGTATGGATCTTTCTGAAATTGTACTACAAGGTTCCATATCACAAAGGGAAAGCTGGAATTGAGTTTGGGGGTAATTGCCAAAAACGTTTAGGAATAAGGGGCCAAAAATAAGCATTTTTCTAGTTTCCAGACAATAACTTGTGTTCAAGTGTATGAATCTCTCTGAAATTGTACTGCAAGGTACCATACCTCAAAGGGAAGGCTGGGATTGATTTTGGGGGTAATTGCTTCAAAATTTTAGGAATTAGGGGCCAAAAAAGGGGCAAAAAACAAGCATTTTTCTAGTTTCATGACAATAACTTGTGTGTAAGTGTATGGATCTTTCTGAAATTGTACTACAAGGTTCCATATCACAAAGGGAAAGCTGGAATTGAGTTTGGGGGTAATTGCCAAAAACGTTTAGGAATAAGGGGCCAAAAATAAGCATTTTTCTAGTTTCCAGACAATAACTTGTGTTCAAGTGTATGAATCTCTCTGAAATTGTACTGCAAGGTACCATACCTCAAAGGGAAGGCTGGGATTGATTTTGGGGGTAATTGCTTCAAAATTTTAGGAATTAGGGGCCAAAAAAGGGGCAAAACACAAGCATTTTTCTAATTTCATGACAATAACTTGTGTGTAAGTGTATGGATCTTTATGAAATTGTACTACAAGGTTCCATATCACAAAGGGAAAGCTGGGTTTGAGTTTTGGGGTAATTGCCTTAAATGTTTAGGAATTTGTGGCCAAAAAGGGGCCAAAAAACAAGCATTTTTCTAGTTTCCAGACAATAACTTGTGTTCAAGTGTATGGATCTCTCTGAAATTGTACTGCAGGTACCATACCACAAAGGGAAGGCTGGGATTGAGTTTGGGGGTGATGAATCATAAGGGGGTTCAAAAAATTTGGGGGGGGGGGTTTTCTTTAAAATTTTCCATTTTAAATTGGTTATTTCTGATTTATATATAAAAGCAAATAATAATGATATGGTTTGAATAGGTAAATTAAAAAATTTTAAGTTCTTACACCACATTCATTCTGTGTCAGAAACCTATGCTGTGTCAAATATTTAATCACAATCCAAATTCAGTGCTGTATCAAGCTTGAATGTTGTGTCCATACTTGCCCCAACTGTTCAGGGTTTGACCTCTGCGGTCGTATCAAACTACGCCCAGAAGAGCATTTTATTCAATGTTGACATTCTTTTCTTTTTGATTAATGAACCACATGATGAACACATGCCCATCATCTCCACTTAAGATCAAATTGCAAGGTTGCATGAATACAGATTCAAATGAGTTGAATTATTGACTTGCAAGTCAGTAATATATCAGTGATGTTTTTGGCTTATTTTGAAGAAATTGAACCAAATTGACTGAATAGAGAAATATTATAAATGTTTGAAAAAATTCTATTTTTTATTTTTTGTCTGATTTGTAGCTAATATCCCTTTATGGAGGAACTTAGGTGAACTTCAAAAAAACTAGAATTAAAAATTGATACTTTAAGTCAGAAGAGTTAAGAGACAAAATAAGCTAAAAATATTGATAGGTTATGGAGCTCCTTTTCGAGATATTTAATTTTTAAAAAATGGTAGGAAAAGACTGACTCAGACTTTTACCTTATATTTGCATTGGTATTATTTGGGTCTCAAATTGTAAGAAAAGAAATCTAGAATCTGCTTAAATTTTGGTAAATGACCTTTAATGAGCTATTGAAGTCTTATATGAAAAGAAAAATGGGTGTTATGGGGCAAAGTATTTTACCCTGTATTGTAGGAAAAAAAGCAAGGAGTCCGAACATCTGACAAAAATTCCTAAACCTGACCTAAGTACATCCTTGGGATGAAGAACATTTTGCCTATTTTATGAGATTTTAATCTTTTTGTACATCCGCCACATATCCTTTCATATCTAGTTATGAAATGTCATATAACTTATGTCTCACTTTTTAAACAAAAAGGTATACATTTAATTAGATTGATAAAACACTTGTGATCACTTGCTTGCTACCATGTTTATTTGTTTCTTCATATACATATATCTTAAAAATTACTGTATAATTAGTACTATATATATATGTATATGCTCGGAAACAGGCCCTTTAATTGGATTCATTAAAATATTCTTATTCTTATTCTTATTCTATACATATTATTGTAAAATTTTGTAAATAGGAAAAATTTGACAGAGATAAAGGAGAATGTGTAATTTTTGGCCCTAAAATCAAATTGATATGTTTCAAAATTTTTCCAATTTGCAGAACTAAATGTTAAATTTAACTTCAATAAAATATAGAGCAATTTTTTTCAAATTTATTCTTATTATCATGATTATAGGCTAAACAACCATGAAAGGATAGTTAATATTATACAATTGTTGTCTTTTGATTTGATGTGATTTTTATATGACCGCAAAAAAAATTGCGTTTGTATATTGCTATCATGTCATCGTCGTCGTCTGAAGACATTTGGTTTTAGGACAATAACTTTAGTATAAGTGAATGAATCTCTATGAAATTTAATCACAAGGTTCAATAGCACAAAAGGAAGGTTGGGATTGATTTTGGGGGTTATGGTCCCAACTGTTTAGGAATTAGGGGTCAAAAAGGGGCCAAAAAAGGCATTTTTCTAGTTTCCGGACAATAACGTTAACTTGTGTACAAGTGTATGGATCTCTATGAAATTATACCACAAGATTCCATACCACAAAGGGAATTTTGGGATTGACCTTGGGGGTTATGGCTCAAACGTTCAGGAATAAGAGGCAAAAAGGGGGGACAAGGTTTTTCTGGTTTCCGGACAAATACTTAAGTATTAGTTAATGGATCTCTATGAAATTGTACCACAAGGTTCCATACCACACACAGAAGGTTGGGGTTGATTTTGTGGGTTGTGGCTTTAAAGGGAAACTTCGCAAAAAAATAAAAAAAGGATATTATGTTCGTTATGTATAAAAAAGCACAAATTCATAAATATTAACGTTTTATTCCCCTAGATAAGAGATCAGCATCGATTTTAAATTGAGATTATCAATTCTCTACATGTCGCAATCTTGACGGCTTGCCGATTTAAAAACCATGTGATATCTATAAACCACAAAGTACCAAAAAAAGCAGGGACTAACGTACTCGTAATTCAGTGTCGAAATCATGCGTACGGTTGTTTTAACCCGACAAGGTAATGACAAAAGCAATCCCAGTTTCCCTGATCCAAAAAAAAAAAAAAAAAAAAATTATACCAAACATGTTGTACTACCTATCTGCAAACTTTTTAAACTAACTTGATACAGAACAATGTTTAAATGAAGGTTTAAGAGTCGGAAAAGTTGGCCCATTGGACATCTTTTTTTTCTTAAATAACTATGGTTTGTCGCTTTTAAACTGTTATTTTTTACTAAGTTTATGAAACAAGTAAATATATAGGAGAATTACTTTAGACCAATTACTTTTATGGATTCTCTCAAAGTTTAAAGTCATAATTAACTAGCGGTGTTCCATGTAAAATTGTTTTCAAAAATCTAATTTGGTCATAAGTCTTTTATGCAATACATTTATTCAAGTCCGTCCTTCTCTAATTTGATCATCAGCATGGCTAAAGGAATTATTGCCAGAGGTATTGTGAGGTGACAAGTCCAGGTATTCAAGCGATTTCCTGTCGGGCTAAAAAACTCTTTATTACACAATTACATAATGCAAGTTCATACATCGCTTCACTGCTGAGCGTATCAGTGTACATGGCCGTTAACTTGGAACTTTTCATTTAAAAACTATCAGATGTAATATACATCATGTGTACATTTTTTGTCTGGAGTCCGGCCGTGATATACTAGTCATTGCTAAACTCATATGGGTAAACAATTTTACTACCACTTGTTTATGGATGACATTTTTGGTGTAAAGAATGATATTTATGAAAATCTAGATAATTCCAGCTAAAGATTTGAGGAAATAAAATCTATTTTGATACTTCCTAGGGTAAAATTTTGAAAAATGTAAGTATATACTCGTTGTCAATAATTATGGAAAATTTGAAACATAGCCTATATATATATTTATTTCACAAAAATGTATGCAATGTCGATCATTGGTTTATACAGCTAGACCGTTACGGAACTTTAGATATTCACAATTTAAAATATATATTGAAAATTATTGTCATTCTTGGTTGAAATGATGAAAGGAATCATTAAAATGTGTACGTACGCTGTGATAAGTAGGAATTATCAAAAATAAAAAGCATTGTTCCAAAAAGGAATTTAAAAAACAACTCACTTCTATCGAAAGTTACAGATGAAAAACTTAAATTTACAACAAAAAATAATAGTTTCTGGATGTAATTTAAAAACTAAATTTTAGTTGAGTAAAAAATGTTTAGTCGGAATTTAGACCATTTAACCAACCTAGGACACCTTTTAAAAGATGTCTGGTGATGCTTTACAATCGTGATAATTTCTGTGACATGGAACATTCTGTTAAGGTAGTGATTAACCTTAACATTTTCGTGTATTACAGCGGAACTTCATGTATATGCCAAGGAACCGTCCCATGACGTCTCACGTACATACAGGTTTATATTTATATTGGCGTTCAATACCTATTTATGATAATAAGGTTTTATGACATTCACAGTTCTGCATGTTCTGTAAACCAAATTCATATTTTATTTTCAGACCAAATGAGGATATGTAATTTTTGAAGGAAACATATTGACTATCAAATTAATTTTGGTGTTTTTTACTAAGTACATGTATTAAATTATCGAAATTTAAAATACTGCTTGTCCTTTAAGTACTGTAGCTGATATTAAGGAGTATTCTCTGAATTTACAGAAATATTTTTGTTCCTGGATGTAATTAAAAATTTTTATTTAGTTTAGTGATATAAGTTGAGAAGAAAAAAATCTAGTCAGAATTTAAATCATTGCCCCACCCAGGACCCCTCTTAAATCAATAATGGTCATGCTTCACAATCGTGAGAATTTCTTTGACATGGTACATTCTGTATAGGTAGTGATTTACCTTAACATTTCCGGGTATTACAGAGCTACATGTATATTACCTGTATATGGTAAGGTGTCGTCCCATGTGGTCTTACGTATACAGGTTCACGTTTATAATGGTGTTCAAAACCTTTTTCTGATATAACAAGATTTTATGACATTCACACTTCTGAATGTTCTGTATACCAAATTTATATTATATTTTCAGACCGAATGAGAATATGTTTATTTTCAAGGAAACATATTGAGTATCAAATTAATTTTGGTGGTTATTTTTTTACTTGGTATTAAATCACAGAAATTTTAAAATACTACTGCTTGTCCGCTATTAAGGAGTATTCCCGTCTGTTTAGAGTGTGAATAATCTGTCCTACTGAAGGATATGAATGACAAGTCTTGCAAAGGTACAAGATATAAAGCACAAACAAATACAGATTCCTCGAGTCTGCAGTCTTAAATAAAAATCACAAACGTTTTCTTGCACTGAATAATACATGATTAACATGTTTCAGTCGAACTTAAAACATTTATAATTACACCCACCTTTACAGTTTTATTTCCTATTTATATTTAAGACTTAGTATAGAATAAATATAAACAAGAATGTGTCCATAGTACACGGATGCCCCACTGGCACTATCATTTTCTATGTTCAGTGGACCATGAAATTGAGGTCAAAACTCTAATTTAGCATGAAAATTAGAAAGATCATATCATAGGGAACATGTGTACTAAGTTTCAAGTTGATTGGACTTCAACTTCATCAAAAACTACCTTAACCAACAACTTTAACCTGAAGCAGGACAGACGGATGGACGGACGCACAGACTGGAAAACAAAATGCCCCTAGGTGGGGAATAAAAATATAACCCTTTCGAATCATGAGAACTTCCCCTTTTGTTAACAAAGTAAACTCCTCATTTTGAAGTTGATTGTAATACATTTGTTTGATTTCATCAAAAACTGAATTCTTGTGGTTCTATGATATGCTGAATCTAACTGTGCATTCAGATTTTTAATTTTGGGCCCTGTTTTCAAATTAGTCCATATTAAGGTCCAAAGGGTCCAAAATTAAACTTTGTTTGAATTCATGTTTTTTTTTTTTATATGCTGAATCTAACTATGGAATTGGATTTTTGACCATTAAATAGGTAAAATGTCCCATTTCAAAATTTTTATCTGACCACATTTATTCTGTGTCAGAAATCTATAATGTGTCAAATATTTAATCACTATCCAAATTCAGAGCTGTATCAAGCTTGAATTTTGTGTCCATACTTGCCCCAACTGTTCAGATTTTGACCTCTGTGGTCGTATCCAGCTGCTTCAGGCGGAGCACATTTTTATTTTGATATGTATGGAAGCCTACCTGAATTAATGGCACACAGAAGAACTCTGATTTATGAATCTTTAAGTAAAAGATTTTAATTCTGTATATGATTTTGCATAATGTTGACTCTCTTTCAGTGATGATTATGAAAGCTGTTTGAAGTGTATAGAAAATCAACCAATCACAGAACTGCAGTATATTGACATCGGTCTTGGTTACCAGAGTCTGAGGTTTGAGTTCAGCACTGAATGTTCCAGTTTTACATTTCTGATACGAGATGAAGGAAGGTGTAAACACTTCATTAATCTAGTCACTAGTATGTTTTTTTCTGAAATATTCATTTTGTGAGCAAAAACTACATTAAAAGTAAGAATGATTGAGATTGAATATTGAATTCATTTCCATCATTTTTGTTTGTATGCAACAAAAGTCATGAAGGCGATACATGTACATAGCAGTCATAGATTTCTATGTTAGCATTTAGTTTCAGTCTATTAATAACTTTGTCAAAAAACAAGGGAGCTGGTCAACTAGTTAACGTCTGTCTGTCCTTCCTTCTATTTGTCTCAAATAATTTTTGTCACATTTTTGTCCAGAACTACAAATCAGAGCTTTCTGAAATTATTTAAGTTTCATGTGAGCATGGTATACTGTGTGAGGCATTTTTAGATTCATCTTTCATCAACTTCCTGGTTAACAAATGCTTATGTATTGTTTCACATAATGGCCATTTATGAAATTTTCTCAGAAACTACAAATCAAGACTTTCTGAAATTTGGAATCAACCTTCATATCAGCATTTCATGCATATTTATTACCCTTACAGAAAGAACAAATTATTAGTAAAACAATATGCTTACCCTTGCAGAAAGAATAAAGTATAAGTAAAGCAATATGCCTACCCTTATAGAAAGAATAAAGTATAAGTAAAGCAATATGCTTACCCTTACAGAAAGAATAAAGTATAAGTAAAGCAATATGCTTACCCTTACAGAAAGAATAAAGTATAAGTAAAGCAATATGGTTACCCTTACAGAAAGAATAAAGTATAAGTAAAGCAATATGCTTACCTTTGCAGCAAGAACAAATTATATGAAACATAATTACTCTACCTGGTATTGAGAAAACTATTTTCCCAATGCTGTGGCTGAAAAAAAAGTGTTCTTTTAAATCCCAGGTATTGTACAGGACACAGCATTTAGTGAGAACAGTAAGCTGCAGGGAATCAGTAAATATAATGCTGCAACCATGGAGAATTTGAAGTCAGCTATTGCAGAGAGTGATGAGGACGAGGATGGACAATTTAATTTAGTCAGATATCTGTGTGGTATTTTGGTTGAAGAAGGTATTAAATGTATACCCTTCATGATACTGTTTGAGCAAAAAATATTTACTTTAACATAAGAATAAAGAGATGGGGTATGATTATGAATGAGAACTATTCATCAAGGTCATTTGCAAGATATCTATTTAAGGTTGCAAGTATTACTGTTACATGTACTATCAAATTACTGTAAAATTGTGTGTAGCTGTGAACCAAATTTCACTTTTTCCACAGTTCCTTCAAAAATGTGAAAGTATTACATTTAAATATTCATAACAATGCAAGTAATTTACATGTCATGATAATAAAAATTCAAAACAAAATACTTGCAGACCAAACCATATAATGAATACACACATTCAAAACAAAATGATAAATATTCACAGACAAAAAACACTAAATAAATACTCACAAGCCACAACATTAAAGCCACCAAACTAAACTCCAAAAGAGTTATGCAAAATGAGGCCAAAAATTTTCAAACCCACAGAAAATACAAAAAAAAAATACAGTATGAAAATTAATAATGTACATCTTTGACTCCAAGAATATTTTTTTGTCATACAATTTCAGAGGATATCAGAGTATCAGTTGGTTTAACTATCACAGAGCAGGAATTAATACTTGTGACCGAAAACTACCAGTGGCCATTGCCTCGATTACAGGCTCCCTTAGATGCAGAGGTCAAAGGTCAACAATTTACAATAAGAGATTGTCAGAAAATCAACAATATTGCAACTGTGGTATGTTTTATTACAGTTTTTTTTCACACAGAATATTGTAAAATACTCACAAAAATTACAGTTTTTCAATGCCATTTTATCTACTATGAAATATATTATGTTCCTCCTTGAAAAAAAACAAAAGGTAAGCAGTATTTCTGCCACAACTCTCTCATAAAGTAAATGATTAGTACCTCAAATTCACTCCTAAAAATCAACATTCCTGTGTTTTCATCTCGTCTCACTATTTGTATGACTTAGTGACCAATGTCTGTTAGCCGAGAACATCTGTATAGTCTTATGCCATTTGACAACTAACTTTATTAGAATGGTCTCAGTGGCTTAGTTGCCCTTCACACTTTGTTAATCAGCATAGCCTTAAAAAATGACTTGTCAAACTTCAACCAAACTTCTACAGGTTCTTCTACAGGACATGGAAGTTTGTTCACCTACTATTTTAATTTTTGATTTGACATGGACTTAGCCGTTACTGCTTATATCAGTTTGTTAAACTACAACTCCTTGATAATGGCTTATATATTTCATATTTTAAGACAGCAGGGGACACTCATCTTCTTTTAAAAATTCACAATTTTTTAGGAATAAAACATTAGCTGTGATTTTTTTATTTAAATAAAAAGAATTTTAACCAGATGTTATTTTTGCAGACATTTCAGAATAATTGAGCTGAAATTTGAATTTGTTAGGATAAACTTACATGACAGATTGATTCAGTTTAGATGGGATATTTCTAAATGCTTTCTTTCCAGATTGACATTTTTAAGTCCAGTGATTGCCCTCTCACTATTGCATGTAACATTGTCAAAATAGAGGGATATTACAACTCTAATAATTCATTGCCTAAATTGAAGATGTTCAGCTCTGAAGAGATCCTTACTGTTTGTTCATGACCCACCAGAGTACTTCTACAGTTTGATAACTTGAATATCCTAACTCTACATCTATGATTATTGTCATTACTATACAGACTGTTTTATACATAATACAGCAAGCTAAATGATGAGAAACTTAATAAATACTATGTTGAGATGATAAATAAAATCTAGATGTGAAAATGTTGTGTGATAAGAAAATCAATTATTTTTGATTTCCAAATAAAGTATTTATTATTTTCAGGAGACTTGTGAGAATGATACAACTCAAATTAGATTGACCTTCTTCCACGAAGAATCACAACAAGAGGTCAGCTGGCACATAGCTATGACAACAGATTCAGCAGTGCTTTCATTAGTCAATGCAATCAGAGAACCATGGGAAAATGAATTTGGAGTAGATCTAGATGTTACTCCAGTATCATTTTTATCAAACAGTTTATAATTTACATATTTTATATTTAAGTTAAGTTTCATGATATCACATTATGTTCGCTTATATTTTAATGGTGCTCTGTAACTTCATGTATTTTTTTTCTTTTGGTAATACCTTTTAAGGCATAGTGAATGCTTTTTATGGGCATACAGTCTATTATATGTAATTATTTGAATAAGTTTAAAAGCTTATCAATGGCAAAATCATTCAAATCTTTATACCCAGTTGGGTTTTTATACTTGTACTATTACAGTGGCGGATCCAGAAATTTTCATAAGGGGGGCCCACTGAGTGCCTAAGAGGGGGCCCGCTCCAGTCATACTTCAGTGATTCTCTAAATAATCAACCAAATTTTTCCCACAACCAAGCCCCCTGTAAAACCCTCTAAATCCGCCACTAAACAGATTCAGCAGTGCTTTCATTAGTCAATGCAATCAGAGAACCATGAGAAAATGAATTTCGTTTACATCTAGATGTTACTCCAGTATCGTTTTTATCAAACTAAGAATTGTCCAGGAAAGTCATATGCCTTAGTTTGATCTAATTCATATTCTTTTAAATGTTTTTTTTTATCTTTAAAATGTTTATTGGTGTACACTTAATACTTTACTCTCAGGTTTTATTTTAAATGTCATTGTTACTTTTATTTGGTTTATTTTAACATGATAGATTGTATTTTAGTATATTTAAACATGCACTTGTGGTTATTGGTAAGTGATGGGACACAAACATTACCTTCAAAACTACCGTATTGTATTTATCCCAGTGTATATAAGTATGAAAAAGAAGGAGGTGAACCATTACAGTAAAAAAACATTATTTGAGGTATAGAACCACTAATTCTGCCCGGTCAGAAAGAACAAGAAAGTGGTACATATTTTAAACAAATTGTTCCTACGCATAGCTGTAACTTTGTCAATAAGTAAAATATTTGGGTAATTTTGGTATCATATAAAAGCTTAAGGACTTGGGATCACTATATAACCTTGTTGAAAGTTTTTTTTTTTTTAATAATTAAAAAACATATATGAAATTATAATAGCAGGGCACATTTGCCCTGTTATTCAGGTTAGAAGTACCTCTTTTGTACTACCAAACTTAGGGGAACCAGTGCGCTCTAATATGCAATTAAAGGTATGTTGAATTTTTCAGCACAAGTCAGGATAATGTATAGTTTTGACATGAAATGACTGCCACTTTATTTGAACTTAAGACAAAGTAGCCATTAATGTTTGAAATTGCAGAATTTAACATAGAAAGCAATGGGGCTATGAATTAATGGTTTTATTCCTATAAAGAACCTGGTATGAAATATTGGAAAAATGATACCAAGTTTTTAAAAATTGAAGGTGATTTAAAAATCCTTTTTAATGCATTCTTGGCCTTGAATGACTACTCTCTTTAAATTAAAAGAATTGGGTAAAATTATATGAAAAAGGGATGTCATTAAGATCATTCACTGCAACACTTGTATCCCATTGTAATCATATATCCTATATCAGCCAAAGCTTGCCTAAATAGTGCACTATCAATCTGACATTTGCATTTACCAAGTATTTCTAGTTTTTTTGTAGTCAAGTCCATTAAGTAACCAAGTGGACATCTTAAATTGTAAAATTATTAACATTGATATTGATGAACTATTGTATGAACCATTCCCTCTATGATCATATCTTATTAGAAGTGACTTCATTTAACAGGCTGTTTGTCTCATTATAGCCATAGGTTTATTTAATTTCCACCTGACTACCCTCTATTTTACTGTCAAACATGTGATCTCATTACATGGACATGTGACCTAATTACAGACATGTGACCTCATTACACATCATCCCCATTAACCGTGTTATTTTTTATCTACTTAAAAGATATGTTGATTTTTTCAGCTTTTGTTTTTAATATGTTCATATTCTCATTTTAAGTTCAGTAAATTTTAATACACATTCATGCTTTTACATGTGAAAAAATGAAAAAAGTACATTTGTGTCATTATTTTTTATAAAGCATTACAATTTAACCATCAATTATGCCAAGTATAGACACTTGGGTGAAAGTTTCCTGGATTCCAACCACATTTAGTCACAGGAATTAAAGAATGTAGGTTTTCAATAAACTAAACTTAGATATTCAAGTAAGATTTCTTATAAGTTACAACAAACAAATATAATTCATAGTTTCTTTGTGAAAAGATCTTATCTGATTTTAAAAACCAATGGAAATTTGCCAGTTTTCTTTGAATTTGGTGGATAATGAAAATCTGTCAATTTTGATGCCAATATCTAAATAAAAAAAAATATTTACAATCAAGTCTATGTTTCTGTAAACTATGATACATTGTGATAATGGCTATTAAATCCTTATTTGAAAGTATGTCTAAAAATTGAGGCCATATTATTGCCTGATTGACCCTTTTCTAATTCTAATCGGTGATTTCTTTGTTCTAACATTAAATATGCAAATATGTTAAAATATGTACAGCAATACATGTATATCTGTTAAATTATTTTAGTGCGTCTTCCTTATTTTTATAATTTCATATATTATGTTTTAATGTCTTTTTATATACATTCAGTGCAGTTATGAAAAATATTTTTTATGAGTTTTGTTGAATAAATGGATTATCATTTTACCTGTTGAATGAGTTTATTTTTATCAATTTAATCAGCAAACTGTGATATCATAGCTTGGTAGAAACTTATGTTATTTTACATTAGAGATTTATCAAGTAACATACATACATACAAATATCATGTCTTTATATGTACAAATGCCCATGCCATTCATCTAACCTGGTTGTTATAGACAAAATTGTCCAGTAGAGACATTTGGTATACTTTATAAAACTGTGAAAGTACTTTTATTTGTATCAATTTTCTTGGTTTGAGCAAAAGTTACATGTTCATGGGTTCTTAAATTCATGGATTTTAGTTGTCTGAAAAAAAATAAGTGAAGATTTTGAAGCCATCAGAAACATAATTCTTGAAAAAATCATTTATTGTTTTATAATGATTTATATATAATTGCTTTTGGAAATAAGCTAATTCATCTTTGCTTACAAAATGTCTCGATTGAAGGATATTTCAAGAAATTCTACACATGTACTTTGAATTGTAGAATTAATTCTAATGAAATAAAAAAGCAAGCCCAATGTGAAATTATAATTTTTGTCTCACCTTGACCGAGTCAAAAAGGGAGACATAGGTATGCTGCTTCCAGAGGTGACAGCATAAACAATGTATTAGTTTGTGATTAGGTCAGTTTATGGGGAACTACTAGTAGTAGGTCAATGATATTTTGATATGCAGTTGTATCAGCATTGGCACATCTCATTTCCATTTAGATTGTTTGACCCCACCCCCTCAGTCATAGTCTATTGACACTGAAACTTTTGCTTAGTTTACATGAATTAGATAGTGATTAGGTCAGTTTATGGGGAACCGTTAGTGGTAGGTCAATGATTTTGGTATGCATATGTATAAGCATTGGCAAATCTCATTTTCATGGAGATTAATTGGCCCTGTACCATCAGTCATGGTTCATTGACTTTGAATATTTTACTTATGGTAGCATAATACAAAGATTTTTCATCCCCAATCAGACAACTTTAAACTGATGTAATTTCTTTCATACAGCTTTAATATTCATAAATGAGGAACCAAAAGAAAGAAGAAAGATTAATCTTTCAAATGGTGATAATTTCATTATTACATAATTGATTATTATGTAATAAGTTGCTAGATTCTGATATCCACATTTGAATGAAATTAGCTTCTTTGTTATTCATAGCATCCCAAAATTTTTGATAGATTCTTGTGCAACACAGTTATACCTCCAAAATTGTGTCCCAGATTTTTCCTATTGTGTTTCATTCTCTCATAACCCTTCAATTAAGTTTGCAACCTAATTTCATAAGAAATCACTCAATTTAATTGGGTATAAAATTTGTTCTATTGATGTTTTTTGGAAATCTGAGACTCTGTTTTGAAGATAACTGGTCAAGGAACAACATGTAGTAAAATCAGCCATATAGGGTCACCCGTCTAGGAGCTAATTTCATTTAAAACTACATTTTCATGATAAAAATGTATGTGTCACAATTGAATAAACAAGGATTCTCCTATATGAACCTCATTAACTTCAATATAATTCACACATGTATCATGGGGATACTTCTGGATTGGCCTTTAATCATAAATCAATTAGGTTTTGACCAGTAAGAAAGCATTCTACTTCAGCAATTCTAATTATATTAAGAAAATGCACACCCTATGCATCAAAAACCAGATCTGGCAGGAGAAGTTATATCATTATTGACCTTGCTGTAAGTCAGCTGCTACTGATATGGTCAAAACTCCGCCCACCTGTATAAACATCAACCATCAATGATCTCAGAAGTTTAATTACACATTGCATTTTTTTTTTTTTAATATGGATTTTTTATTCAATTAGTACATGAAACAATATATTTTGCTTTTAACATTTTCCCAAAAAGTAAGTTATGCATGTGTACATAAAATCATCAATTGGTCATTCTAGAGGATTCTAATGGGGGATTTCTAGAATTATAATTGTATAAAATGAAAATATGGTGTTTTACACAAAGTAAAATTTTCTTATTATTGTAGTTTGAAATAAAAAATTTAATTTGTGTTTTCTTTTAAAAAGAATTCATATTTACACATTCTAAAGAAAATCTAATATAACCATCAGCATTAACATCAGCGACATTAATTGTTGTACAATTATGTTTGTTTAAAATATCAGTACATTTATATTTGATTCCCTCTATAGCTCCAAATTATTTTTTTGTTTTTTCTCCTGGCAGCTCTAATATAGAAATGTTTTTATTTGGATTTCATTATCTTCTTTTCTCTATAAACCCCGAATTCAACCTCTTTTCTTTGACTGTTTTTTTTTATAGCTGGTCAGTGGTCATAAAGCTATCAAATGATTCTATTAAGTAACCACAAAATACTGCCCACATGTTCTTATTTGTATCAGTCAGACATGTGCATTTGTTTATAAAACTAATTATCAAAACTCATTAAGGGGGTCTCTTTCAGGGGTTCTGATCCCGCTTACTGTTTTGACAGATTCCCGTAGTCCGCTTACACTATGTACGTAAGCAATTCTCATATTTTTTGTAATTTCCCGTATCCCGCTAGACTTCATTTCCCGTTTTCACGGCACAATAATTTGACTTTCACATGTCACGCTTACAAAAAATCAGCAATCCCGCGTCACGCTTAGACCCCAATGAGACCCACCATTAACAGTGCAAGATACGGAAACTTTTTTTTTTCTGTGGTTTTGTAATCTTAAGAAGTAACAAAAACAACTAAAAATGAAATTTTGATAACATTTAGTTGCTTTTGTATTGTGCTACCTTAACTTTCATGTTAAAGTATTGCTATTTTAATTTCAACATTTGCATTTTACTATCAAAATAACAAAAAGACGAAAAAAATATTTGAAGAAATCTTTTCAATTTCTGAAATCTTATGAAGAAAAAATTGTCCCCACCACCAATTTTTTTTACCCCCCCCCCCCAGCCATTTTTTTTCAACCTCCCCCCCCCCCCCCCCCCCCCCTTTCCAAAAAAAATTCTTTCCCTCAAGATATGGTCATAATCTCAATTCAAATTTCCAAGGGAGTTTGCAACCATAATAACCCATTTAAATACATCATAAAAGTCTTTAAATAGAAAATGACATACATTATCATGGCTAAAATTAATATACCTTAATCAGTATTTTTAAAATTATTAAAATAGTAACTTCTAAAAATAAATTGACAGCTAATCACCTCAAGACAATTCAACATTTCTTTATACATAATTTAAAAGCAGTGTAAGGGAGGTAATTCAAACACAACATTGTACTTAAGTAATTGTCCATTAACCAGCACACCCTTGTTTTTTCTCATTTTTTTGCCCCTCATTCCTAAACGGTTTGAGCCATAACATCCCAAAGCCAATCCTAACCATCCCTTTGTGGTATGGAAACTTGTGGTCTAATTTCGGAGAGATCCATACACCTTTCCACAAGTTATTGTCTGGAAACTAGAATAAAATGCTTCGCTGGGGCGCAGCTTGATACGACCGCAGAGGTCGAACCCTGAACAGTTGGGGCAAGTATGGACACAAAATTCAAGCTTGATACAGCTATGACTTTGGATTGTCATTAAATATTTGACACAGCATAGGTTTCTGACACAGGATGAATGTGGTGTAAGAACTGGAAAAAATTTAATTTACCTATTATGGTGGAATCTCCATAAACTAAATTGTTTGTTAATTTCAATATATCAAAGAATATGTAGAATTCAATGTTTGATGTAATGTAATAAAGTTGAAATTTGGACCGTTTTTGTTCAATGTGGACCAATTTGGTAACATGTATAAATAATCAAAAATCTAAATACATGGGAGCCCATTTAAATACATCATAAAGGTATTAAAATAGAAAGTGACATCATAGTCATGGCTAAAAATAAACAAAAATCCTTAATCAGCAACATTTAAAGAAATATCTAAAAATAAAATTCCTTTGTAACCATAAAAGCCCATTTAAATACATCATAAAGATATTAAAATAGAAAATGACATCATAGTCATGGCTAAACATAGCAAAAAACCCTTAATCAGCATCATTTAACAGTAATATCTAAAAATGGAAATTACATCATAAAGGTATTAAAATAGAAAATGACATCATAGTCATGGCTAAAAATAAACAAAATCCTTAATCAGCATCAGCAACATTTTATAGTAATATCTAAAAATAAAATTCCTTTGTAACCATAAAAGCCCATTTAAATACATCATAACAGATATTAAAATAGAAAATGACATCATAGTCATGGCTAAACATAGCAAAAACCTTAATCAGCATCATTTAACAGTAATATCTAAAAATAAAAATTTCTTTGCAACCATAAAAGTAAAATAGAAAATGACATCATAATCATAGCTAAAAATAAACAAAAAATTTTTTTATTGGCAAATTTTAAATGGAGTTTATTATACTAAAACAATAAATTTGCAACCATAAACATGATAAAACCCCATTTAAACACATCATAAAAGTATTAAATAATTCAACTACATCATAAGGCTATAAAAATAGAAAATGACTTCATAGTCAAGGCTAAAGGTAAACAAAAAACCTTCATCAGCAAAATTTTATATTGGCAAATTTCCAATGAAGTTTATTACACTAAAATTGTTGGCAAATTTCCAATGCATTTATTAACAATAAAGTTATTGGCAAATTTCCAATTTACATAACTTAAAAGCAGTGTAGATGAGATATTTAAATGAGTTTGAATTACCAACCTTACACTGCTTTTAAATAATGTTCTTTACTCAATTATTTGTCTATTAAAATGGAAACCCTTGTTTTTTAACCTTTTTTCCCCTTATTCCTTAAACATTAGAGCACACTAAAAAAATCCTTATTTTCGACCAATATTTGGCCCCTTATTCATAAATGTTTGAGCAATTAACCCCAAAACTCAATTCCTACTTTCTCTTCGTGATAAAAAATAACTAACTTAAAATGTAAATTTTAAACAAAAAAAAAAGGAAACAAAAAAATTACCCCTTTTTTGACCCCCGCCCCCCTTATGATTCATCACCCCCACCCCCCTTTCCCCCAAACCAAGCTCAATAACAGCCTTGTCTTTGTGGTATGGTACCTTGTAATACAATTTTAGAGAGATCCATACACTTGAACACAAGTTATTGTCTAGAAACTAAAAAATGCTTATTTTAAACCCCTTTTCAGGCCCCTTATTACTAAACGTTTTGGGCAATTACCACAACACTCAATTCCAGCTTTCCCTTTGTGAAATGGAACCTTGTAGTAAAATTTCAGAAAGATCCATACACTTACACACAAGTTATTGTCATGAAACTAGAAAAATGCTTGTTTTTTGCCCCCTTTTGGCCCCTTATTCCTAAAATTTTGAGGCAATTAACCCCAAAATCAATCCCAGCATTGACCCTTTGTGATATGGAATCTTGTGGTACAATGTCAAAGAGATCCATATGCTAACACACAAGTTATGTCTGGAAGTTACAAAAATGCTTATTTTCGGCCCCTTTTTGGCCCCTAATTCCTTAACTGTTGGTACCATAACCCCCAAAATCAATCCCCACCTTCCTATTGTGGTATTGAACCTTATGGTAAAATTTCATAGAGATCCATTCACTTAAACTAAAGTTAGAGTGCGAAAACCATTGTGTATTCGGACGACGACGCCGGACGACGACGACGACGACGCCAACGTCATACCAATATACGACCTCAAAATTTTTTTTGCGGTCGTATAAAAATGCTTATTTGGGCCCTTTTTTGGTCCCTAATTCCTAAACTATTAGGACCTTAACCCCCAAAATCAATCCCAACCTTCCTTTTGTGGTTATAAACCTTGCGTTTAAATTTCATAGATTTCAATTTACATATACTAAAGTTATTGTCCGGAAACCAAATGTCTTTGGACAACGCTGACAACGACAACGTGATACCAATATACGACCGCAAAATTTTTTGCGGCCGTATAAAAACCTCATCAATTTGTCAATCTTTAGGAAGTAGGATGAGTATGAGAAAAGCCCAATCTTCTTAAATTTCAAAATAACAGGTTTGATTAACAGGTAAACACTTTATATTATAAAACTCAAAACTTGATACTTAGAACTTGTAACTTGATCCTTTGAACTCTCAAACTTTGTACTGGTACACATAATAATTAAGAAGGTATATCCATAACATACTGTTTTGTTGCATCATCTGTTTCACGTTGTTTTAGATGATTTCCACTTCCTTATGTTGGGGATAATGCAAGGTGTCCAATGTACTTTGTTTTAAGCTAAGCTTACATTTAACATACTGAATCTACCTTGTCCATATATTTAACTGTTAATCTAAACTATTGTGATCAGATCATATAATAATATTCACACTGCTTCTGTTACTTGTGCTTTTAAGTTGTTATATAATAAACGTATAAAATATTATAGTTGTTCTTTGTTGTTTATAGGGTCGTATAGTGGATTAGTTAAACAAGACTGGTCAGTTATGTCAATGAACTATTTATGATAGTTGTCTATCTAAATACGGATTGAATAAATAAAACAATGTATTTAATGAAATCAGCCCTATTTATGGAGTAGCCTCTAGATAGCGTTTATTATATAACATTTGGGTAAATTAATGAAAACATAGCACATCTTGATGAGTATGTAGATGTGGAGCAAATAGCAACTCAATAGTTCGATAAAACCAGAACGAGATATCCTCAACATTTGTGATAGATTTGAATCTGGACATTAAGCAATCAATTAATAGAGGTCACACCATACAAATGTCTGTAAAGTTTAATCACCCTGTGTCTAGACAAACTAGGATTTATCTGAAGTACCAGTAGAATTGCAATTAACAGGAAATTTTTGAAAGGACTGACAACACCGAAATACAATGGAAAAGGTTACTGAACCTACTCCTTTAAAGAACTTTGCCTATTATCTTAAAAACTATTATAGATAAGATAGAAACATGGAAAACAGCAACAATTATCACCTTATAGATATCTTTCATAAAAAAAAACAACTTGTTTTTAAGGTTTTTTACATACATTCTATAACATTTATATTTATAGATCTATTTTACAAATTTTTAATTGAATGTATAAATCATACATATTTTTTTTTACAATATTCAAATGCGGTTAAACTAAGAGATCCAAATAGATATAAGAAGATGTGGTATGAGTGCTAATGAGACAACTCTCCATCCAAGTCAAAATTTATAAAAGTAAACCATTATAGGTCAAAGTACTGTCTTCAAAACAGAGTTTTGGCTCACACCGAACAGCAAGCTATAAAGGGCCCCAAAAATTACTAGTGTAAAACCATTCAAACGGGAAAACCAACGGTCTAATCTATATAAAAAAACAAGAAACGAGAAACACTTATGAACCACATCAACAAGCGACAACTACTGAACATCAGATTACTGAAAAAATTGTTACCAACTTTTGACAATTTTGCTGAAGAAAAGATTAATTTACAAAGACTGGAAAAATGGTAAAAATTCCTAAAAAAATCCATAATTACATTTGCACAACTGCAATACAAGTGCAATCATTCTGTGAAGTTTCAAGGATCTGGGCTGATAACTGTAGTAGAAGTTTAGCGATTCTGTAACTACAGTGTATGCAGAAAAATGACTGTTCCTAAGTTTGGAAACATGGGATAAAATAATAAATGGGAAATGCAGAAATCTATAAACATAGATTCTACCACTGCATCAAGTTCAATATAATATTTATCCACTTGAGACAGTTATATTTTCAAATCTAAAACTTGAGGCTTGCCGAGTGTTTTTAAAAGTATTAAAAATTTAACTGTCGAGAGTGGATAAATGTTGTATTACACAAGATTTGGTGCTGGAATCCGTTTCTCTAAATAATTTTTAGACGATATACAGATAATCTTTCTTTTCCAATGATCTACAAAAAGATGTGTTCCTTCTATGTGACATCATCAGGCATGGTTGCCTTTTTTCATGCCGTCACAATAGGAAATTCAGAGGAAAGCAAGAAATTTTGTCGTCATAATCGAATTAAAAAAACCAACTGATAAAAGTTTCTTGTGGATATGCACATCTACAGATTATGTCCTCATTAACTACAAAATTTCATGAAGTTCTGTTTTGTGGTTTCAGAGGAGGGGCATGTTGCAGTATATATTTAGGTCAAAATTTAAGTTCAAAGGGGCATAACTCCTAGAAAAAATATTAAATCATATTTTCCTGTGAATATACACATCTACATAGTAGTATGTCCTTATTATCTACAAAGTTTCATAAAATTCTGTTGTGTGGTTTCAGAGGCGTTGCGATGAGGAACTGTTGCAGTAGTATATTTAGGCCAAAATTCTAAGTTCAAAGGGGCATAACTCATAGAAAAAAATTGAATCATAATTTCCTGTCGATATGCACATCTACATAGTATGTCCTTATTATCTACAAAATTTCATGAAATTCTGTTGTGTGGTTTCAGAGGAGTTGTGATGACAAGAACAGGACTAACGGATGGACGTACCGACTGACAGATGGGTCAAAAAAATTATATCCTACGCAACCTCAGTAAAATAAGGATCGTCCTATTCTGATATTTAGGGGTACAATAAGAATTACTCTATTCTGATGTGATTTAGGAGGTACAATAAGGATCATCCTATTCTCATGTGGTTTAGGAGGTACACCAAGGATCATCCTATTCTGATGTGATTTAGGAGGTACAATGAGGATCATCCTATTCTGATGTGGTTTAGGAGGTACACCAAGGATCATCCTATTCTCATGTGGTTTAGGAGGTACACCAAGGATCATCCTATTCTGATGTGGTTTATGAAGTACAATAAGGATTGTCCTATTCTGATGTTGTTCTTATGGACAAATTGACAGGCAAATACACATTATTGTAACTATATCCTTGGGATAAAAATAAAGGTAAGATGAGTTTATTATGACATACATATTGCTTTGTCTAAATGTATTGATGACACTCACTGTATAATTTTACAAATAGACATTTGAAGCTATTTTTTTCTTTTAATTCAAATATAAATAAACTAGTGTAACTACAAATAATTACATGTGTTTCATTTATTCACAAAAACCATGTCTAACTTATACTGGCATGTTGGAATAATTAGTACCAAGATCATTTTTAGGCCGTCTTCGGATATCTTCTACCCCTGGAAGTTGCTCAGGCAGTTCTTGTTCTTTCAGCTTAGGCATTTCTCTTTCAGTATGATGTATTCTAGCACGGGAAAAATAACCTATAGGTGGCCTTTCCATATTCATTTTTTCTTTCATGCACTGGTCAAAGACAACTTGTGTTTTTCTGCAACTGCAAAGTAAAATGATAATGTCAAATTAGCTAATTAAGGAACATAATGTCTCACAACACTACCTTCTTAGTCTTCAACACATGTAAACATATGATTACATGTACCTTTTCAAATATCAATTTGAATTGTAAACAAAGAACTCTGGATGCCCAAGATAACTATTTTTCCTTCATTATTTCTTTTAATGGTATTTTGTTTTTACATATCATGCTTGTCTTATTATTTCAATGTTTGAGGGATCAATTCATCACTAAAATAAAAATAACAAATTATAAAGTTCATTTGTGGAGCAGGATTTGCTTACCTTTCCAGAGCAACTGAGATCACCCTTTTTTTTTAGGGGTTTGTGTGGCTCGGTCTTTAGTTTTCTATGTTGTCTCCCAAGCATGTAGTGGCCAATAATTTGTCCTGATTCGATCATCCTGATACCTGATATCAAATTTTGGCAGAACAGAGACACAATCAACATTTTTATTTACAAATGTACAACAATGTAGAAACAAGCCGATTATTGACTTATGTGTTCCCATTGTTAAATTTACAAGAAATATTCTTAAACTCTGAACTTCAGTATACACTGACACTGTTATCTTGCACTATGTACATGTATGCCAATCAATTTTCTCAATTTATAGTTTGACCTCCTTTCCCCAAAAAAATGAGCTATTTATAATCACAATGACTGAATGAGACTATTCATCATTTTATTGTAATTTTTTTAACAGATCCCAGGCTTTGAAAATTACTAGTACTAATACTACAAGTATACCGATATAAATCCATACTGGAACCACTTCTGTCCACACAGTCATGGTACACATTAAATTCCTCTTGACAGTTCTTCTTTAGATTTCTATAAAATTCCCATCCACATCTTGTAACTTCTTTTCCTTCATTTATACATTTTCTTGGACCTTTCTCCTCTGAAACGCACAACATAAACTCCTGAAATGTCAAAAACAAAAATTCATCTAATACAAGAGGAATGTGTTCAGTTATTAAATAAACTCCTGTATGCATATATATATAAATCCTGAAATGGTTTCAGGTAATGGTTTTGCTAAGTAACTTGAATACGCCTCCACAAAATTATTTGAAGGTCAATTTCAGAGGGATCTATTTGTAGATCATAGATTCTCTCTTTCTACTTATAAAGTTTCTTCAAAAATGCAAAAAGGGTAAATATCATCTTTAAAGGCAATAACTCCTATTAGGGGTCAATTGGCAATTTCTGACATGTTGACTTATTTGAAGATATTATTGTTTCAGGTAATTTTTATTTCTTAAAATTTCTATTTTATACAGTTTTCAAGTTATAATTATATAAATTCAAAAAACTTTAAAATTAGCAAAAACTTACATTTCATGGACAATTACTTCAAAATAGGTTGTCCAAGTTTACCAAATTTGATAGAAGATAGACCTGCTGACTATTAACATTTATGAGATCAAAGGTTTTGTAAGAAATGTACCCTTAATTTGGTTGAAGATGAACAACATTTTAGTTGTCCAGCATACAATGATGATCATTATAGAGAGATATTTTTCAAGGAGATAAACAATATTTGTCATAAACTTTCAGATCTCTCAAATGAGGCATAATTTGTTTGGTTATTTACTAATGAAAATGTGTCTGTCCTAAAATATTTAGGGAATTATGTTATTAAATGTCTAGATGTTATTGTTAGACAAAACATAAATTAATATACCTTATAAGATCTTATAACAATGATTATAATTTATTGTAATGATTTTATGCTTCTGGTCCTGCCTGGAATAAAATGTACCTGATTTATATTATAAGAAGAAGAAATATATATAGCTCTATTATAACTATATGAACAATTAATATTTCATTTCAATGTAAAAAAAAAAGATTTTTGTTACAAATCATTTGTGTGTCATGCTGCCCATCAAGGGCCCTTAATTGGAACAATAATTATTCTTATTCTAATTGGTTTGAAAATTGAAGTTAAAGTATTGAAGATATTATCCCTTATCTACAATGTATTATTCTTGTTAATATACAGAATTTACTTCTATCTACATATAAATTAAACCAAAAAAGATGGGCGCATTAAATTTGCTTTCAAACTTTCTAAATTTTGGTCTTAAAAAATTGTAAACTTTTCAAAACAAGATAAAAAATTCACTAAATAAATAAATTTCCTTTAGAAACAAATTATAAATACCAAAATTTATTCAATTTAACTAATTTGTAAAGATTAAACATTAAATCAAATAGTTATCAGTAAAAGTTAAATAATGGAACTGTTCAAGGGAGACAACAAAGCCAATCTGCTACAGTTAGCCGAGGAAAAATCAGCTACAAATTGGTCATTGTGATTTCAAATAATATACTTTATTTCAGAATAAAAATTGAGATTTTGTAGGAACGGCAAAAATTTTGTAGGACTGACATATAATCTTGCTTTGTCAGTCCCATGACTGACAGGTCAAAATAAGTTTTTGCGAACTCTGGAAATGTACTACTATTGAATTATTATCTTCTCACACTCTTATTCACTGACAGCTTTCTGTATGGTCGTTAAAACTTCCCCAAATGAATTCGAACCGTGCAAGTGCAAGTAAGAAGGAAAAACCGTGATGAAAGAAAAGCCAAAATTTTAGATAAACAATCACCGTTTTTCTCTCGCACTAGTATAATTTCAAATAATTTGAAGGAGAGAATCTAGTGTTATATGGACTACTGTTTCATTTATGCATATGAAAGAAATACTACCTTCGACGCATTATCACAGTATTTTCCAAAGTAAACAGAGCTTGCTCTAAGGACAGACGATGTTAGTGGAAGCTCTGGAACTGTAAGTTCCTCATTACTAGGCAAATAATCCTCGTTTGTAAAGGCCATCGGACGGCCTTCCAAGGACAATCAACGTTAAATTACTGCAAAACTGTACGTTTTGAACTGTGGTGCTTTAAAGAGCTAACCTGACCATGATAATGTCAGAGGAAATAAAGGACAGATTCCATTTTTCGGATCTCACTAACAACCGTAAACGAATTTAGCGGAAAGGACGTCAAGAAAACAAATATAATGACACGAAGACGAATTTAGCACCAATATGACGAAATAAGTGACAAGAAATTCAATGTTTTAATTATTTCAAATTAATTAATACAAATACTTTATTGTAAATAAAAAAAACACATCAATAATGTTATAACATATCAAATTCATTAACTTTTTCTGGTATTTAAAGGGGCATTAGACCGATTTAACTAAAATTCTCGCATTTGATTTATAACATACTAAAACGTATATCAAATTATAAAAAAGTCTAAAATAAACAATTTACGATGTTTGGACTCGATGATATATATATCAGCATTTCGTGTGTATTATAGCCTAGACGCCATCTAATTAACACTCGGGGTGACCTCCGATGACTGCCGACGATCATATAACCCGATATAATTATATGAGATATAAATAGATAGCGAACACATGCAATTGGGTTATTCTATGTCTGTTTGATTTCATATTATAGGCTAGAAAATATGTTAATACTCGTTGTTACCTGTATAAGAATGAGTTTTTGTGGATCGAATCAGTCAACCAAATAGTTTAACCTTGTTTTATTTTCAATGTTGACATCATTGTCCTTTTAATAGATGAACACGCCTAGTTTATGCGTAAATTATCTCTAGCTAAGGGATGAAATTGAAGGTCACATGAATACGGATTCAAAGAGGTCGAATTGTTCACTTGCAAGTGAATAATTCATCAGCGATGTGTCATAGCTTATTTGTACAAAATTGAACCAAACTGGCTGCTAAAAGCGAATTATTATTTCACTTTTTCACTTTCATTAATGATTGAACAATAAAAAATCATATTTTTTTTTTATATATATCTCGTAGCTGATGCCCATTTAAACACTCTGATATGAAAGAGATATATATACCAGGAATCATCACTGAAATATTTTCGATGGGGTGGAGGACATAGATTTATTGATCAATACACATATTACACAGGCACTTGTCTAAGAAAAAGATTACATATAAACTTTGATATAACACAAAATGTACAGGTAATTTTTCTTCAGAGACAAGTGCCTGTGATATACTACTACGTTCGATTGTGAGATGTAATATTTTCTACAACCATAACATAAGAGATGTGTATGCAAGGTATGAAGCATTGAGGACTTTTAACTTCTGAAATAGAAGGTTTATACAAATAGTTCAAGGGCCATTGAATTTGAATCTCGCTTTTTTAAATTGTTTGGATTACCATCATACTCTTGATTTTTCAGCTTCAATCTTACATTTTGATATTATATGAGAGTAGGTTTTGAAATTTCACGCTTATTGTGATTGATTGGATAACTAAATTTAATATAATATGTCCTAGAAAATCACATATCAAATGCACGTCTTCAATTTGCGAGGCCTGTACACTATGCAAGTTTGACTCTGACACGAAATTTTACAGAATTCATATCGAAAAATGTATAAGAGAGCTGAGAGTTTCAAATTGAGTTACATTTTGTATTAGGATTTCGTCGTTAAAATGATGCGGAAGAAACCAATGTGATAATCAAACTGATAAGTCGAAAACAAACTGACAAAAACATACAAAAAATCGACCAAAGACAAACAACAGCCTTCAAAACACAAAATAGAAAATCAAAAGACTAAGCAACACAAACCAAACAAAAACCGGGGATTTATATCTCAGTGTTTATATCAATTAGCTGAATATTATAAGTAAAGAAATTTCAAACTTTCTAAATTTTGGTCTTAAAAATTGTAAACTTTTCAAAACAAAATAAATAAATTCACTAAATAAATAAATTTCCTTTAGAAACAAATTATGAATACTAAAATCTATTCAATTTAACTAATTTGTAATGATTAAACATTAAATCAAACAGCTATCAGTAAAATGTCATTTTGATATTATATGGGAGTAGGTTTTGAAATTTCACGCTTATTGTGATTGATATGATAACTAAATCTAATATATGTCCTAGAAAATCACATATCAAATGGACGTCTTCAATTTTCGAGGCTGTACATTATGCAAGTTTGACTCTGACAAAAGAAGCCAATGTGCTAATCAAACTGTAAGTCGAAAACAAACTAACAAAAACATACAAACAATCGACCAAAGACAAACAACAGTCTTCAAAACACAAAATAGAAAATCAAAAGACTAAGCAACATGCACAAACCAAACATATAAACAGTGTTTATATTGGCACTTAATTATAGTCTTTCAAAACTGATGATTAATGAAAATTATAGTGTCCGTCAGACATGTTCACTTTACTTTGACCTCATTTAATGGGCCAGCGATCAAGGTTAACTTTTCGTGGTCAAGTACGTATCTCTGATACTGTACTATATTTGCTGTATTGTGCATATGTCTTTCTAGCAGGGTCCATTTGATCTTGAACTCATTTTCATGGATCATTGGTCATTGCGTCGTTGGTGTTGTTCAAAGCTGTAACAGCACTATGAGTTTTCATTAATAAGCTTATGAAAGATCATATCTGCTACATCAATTTTACCTGTTCCAATCCAAACGTTGCCTACTATGTGGGCCCCCCTTTTTCAAAATCCTGGATTCAAATCTGAACCCCCCTCCGTTAAATCCAAACTATCTTACTTTTCATATATGATGTAGTTAGAGGTTATCATAGCTAAGATACAACTCGTGCATTTACTATACAGGTTCGATACAGTCGCCATTACATACTTGTATATACAGACAATTTGCATAATGTTGTAACAGAATAAATATTGAGTGCTATGAAGTAATAGTATTACACTACAACTTAGTTGGTAGATAAGTGCAATAATGTATGCTTATAACATTTTGATTACGCTAACTGTGATTTACTCCTAATTTCGAAGTTTCCCAGGAAAATATATCTTAACACACTATCATATCAGTGGCGGATCCAAAAAGGGGGGTTGGGGGGTTATTCCGGGGTTGGAAACCACCTTTTTGTTTGACAACGAATGCTTTTGTATGGGGATATATGATTGGACCCCCCCCCCCCATTCCTTTTTAAGATGGCTGGATCCGCGCCTGCATATACTAGTATATCAAATTTCTTTCTACGGAAAATGTTCAGATTCGTGCAATTTTTCAGATTTGCGGTGTCAAAAGCACGTGTCAAAACGAAACATAACCGGGTCTTTAAATTGTAAACAACATTGACAAAACCGGGTCCTTCCATGTTGACAAGACCCATTTCTTTCGTTCAATGCATAGAAATACACCTATTGATGTGCTCAGAGTTGCTAATCCTGGAGATGATGCATAGATCTTTCTTTCCGTACGTTTTTTCCGAACAATGTACACAATTTAACGAGAAGTTAAACAAATTCGAGGTAAGGTTCACTCTAGTCATCATTTTGACTTATTTTTCCATTAATCTAGAACGGTTGTATAGAAAATGTTACATCTCACAATCGAAAAATAGTTATATGTGAATTTATATTCTTCAATTTCATACAAATAACAAATAAATAAACAGAAATCCTACCTTTTCTTTGACTGTAAGACTAAGGTGGTCCGTCACCATGTCGAATATTAGATATCATCGAGATAAACATTTTTTGGCTGGGATGAGCATTTGAATTGTTGTACATTTTGTCGGGCCTTTTATATGGTATGGGTTTGACTCAAAGTTGAAGGCCGTACGCTGACATATAGTTGCTTAATCAACGTCATTTGGTATATGTTGGGTAGTTGTCTCTTATTATTTTTATATTAATGTGTTTTTCAATCTTATATGTGACAAAAGTGAACATTTTTTAAAGAATCTATTGGCAATCAAACTAGGAATGTTAGTCAATGTTAGAGTCAAGGATTATGTTTTACATAATATATAATCTCGTTATTTTTATTGTAAACATATTGATGTATTTTGTCATTTAGGGAATTCAGTGCTGATGATATAGAACCTAGAGTTGAATTAATCGCACACAGCCCCCCTCCTTTCATGTTGTTGGTGACAGTATGTTGACCTCTAGATTCTTTCTGATGTTTGTAACGTTGGGTGTTTGTCTTATAAAGTTTACGTTTAACGCGGTCTTCTTCTATTCAAATACAAAAATATATATAATAGGGTCAAAAATTAAATGTTATTTGCAAATAGTTTCCTTTTAATTTTTAATCACATAAAATGCAATGTTCTCTCTGACAACAGGGTTTCATGAGACAGCTGCAGGTAAAGTACATGTATATTCACTTCTTCAGGCAACCAGCGCATCAGTCATTTTACAGCATTTTTGATGACATATCGACAGACATAAGTGCCGTGGATCATTAATAATTAAATATAACTATGTATGCCGTCAATCATGGCCTCCATGGCTGAGTATAGAGTTCACAACAAAGCAAAGTTTAGCCGGAAAATGAAATATACTATTTTCCCTTCAAGGAAATAAGAACTCTTTCACTGCAATGCAGGGTTATAAATGTAGGAAGGAAAGTATTTATTACCTTGATATTCAATCATTTACAAATTTATGATTAGAAATAAGAAGATGTGGTATGAGTGCCAATTAAACAACTCTCCATCCAAGTCACAATGTGTAAAAAGTAAAAAATTATAGGTCAAAGTACGGGATGAGACTGAATTAGAAAAAGTGACGAAAAAAAAAACAGCTGGGCAATGAAAAAAAAATAAAAGAAAGACATGCTGAAATATGACAACATGAAAACAGACGAGAGACAAAAAAGTCCTCAAAATAATACAGAACAAGAATGTGTCCATAGTACACGGATGCCCCACTCGCAAAAAGGTTATCTTATTAATGTTGTAATAAGATCTTTGAATATTGTTTTCATTTGCACTAACATCGATTTTGACATCAACAAATTAAAACATAACTAGATTTGTATTCCTTTCGAAAGGTTTTTTTGGGATGTATATATACACATCCACGTTTATTTTC